AAAAAAAAAAAAAAAAAAAAAAAAAAAAAAAAAAAAAAGAAAACCGTCACACATCCTTCTCGATTGCACACACATATAGAAATAACACTTGTACCTTCTGTATAAAAGCCCATACAACGGGAACAGCGATTCTCAATCTGGGGTATCAACGCCGTTTCTGTTGTTGAATGGACCACCCGGTCTAGTGGGAATTATCGAAGGATTTCAATAGACCGAGCTCTTGGGCATGCTTCGCAAGGTCATGCAAATGTCCAGCACAAGCGTCTTGGGATGCCACACAACCGTGAAGTTTCTCATGCTCTTTGTGACACAGGCGGGGAAGAAGCATATTGATCTCAGCCGGGGAAAGTTTGTCGTATTCTTTCACAAGGCCATTCAGCGTAGGGGGTTCGTCGCCTCTGGCCAAGATGGACCGTCTTTGATGCATCGTCGGCCATGCGGCGGGAAGGAGGGCGAACGTAGAGAGAAGGATCAAGGAGTGAGTGAGACGCATTTTGAACAGAGATAGTTGTTTCTCGGTAGTTCTGAGGTTTTGGATAATGGTGGTAGCTTGAAATTAGAGCACAGTAGACGATTAAAGACGAGTACTGATTTATTCACATCCTACGTAGGTGGCTCACTTTATATAGCTTTCTGCCCCTAAGTTTGTATAAAAGCATTAAGCAGAGAAACCGTATTGTTATCTGCATGGGGAATAATACTCCGTGGTGCGAGATGATCTGCGATCTGATTCCATATCGGAAATGGCCATATCGATCAATTTCAGCGGTCATCACTGTTCCCGGCACGGAACGCAGATCATCGTACGGGTCTAAGATCGGTTTCTTTACCCTCTGCCAATAATGGACATTGTACGTCAGAGATTTAAACTCTCTGGTGAACAAGCTTTGTGTGCTGCTTCTTCAGCTGCTGTCCACGAAAACGGAATATCTGAAGATTCCTCCTCCGGCTTCAGACCCACTACATGATGAGAATATGGACTTATGAGGTAATCTTCTATGATGTCTCGATAGTTAAGCAATGCAAGACACGTGCCCCTGGAAAAGGATCCCGGTTCTGTGGCATGGGAGCTGTAAATGATGGGGCGTGCACTGGTCCCTACCGTGGTGGGCATTCTACTGGCTTACTGAGGAGAGCAGTTTTACTATGTCAGTTAAGCTGTCCGAGTAAACTAGCCTTTTCGTAGAGTCCACGTGGTAGGAGAAGCTGGCCATAAATATCACCTACTATGTGAATGGTTGTAATATAAAGAGGTCTGGAATAGATGCTGATTCCGCAATTTCACATTCTTGCTTTTTCTTTGGTTTTTATCTTGTCTGTTTAAACAGCTATCCATCATCTTGTCAAAATCCCTACACTATACAAAGCACTTACGGAATCTGTGTATCTCAACTGGGTTTTCGTTTCCCCCTCTTTTTTCTGGACGGGAGGATTCAAGTAGCTGAACGACTTTGTAGGACACAGGCCCTCTCCTCGATAACTCGGTCTCGGTTGTATTTTTGTGCGAAACATAGCTCATATGGCTTCATATCACACGTTGAATAATAATGCTTAAAGAGATAAAAGATTACCACTTAGAGAACTTGACCACAGTGGCATTATTACAACTTGATGGAGTCTACCTTTTCCAAGACGGTGATGATGCGGCTTCTACGAAGTATGGTTTACAGATAATATTGTTGACAATTCAGGAAAATATAGACGTCTATCAATATCGTTAATCCCCGTATAGACGGTTGTCTACCTTATCCATCTGTACAGTCTCAATGGGATTGATAGTGAGCATGCAATTTTATAGTGATTGACTGGCGCCACCGTCGCTCCCTACTATCCCCCTTTCAAAATGCTTTACCCCTGTGGGTCCGAGGGCGTTGCCTTCAACGAGCTCTCTTATAGGCATGCGAATATCTATTTGTAGGTCCGGGGTACTACAATACCTCAAAGTCTCTCGCACGAAGACAAGCTGCCACACGTAGCCCGCCTGGGCCAATTGATAAAGACAATATCCTCTCCGGTTTGATAATGGGGTATAGCTATTCTCCTTAATGCCATCGGCAATACCCCAAAGTGGGACCCTGGGGTTTCGGGCCGGAATACCTGGCACCGGCAGTAAGAGTTTCTTGATGATCCACAATTACCAAGGAGGTCACTAGGGGATTTCCGAATATGCTCACATTCGGCTTCAATCAAACAGACGGCGCCTGGAAGAGTCCGCTTTGAATCCCAGTTGTAGATAGGACGGTTCTGAGCTTGAGGTAGTGACGTCTTGGATATCACTGAGGTTTGAGAAGTACAAGAAGTGGGAGGTTATTTGGTGTGTCTGATGTTATGGTATTCAGTGCTAGTCGTAGCAAGCTCTTTTGATAAATGTCTCTCTGATTCCAGTACAGTCGAGAAAGATAAGACAAGAAAACTACTGCAGCTGTAGTTTATTGAGACGTAGATTTCCCAACACAGTTTTACCAAGTTTATCTCCTTGTTGTAGAGACCACCATCCTAGCAGAGTGTCATCGTACGTTTTAGTCAATATACTAGCTCCCGTGGTGGTGAGAACACGCGTGCATGTGCTAGAGAGTCCGCCAAGCTACCAATAGTAGGAGCTAGGGGGTTGAATATTCGCAATTAAGATATCTCATTCGGTCTTCCCAAGTTCATTGTGTAAATCAAATCCTCTGAAGAGCCAAGACGGCATTGCCGAGCGCTTACAACTGCCATTTCAGAAATGACTAGTGGCCTAGTCTGGATTACCCCGGAAATACCAATTATCACCGAATGTGGGGAGGCAACCCTTACCGTCAGATATGCCATTTGCGCAAGCAAGTGCGGAGAAGGATATATCGAACCTGCCGATCATCAAGGCTCGGAAAAGACGGTGGCTACTTCTCTGGGGATGGTACAGTCCGGTGGTGCTTGGAACGCAGGGTTTATTTATCATGGCCTTGTCTCTTCATTCCAGCGATGATTCCAGAAAGATGAGAATTTTCAGTCTTTGACAGGCTCCCATGGTGCTGCTTATAAAGATCCTCCTCGCCGCTTTGCCAGGCATGGTCGCTGGCCTTTCCCCAACCGCCACGGTCAAGAACGGTACCTACGAGGGGAAATATGTTGCTTCATACGATCAAGATCTCTTTCTCGGCATCCCCTTCGCTCAACCACCCGTTGGGGAGCTCCGTTTCCAGAACCCACGGAGCTTGAACAGCACCTTTGGCACGAGAAACGCCACCGAATATGCTGATTCCTGCGTTGGTTATGGGGTACGACTAGCCTTTGCTTTAAAACTCAGTACCCTGAATAACCCACACTCCAGAACAGTGCGGCCTGGCCTCACACACTCAGTGAAGACTGCCTGACATTGAACATTGTTAGACCTGCTAAGTCAGGGCAGAGTCAGGATGACGAGCTGCTGCCTGTTGGCTTCTTCACTCACGGAGGAGGGTGGTCGATGGATTACAGTGCCAACGGGGTTTATAATTTGAGCTTTATCGTCGAGGAATCGGCCAAGATGGGAAAACCGTTCATTGCCGTCTCAGCAGATTGTCAGTATTTCATCTCCATGAACCGGATAATAGATGCTAACCCCGCATCTAGACCGACTGTCTTTCTGGGGCTTCATGGCCAGCCAAGACATCCTCGACGCAGGCGTGGCCAACCTTGGCCTCAAGGATCAGCGAATTGCTCTTCAGTGGGTCAACGAGAACATTGAAGCCTTTGGTGGGGACCCAGCTAAGGTCACCATTTGGGGCGAGAGCGCTGGCGGCGGCAACGTCGGCTACCATGCCACTGCCTACGGGGGTCGTGATGACGGTCTCTTCCGGGGCATCATCGCTGAGTCCGGCGCCGATGGGAGTCACATGAAGAACCTGACAGAACCGCAGCAGATCTACGACACCATCGTCAGCGCTGTCGGCTGTGATAGTAGCTCAGACAAACTTGCCTGCTTGCGTATGGTCCCCTTCGATAGACTCAATGCGTCGATCACCCAGGTCTCGGGTAGTTTCTACCCCATTGTGGACGGGGACATCATCCCAGACCTACCATCGGTGCTGCTCGATGCCGGAAAGTTCATCAGGACGCCTATCCTGCTCGGCACGAACGCCGATGAAGCCACAATGTTTGCTGGCACTGGAGCCAGCACGGACGAGGACATTGCAAGTCTCATTCAGTCGTCGGGACTGGATGCAAATACAACCGAGATACTGATGGCACTGTACCCTGACATCGACTCGCTCGGACTGCCGGCTAATTACCACGTTCCGCCCGATGGAGCCGTGGGAAAGCAATATAAGCGTTCAGTGGCTTTGCTGACGGATCAAATGTTCCTGTCATGGCGACGCCTGAGGACAGATGCATGGTCCAAGTACAGCGCTCCGGCGTATTCGTACCTGTTCGAGTCACCGACGTCATCCAGTAAGACGTCGGTACCTCAATTATTCCAAAGTAACAAGCTGACACCTGCGTGCTCACCGTAGAATCACACAGAGGCACCAGCCATTTCACCGAAATCGGCTACGTCTTCTACAACAGAATCGGGCTTGGATATGCCGCCAGCCAAAGCCCGCTCACGAACGCGACCCAGGATGTCCTAGACCTGGCCAGACTCACGACTCGCATGTGGATCAGCTTCATAACCGACCTTGACCCTAATCACCATGGAGGTATGGCCCCGCTGCATCCTGCCCATATTAAGGAAATCATCTAACCGTGACTATAGTCTCCGGAATAGACCACTGGCCCGTGTATAACGCTACGGGTGGTTACGGCCAGAACTTCTATTTGCATCCCACCAACGGGGGTGTACGACCTGACACCTTTCGCCTAGCGGGGACGACGTTTATGAACTCGGTTGCTAAGGAACAGTACGGGCGATGAGAATGTGAGCAAATTACCGTGGAGACATAGTATAATTATATTGGAGCCCAGTATACAGTTCATAATCCGGGATTGAATGTCCCTTTCTCATACACTTCCGTGGGTCGCTGTGACCTGTGCAGAGCCCAACCAGCCTTGAAACAAGTAGACGATCGTATGCTCAAGAACGTAATTCCATGACTTCCCTGTTTTACCCATAGACCGGCAATGAATCCCACAAAGGAAAACACCAGGTCAATTTGATGTTCGAGATAGATTTCTAACCCAAGGGTACGCGGGGCCAATGAATGCCCACCTCGGGCACCAAAAGAAGCCAAGAGGCTAGCCCGAAGTGGGTGGGGACTGTCGATCGTCGCCTGGACTGACACGAATGCCATAGTACAGTTCTGACGGCGTTCATGCCGGTTGGCTCCGAATATGTCGGTAGGTGGTCTTTCCAGCGGGGCTCAGAAAGAGATATGCCAACTGGTTGTCGTTGCCCTTCTTGTACGAGAGCGGGTGTAGTGATTAACCGCCAAGGTAATGAGCGAGCCGAACAGAAACGGAAGAGAGAGGACAAACACGAAGACGAGGAGTTGTCGGAGGATTCGTGGGGGAACGAGAGCCGATGCAGCGAAAAGGAATAGTGTGAGAATAAAGGTGGATAGGAACATGACTGCGGAGTTCATCATGTAGATGCGAATGGCGTCGTGGTGATCAGTGGAGAGTGGGGGAGCGAGTCCACTACGTTGTCAATGGAGGGGCGGGGCAGTCATGGTCCATTAAAATACATGGTGAGGGGGAATATCAGTCTTAAGAATATCTCCTGTGCATCGCAGGGTATCTGGTGAGGCGTTCCCTATGAATATAAAATAGCGGTTCTCAACTTGCGACCAGGCAACGTCGGCGGCGGAGGAACATGGATGTGCTTTTGTGGCTTGTTTAGGGCTGGCACGGGACGAATAGGGAATTGGTCTGTGGAGTGGCCATGTCACTGTTGTCACTAAGCCTCTTGACACCTACCCTGCTAGCCTGGGGTTGTTCTTTGTTCTTTCTTTGTTCGTTTGCTTATTCCTTGTGGTCTAATTTGTTACTCCTTTTCTTTCCCGGTTCTGTCTTTTTTCTGTTTTATTTTCTCTATTCTCGGCCAAACCACGAGCTCTTAACACTTGCATGACATTTGAACATGCAAAGCCTCACAACACGACAAGCAACGACAGCCAAAAAATAAAAATAAAAGGAAGATAAGATAAGAAATGCCACAATGAGAAGAAGAAGCAAGGGAGGGAAGGAGAATAATAACATAGGATATTGGGGACGGAGAAAGAAAGCCACTGGACTGACTAATAATAAGCAATAATAGCAGTCTACTAGTGGGGGCCAAGAGCTAGCTCCAAGCTGTCTTAATGGGCCACGGTTAAATGGAAGGAGTTAGGGCCAAGTGCGTACTGGGAAGGGCTAGATCAATCATAAAACTAAGGTTGATGCTCCTTCTACATTCCCACCAAGGCTAAGTTGCTTACTTCCATTTCCCCGCATTTTCTTTTTCTCTTTTTAGGGTCACTCCATACATCTGTCCCAGTGACAGTACTTCGCATACTCTATCCTCCTATAATATAGGTATAACTTGACTCGCAGTGCGCGGAAACTCCTGACAATTGACAGACAAGGAAAATAAACGAGCACTGTGCTTCTATCTGTCAATAATGGCTGTTAATAGCGAAACCCCGCTATGCCCTAACTGATGCGCTATATGTGTCTAAGTTAAGAAGCAAAATGGTTAGCCGTGGACGAGGAAGGTGTTACGCCATGTATACGTGAGACCAAGTGGAGGGGATGAGTTCTAGGGGTAGAGATTATTGGGTAAACTACATGAACCTGATATAATACGCATGTCTATAATAGTTCGCGTGCAGTTTCTGCCTGGCTGCGCTGTTTTAAGGGTGTTAGGTATAGACCACTGTGGCTGATACAATTTCATTGTTTGCATCATGATTTGATATCCTATGCTACATAACAGGAGTTGTTGTAATGTAACCTAGGAAAGGTATGTCCCATGTCGAACGGGAAAGAGACGCTGTGTAAGCATACTTCTATATGAACAGTCGGATGACCGCCGAAGGAGACTCGAAACACTTCAGAGCTGTACGCATCGAGTAGCACTGCCCAACTAGGGAAATATGGAAGGCTTCCACAATGCTCTACCACAAAAGTGGCGTTCGCGGAAGTTGACCCTGGAGATGCGAGTGTAACTGTATCAGATAGGGGGGGATGCAAGGTGAAAGGTCTCTAGTATACTACGTGACTGGAGATTGGCTATCAAAGTATAACGTGGTGTTGCAATCGAGTGGAGATGTTTTGTGCAACACCACGCAAACACTACGGCGAGGGAGTTGGTGTAGCAGACTTCCTGGAAGAGACATCCAATCCATACAGAACATGCATGCACAGCCTCCCGCTCGTGCCACTTGAGAGGGTTGTATGTTGTCGCCCAACACTAGGTGGAGGCAAGACCGCTTATCTCATTAGCGGATAATAATATTGTATCCAAGACATCCTGCACAGGACACAGGGACAGGTAAGCATTATGTATCTTTGTTTGAGTTCCGTTACTCAAGGTCGGAATTGTACCCAAGGTTATATTCAAGGGTGTCAGCCTTGGCTACACGTTGTAGGGCTAGGTGGCAGCAACAATGAAAGAGTGATTTCGCTCTTCCCTTCCTTTATTTATTCTTGTAGAGGGTAGGCTGTTACATGACTGACCAAGGGCTGATCACAAAAGTCATGAAGGTTTAAGGCGCAATTTTGGGATTTCAGGCATACCTGGCGCTTATGACCACAACTGTACTACATGTAAGGCTGAATAACAACGCAGGTGCCACCGACGCATGGTCTAGAACAGGCTCGCAGGCTAAGAGATTGGCAAGGGTCAAATAAGGATAAGCTCGGTGCCATTCAATAGTCAGAATCAAAACGAAGGACAACTTATAAGCACTGACTGATCTCTTAGATAGCTTAGGTCATCGTTTTAGCATAGCCCGCCAACTACTGACTCCAATTGACTTGATTCTAAAGTTTAACCGCCAATATGGCGTCTTTACCTTGCCCCCACGATCGTAGCCAGTTCAGAATCGTTATTATCTGTGCTCTGGAACTGGAGGCTCGAGCCGTGAGACCAGCCTTCAATGAAATTTACAACGTAAGGGAGCACCCACGTTTGGGGAAGGCGCGTGGTGATCCAAATTCTTACACGATTGGGCGGATGGGACTGTACTATGTGGTCCTGGCACACATGCCCGAAGCTGGGAAGGCATCTGCATGCAGTGTGGCCAGCAATGTCACCCGCAGCTATTCTAACATTGAGATGGGCTTCTTGGTTGGTATCTGCGGAGCCGTTCCATTCAGGACAGACTCTAATGCGAATTGCCAAAATGAGAGGATATCGTTGGGTGACGTGATTATCGCAAACGGGGTCATTCAGTATGATCTGGGGAGAGAAACAGACACAGGCTTTTTCCGAAAGGACACTTACCACGATACTCTGGGAAGACCCACTACGGAGATCAGGACATTCCTATCCAAGGTCCGTGCGAACCTTGAATACTTGGTGGATCCCTTACATGCTCACTTTCGTACCATTTACCAATTCGTCATGACCGCAAATTCGGGACAACAGCAGAGCATGACGAACTACAGTGGACACTCTGGACAGGTACCTTGCGATGTAGTTATGGGTAACTCTCCTGAAGATCCCGAGCAACGTCCGCCATATGTGCATTTTGGTCTGATGGTATCAGCCGACAGGGTCCTGAAATCTGCGAGGGTTCGCGACAAACTAGCAAAAGACGAAGATGTCATCGGGTTCGAAATGGAGGCAGCGGGAGTATGGGCAAATATCCCTGTAATAGTCGTGAAGGGTGTATCCGATTATGCCGATGCCAATAAGGATGATAGGATGCAACGCGTCGCAGCCGTAGCATCCGCAGCTTGCATGAGAGCACTTGTTGATGAATGCCCGATATCCACCTTGTCTGCGTCGTCACGAAATGCTGAAGGTAGGTGAATAGAACCACAAGGATTGCTATCCAAGAACTGATGCTAAGAAATGTGTCGCAAGCAAGTATCCGCTCTAGACATAAATCGACAAGTTATTGATTGTCTGGATTTCGACCGGGCCACGTATCGTCGGGAGGACATACACACAGCGGTTGAAAAGACTTGTGAATGGATATTTCAAAAGGAAGTTTATCAATCCTGGATGGACGATACGCAATTAGATCGACACGAAGGCTTTCTGTGGATCAAGGGTGGCCCTGGTACTGGGAAGTCCACTTTGATGAAGTTCATATTGACCGAGGCAGAAAGGTCCAGAAGATACACTATCACCCTGTCTTTCTTCTTCCACGCCTCTGGAATGACTCTACAAAAGTCGCAGGCTGGGATGTATCGTTCGCTGTTGTACCAGTTTCTCAAGGCCGATGGGACCCCAGACCGATGTAAAGAAGAGTTTCTGCGTGCTGTTGGAAAAATGAGTAGAAGTGATCCTACAGCTAACCGCTGGGATACCGAAGACCTGAAACATCTACTTTTGCGCATGATGGACGTCCTAAGCAATGGCCTTGTCAATCACCTTGTACTTTTCCTGATCGACGCTATTGATGAATGTGAGATCAACAAGGAAGACACCCTGAAGATGATTGGCTTTCTTCGGCAGATAAAAGGTAATGTCAGCGGAAAGCAACTCAGTTTGAGATTCTGCTTATCGAGACGGTATTATAAGTACGTGGATCCCAGACCAGGGAAACTCTTGGAGCTGGACCGCTTGAAAGAACACCAGCTTGACATTGAGAGATATGTGGGACAGACACTCAGATTTACGAATTCAAGAATCAGAAAGCAAATCTGTGCGAAGTCAGCTGGTGTGTTCCTATGGGTCAAGCTTGTGGTTGACAGTTTAAATGACGATTTCGACAAGGGCAACGTGCACGATGTGCAAACAAGACTGGAAAAGATCCCGCAGGGATTAGACAACCTTTATACTGAGCTACTTGGACGAGACAATCGACCAAGCGAAGAGCTTATCCTCTTCTTCCAGCTCATTTTGTTCTCCTCGCGACCTTTGACGCAAGAGGAACTGTACTTTGCACTATTCTTCAGAAAGATTGCCCTAGTCAAGAGGGATACTTCACATACGGATGGGATCTTCAAAATGTACATCCTCGATGTCTCGAAGGGACTTGCTGAAGTGACTGCTAGTAGCCCAACCAAAAGCACAGTTCAGTTTATTCACGAGTCAGTTCGAGAATTCATGCTTGGTTGGTTTAAGTTGGAACCTAGCCTTGGAAAAAACGTCATAGGATTCTCTCATCAACACCTAGGAGTCCTGTGCTTCGACTACGTCCGTTACTTCAGGCTAGGGAACCGAGATTTTAAACATTTTATGCATCTCATGCGGCAAAAAACATACTCCGTGTCTGTTAATAACGTGATAAAGAATAACATTCCTTTCTTTGGTTACGCAGTGCTCAATCTTTTCTATCACAGCAATGAAGCCCAACGCCACGATGTTAAACAAAGCGAATTTCTCAGGGGATTCTCCGCTGTGTTTGACGGAGGCTTTTCCAACTTCCTATTCTACTATAATTCAGCCTTGGCTAACACAAAAGACTGGTACAACGACGACGCAACGTTTTTGCACTTCCTCTGTGATAAGTGTTTGAGGCATCTTGTCCGTCAAGAGGTCCTGAATGGATCGCATGCCTGGCAAGAGTCTGGCAAGCGTGGCTGTCCGATGAGTACTGCAGTATACAATAGTGACCTGTATACCATACGAACTTTGCTGGGATGCACACCGGATTATTCTGGCTCTGGCAGCTATTGCAATGTTCTGGAAGACACCATAGTGGTTCAAAGTATGAAACGATTCTTGGAAGCAATACCCCAGGGCTATAAAGTACTGAAGAGCAATAAATTACCTCAGGGCATTGACATACCGACGTTGTTGCTCAAATACGCTGTGGACGGTGCGAATGTCGCTGTTTTAACCTTGCTGTGGTGCACAGGACTGTTTGACTTCAACCAAGAATCAGTTTATGGAGAGACCCCGTTGAATTGGGCACTCGAAAAGCGCCCAGCCTTTCTGGTCTACCATCTGTTGAATTACGAAAAAGACGGCATCAAGGTTGATATCAATAAACCGACGCATGGCAATCCGCCACTGAAATTAGCCATTCAGAGCAAGCACGAAAGAGAAGAAAAAATAAACATGCTACTTCGCCACGGCAGTTTGGATCGTTCGTGTCTGGATGCGAGACAGTGTAATGCTTGCCATTGGGCAGTACATATGAATGATGAAGGGCTACTGAGACGCTTGATCGACTTAGGATTTCAGATGAACCATCGGGGTGTCAAAGGACGCAGCCCTCTTTCGCATGCAGCGGAGTTTTGTAAGGTCAGAATGATGGACATTCTACTCGCGTCAGATCCAACTCAGGGGGACGAGAAGGATGCGGACGGAAGAAGCCCTCTATCATGGGTAGCAGCCTGTTGTTTCCCCGAAGAAAAGGAGGCCGTCAGTGACCCAGAAGCAAAACACCTCCTTCAAAGACGATCTTTAGAGACGCTGCTGAGATTCAAAGTCGATGTGAATTCCGAGGACAGGAATCAGAGAACGCCGCTAATGTGGGCAGTCGCAGCAGGTAATCGAACAGCTGTCCAGTTACTCTCATCCCATAAGGACACCGATATCAACTGCTGTAGCAGATTTGAAGAAACACCACTCGTCATTGCCATCATGAAAGGGGATCCAGAGATCGTTAAAATTTTACTACAAACTAGCAGGGCCGATGTCAATTTAGGAGATATCAACGGTCGAACACCTCTATCATGGGCCTTTGGCCCATGGCACCCTTTGAGAAAGGACAAAGCACAAATCAGCCATTGCCGCAACCCTAGCATTGCCAGGTTACTTTTCGAATCAGGGGCGGACCTGAACATTACAGACACTTTTAAGCATACACCACTGTGGTGGGCTCAGTCGTACGATGTTCTACTGGCAAGGGGCAATCCAGAAATTCAAAACTATCATGACTCCCCTCTCACCGTTTTGTCAGACTACCTTTCATCATTAGAGATAATGAGGGCGCTTCAAATGCCCACTCACGACGAAGCCAAATTCAAGTGTGAGATCCGGCTCATGTGGCTGGTTTGCGAAAAATTCGGATTGCAGGCCAAGTACCCCTGGACGTCTGAAATTGGGATAGCTATCCTAGATTGAAGCTGCACGTTGATTGGCGTTCTGGGGGCTTTGTTCATGCCGTTTCATGCTGCTTAGTATCAACTAACTGACACCAATGCTTCACCTAGACTGTATTCGTTTTCTATAAGTATAGCTTGAGAACACTAGCCCGGGGGAGACATGAACGGCTTTCATTTGATTGCCTGTGAGGTGCCGTCTCCTGGATCAATTCCCCCTAAGATTGGAACACCTAGATGGCAAAGCCAAAGATAAGACCAAGAATCGGCCAGATGATCAGCCAGTTGTGAACACCGTTACGGACTGCCATCGAGCCCTGGCCTTCCTCAAATCCCATGTTCATTGAGTTATTCCCAAATCCGAGCGTCGGAACCCATGAAGGCTTGTTTTCCTTGTTTAAAATATCCGAGTGAAGAGGGTCTATCTTTCCCAGAAATTCAATCGACCCTTCTCCATACATAGCATCACCTTTTTCGTTATTGACTAAGAACCAGCCACTAAAAGAGAAACTGGCCGATTGGTTATCGAACATTAAACCGGCAATGGGCTCGGTGATAGGAATATCCTTCGGGTTATGATCACCCTGGTCCAAGAAGTTAAGGCCCCACCACGTATCGGCGGAGTCATCACAGGAGCTCATATTCATCTCTACTGCCCTAACTCCTCGCCCGGTGTCATTAGAGGCACCTGTGATATGGTACGGTGGACCGAGCTCATTTTCGAGCGAAAGATTGAAGTAGGGCTTATGCGATCCACTTGTGTAGCCTGGAATTACGTGTCTAGCGGGTGTTACTTGTGTGTATCTCGTAGAATGGTTGGGGATTGGACGTACTCGATTGAAAGGAATTGCCATCTTAAATTTCTTTCTTCGTTTCCCATATCAGAACCGTGGACAAAGTCGAAGTCTGTTAATGCCGACTTTAGAGCAACTTGTACTGGGTTCTTGCCCTCGTCATCGGGGTTTGTCTTTGTCACAGCCAGTATAGATTCAGAGGCGAATGTTGTAGTTTTATTTCGAAAGGCACGGCACACCTCATCGCCATTATCATCTAGGAGATATTGAAAGTTGAACGTTGTAGTGCCATTGTAGTACCTGTGATAAATCAGTAAGGATATCTCGATTCCAGATGGGATTATAGCTTACGATCCAATCCAAGAGTAGAGGAAGTAGGGCAACCCTGTTATGTTCCTGAGGCGGAAGTTGTATTCGGGGTCAAAGGTGGAATCTTCGAAACCAAGGGTCTGTAAGGGGAGAAGTGTCGAGATCAACCAGATGTAGTTCATCTTGCAAATCATGCCGGTTTACTTGCTGTTTCATTCCAAGAGCCTTCTACGGGGGAAGAGAGGATGTCGTCCCAGGGTAAACATAGTGACTCGAAAAGTTCATCACATGAGCGGAGATCGCTCGTGTTGTTACTTGGCATACAATTCTAGTGGTTCTTCCAAGGCTCGCTAATCTCACAAATTTCAACAGCTTCCGACGGGCAGTACTGGAGAAAGTGCACACTAGCAGTGTAGTGTCTTGGCTCTGCCCACAGCTGCCCGAGATGCCTTGATAAGTGAGTTACACCCCGCTCAAAAACGGGTATCTGGAAACGGTTGAAATTACCCCTTTCAGCAATCACTGAAGCTATTCAACATATGGTTGATTTGCATATCTTCTAGTACCCTCTGCCTTAGCATTGGACGGGTACATCCTTTTGTCATTCTTATCGTCATGCAATATGAAAAGATGCATATACTCGAAATTGATATTACTAACTGTAGAAACCCAGGGTAACCTCAGGAACCACTATGAATCAGAAAAGTTCAACTATAACAACATACCAACCAGCATCGTCAGCGTGCCTCCATTCGGTCAAAGACCAACTCTACCAGTGATATGAGCGAGTGACTAGAAGCACATGGGCGAACCAAACTTTTCGTCATTTCAAAAAACCCCAGAGATTATTCAGGCTTTCAGCAAAAGCCGGATGCGCAAAAACAGCATCTTGCAGTTTCCAATATGGAAGCTTTGCAACCATAGCCATCTCTACGACACTCATAAGCTCTCCCCCTTCCGTGCCGAGACATGTAAAGCCAAGAATTTGCCCATCATCGGCATTGACGACTGCTTTCATCATCCCGTTCGATTCATCGGTCTCCAATGCCCTGGCAACGTAGCTCATTGGCATGGCCGCTGTTGATATTCTCATGTGTGGATATCGCTCGCGCGCCTCTCTTTCGTGCAGTCCAACGTGGCCTAGCTGTGGGTCTGTATATACCACATAAGGCACGAGCCTGTCTGTCACAGAGGGTCCTGAATGCGCCAAAGAGTCAGAGAGTAGAGAAGCCTTCAAAACCCGAAAGTCATCATAGGATATATGTGTAAAGGCAGGAGGGCCCTTAACATCGCCTAGGGTATAAATAGAAGGGACAGAAGTCTCTAGGAACTCGTTGCACTTGATGTACCCTTTTGCATCGACTTCAATCCCCGCAGCATGTGCGTTCAGATGATCTGTGTTAGGAACTCTACCAGCAGCAAAGAGAAGATGAGTGACGTTGCTCACAATCTCAGTGCCGCCTTGAGTCTCCACTGATAACCTGAATGTTTCCATAGATGTAGATGAAATCGATGTGGGTCTGGCCCCCAGATGAATCGTCATATGCTCGCCCCGCATGATATCCAACAGCTCAGCTGCTATCTCTTTGTCTTCGCGAGGCAACAGCTGTGCTCCCCGCTGAACCATCGTCACCTTCGACCCGAGTCTCGCGAACAGTTGGCCGAACTCAACTCCCACATACCCACCTCCGATGACAACTAAATGCCCCGGCAGCTCATCTAGCTCTTGAATAGACGTGGAGTCCAGTACTCTGGCCTTGTCTATCTTTTCCAATCCATCGAGACTTGGAGGCACCGGTCGGCAACCAACATTAACAATGATCTTTTCTCCGTTGATAAGTCTGTGGCTCCCATCGGGGAACATCACTTTGAGGGTGTTCGCATCGTTAAAGCGCGCCTCACCCCGCAGAACATCAACGCCAGCACTTTCCAGGCGTTTTTCACTCCCGCTCCGGAAGGAGCTCACTATATCGCGCTTTCGCTGTCGCACTTTGTCCATCGAAACAGTGAACTCATTCTTCAGTCCTACCTGCCCGGGTAAGTGGATACCATAGTCCGGCCCCCTGCGGATCAAATGCGCGACGCGGCCTGATGCGATCATAGTCTTGGTCGGCGTACAGCCTTCGTTAACGCAACAACCGCCGATGTGTATTTTTTCTATGAGTGCAGTTTTCTTGTTTGCCTCAGCCAATGCTTTTGCGAGCGGAGTACCGCCTTGGCCCGAGCCTATTATGATGGCGTCGTAGTGTGTAGCGGTTGCCATTTTTCTAGTGATCAATTTCCTTAGTTGTCGGCGTGCTGTGTAGAGGTACGGAAAGTAAATTGACATCACGGGTCTCTAATGGATTTTAAAAGATTGTAGTGCCATCAGGAAACGTGTTTCCTATATAAAACAAACGAGTCACTCCACTTAGGTTGTGTGACAAATACATCATGGTTCCCGTAGTGGTGGCTTGATCCATGGATTCGATTAACCTTATTATATCTTGTTCTTAAAGCACAAGTTCCAGACCACTTTGGACTGTCATGAAAGATTGGATTATGACGGGCTGCTATACGGCTACAAACCTACTTCGTATGAGGACAAATGCCGATGGACGCAGCTGTTGATTCCAATTGGAACTGCTCTTCGTGTATAATCGTATTAGTGACCATGACCTCGGCATATAATAGTGCGTCAATCAGCCTGAAAAGTTAGAATCCAGTTTCATGCTACAGATTACGAAATAGTTGATTAGAAGCAACGGAAACTCTTTGGTGTATCAGATCTATCCCACCATCAAGCGAGTGCTTATTTACCACGGCCAATGTGAAGAGAGTACGACAAAGTCACTCTCTAGACTTTATGCTTAGGAACATAATAGTAGCATTACCTGTTTACAGGTGCAATTCATATCATACGAGCACTCCGTTATGGTATGCATGTCAATGTGCCCAGCTACAGATGATTTCTGAAACGTCCTAGATAACCCTAAGCCCTAATACCGTTTCTGTATTAATTGAGATGTCACCCACTCCTACATATAGCGCCTCTCCAGATTCTCCATTGTGATATTTTCGGTGCTTATCCAGTACGAGCTTTCGGGACACTATGTACGTTCCGTATATTTCTAAATGGTTCCCACAACAGATGCATCAAGCGCAGTCAGATTTGGTTCGGGATCCTGATCACGATACAATCAGCTTCAGATACTGTTAACACTTATGCCAAGCTCAATCCATTGATTTTGAAATAGTGCAACATAATTGAAGGCCACAGGGCTCAGGCACCGGTAACATATTGCGTACGTCTAGAACGAAAGCCTAAAGTCTAAAGGCTCGGAAAATCTGGATCTGCAGTGGCTACAATCGGACATCTGAACGCATGATTTAATAGCGTGGTAGTGATACATAACTAGTTTATTCAACGCCAGTGTCTTGTGCTGCTGCTGTTAGCTTTTGGGTCAGAGAGTCATCGGTAGAGATGTTGAATCTGGTAAGACCTGGGTCAGTGCTTCCCAGTGGCTGGAGGCTATACAACATTAATAGAATGTCTAAATGTCGATAAGAGTCTCAGGTAACGAGTTACCACAGCCTTCCTTATTTCACATTCCCCATGGTCCTGCGTAGGGTGCTATTTTTCTCAGCCCGATACCACGAGATAATTGCTATAGCTCTTTGTCAATACTAAACGTAAGCCCATGAAGCCTTCCCACTACACTTGGCATATTAATATCACAACACATTTAGCCTGTTGGCAGCCCTGAAAAGATGTATTGCCGAAGTTATGCCGAATTGTGTGTGGTTCTGCGCTAGGCCCTTCCAGATCATCGGCATGTCGACCTGAACCCCGCGGGGTGAGATAGCTAGTACAACACAGAACCGGCATGCTTCGGGAAAAATCCATGCAATTAGGCCCCGTAGCTGCGGAGAAACAATTTGAGCCACTTGCTCTGCCGCCGTCGACATAACCACATACGGTAATTGAGCCCAATCGGCAGATATTTCCCCGAGGATTCGGCCAACAACTTCACTATTTGATTCCTCCGCCAGTGGACGTGTATTTTAAACTTTTTTCGAGGAATATAAATTCCGGCCTCCATACGAACGGGCGACGCGGCCCACTTGCCTTCCCGAGCTTCGTGGTAGACATTGCTCTCACCCAAGCGTCCTCTTCACTAAACAAAAAGCCTTGAATTTGTTGGCAAGTCTGAAAATTGTGTCTTCGCCGGTGAGTGACTGGCCTACATCCGTGATTATGTCTAGCTTGATCTTGTAGACTTGCGAACAGACAATAAGTGGGTAACATATTGGGCAATGTCTTGATTTCCACCTCGGACCATTCCCGCGTACCGTGTGGAGCAACTTGTGGGGTTTGGAGTCAAAACCTGGAGACGCCGGGGTTGCTTGAGCCTAGCTAGAATACTAATGCATACAACCACCTTAACTCTAAACGTCGATCATTACCAGAACTGTGGTGGCATGGCTTCCATCCCCACTCGTACATACGCTGGGATTCTTTGGAGAGAGTTTTGAGAATTCACATGGGTTGGTTTTTTGGAGGCCTCTTAAGTATATAAAGACCCCCCAAAGAGACTGTTTCAATGTCATCATCATACACTGTACGCAGCCAACGAGAAGTAAAACAAGATGCGGGCTTCCCTGTCATATGCTGCTTTGTTGGCGACATTTGCTGACGCACAGCAATTGTACCTCACGACGGACGGCTATACTGACCGTCCACAGTGTACCAAACCGGCTGCCGTTCCTCAGTACCATTTCCGGTCCTTTTCTTATACCCTAAACGAGACCGTTCGGTGAGTGCTCTCCCATATACTTCTGCCACAAACTAGAAAGCACAACCTAACTAATGAAATTCTGCAGTTATGCTAGTTCAGTACACGCACCAACCACAACCCGAACGTATGCGCCACCTTACTCGGAAGCAGTCAAGCATCTCACGGCAAGCCCGGTGACTACAACATGGGGAAACTGGCTGCCTAGCCAGACAGTGATTACGGCTACAGACACAGATGATCCTTATGGACAAGCCGCATGGTCCTCGCTTTGGGAGCAAGTCGATCTAGAGAACTACACGACTACCGGGCTGTATTCTACCACGGTCAATCCTACGGCGATTCCAAGCAGTGAGCTAATCCTGCCACCGCGGGACTACTTTGGACCAACAGATTGCTATAACTTCCCGGATGACTTTATCTTTGGCGTTGCAGGAAGCGCAGCTCAAGTGGAGGGTGCCATTGGTTTGGAAGGCCGTAGCCCCACCATCCTGGAGACGTTGGTGAATACCACTCAGCCAAAGAATTATGTGACAAACGAGAACTACTACCTCTACAAGCAAGACATTCAACGATTGGCTGCCATGGGAGTGAAATACTATAGTTTCTCGATCCCGTGGACGCGAATCCTACCCTTCGTCTTGCCAGGGTCGCCCGTGAACGAACAGGGGATCAGGCATTACGACGACTTGATCAACACCGTCCTTGATGCCGGAATGCAGCCTATAGTTACCTTGCTTCATTTTGATAGCCCCTTGATGTTCGTGGGCAGCGACAATACGTCCGCTCATCCAGATATCGGCTACAACAACGGCGGCTACCAGAACGAGACCTTCGTGGACGCCTTCGTCAACTATGCGAAGATTGTTCTTACTCACTACGCCGACCGCGTTCCGATCTGGATTACCTTCAACGAGCCGCTGCTCTATTCATTTAACTTCGCTGGTGCCAATAACGTGGTGCACGCCCACGCCCAAGTGTACCATTTCTACCATGAGGAGCTTAATGCCACCGGCAAGATAGGTATCAAATTCAATGACAATTTCGGAGTTCCTCGAGATCCAACCAACTCAAGTGATATCATCGCCGCCAATCGTTTCCAGGAGATGCAGCTGGGACTTTATGCCAACCCCATCTTCCTCGGCCAGCAGTACCCGGACTCTGTCCTGACAACTCTACCGGGCGCTAAGCCGCTCAGTGACCAGGACCTCGCATACATAGGTAATACCTCGGACTTCTTCGGCATCGACCCATACACCGCGACGGTAGTCTCCCAGCCTGTTGGAGGTATCGAGAGCTGCGCCAAGAACCAATCTACAGGAAACTCGTTATTCCCTTACTGTGTCATGCAAGAGACAAAGAACATCTACGGCTGGAATATCGGGTACCGTTCACAAAGCTACGTGTACATCACACCCACTTATCTCAGGGAATATATCAACTATCTCTGGAATACCTTCCGGAAGCCCGTGTTTGTGACCGAGTTCGGGTTCCCTGTATCCCACGAGGCCGATCTGGAGTTGTCGGACCAGCTGTTCGACACGCCACGCAGTATCTACTATCTATCCTTCATGTCGGAGATTCTCAAGGCCATCCACGAAGATGGGGTGAATGTTATGGGTGCTTTGGCCTGGTCGTGGGCTGATAACTGGGAGTTTGGTGATTACAAGCAGCAATTCGGGTTACAGGTGGTGAATCGGACAACCCAACAGCGGTTCTTCAAGAAGAGCTTCTTTGATTTGGTTGATTTTGTGGGTGCGAGGCTACCACCTTCGTCATGACACTAGTAACTGAACTTGGAGCTGCATGCGGGTTGTTGTTGAAGCGACACTTCTATGTTCATATCAAGGGGGAGAATTGGTATATTCAAGCTTACTTTGCCAAAGAGTCCTAGACACCTAACTATCATCCAATGTTTAAACCCAGGTTGGATACAATAGCCTACATAAACTAGTCTCTACTACCCTGCCTCTTCCCTACCCACATGGATCCTCATTGGGCTCCTAGTAGTACCACCTTTGTCCCGCCTAACTATTACCAGCGCGACAATATAGTAGACAATGAATTAAGCCTCTTGCTATGCAGCTCTTTTGCCTAATCCCGGCTAGAAGATGGTCTGATAACAAGTAGGGCGGTGTTTACTAAGTGGAGCACGTTGAGAAGGAACAGAAGCCTCATGGGGCTCGAGTCCCACATATTTCCTCGCTGTTTGCAACCACAGGTGACATACCTTAGTGTGTATGATGTTGTATAGTATTCAAGGTAGCAGACATGTCGACTGTGGAAAAAATCGGGAGAATTATTTGTGAAATTAGCTATATTCTAACCTGGCATATTCAGTGTGCAATCAACTATGCATAATACTTCCCATTCAAAACCCCAGCACCGTTCTCGTCATACTGCTCCTTAGACATCCAGATGCCCTCGGCATCAGCCGAAGCCACAAGGGTACCACCCAGCCAGACCGAGTATTCACGATTCGCGGGGCTGGTAATGTTCATAGATGCAAATTCCGGCGCGACGTTAGCGATCGCATTGTGCAGATGGTCTGCCAGGCCAGGATCCGTGTTTCCTCCGGACTATATCATTCTTTGTTAATAACAAACGAAAGCAAAGTGTGGTCAGGGCTACACATACCAGGATTACATTGCTATACAAACTAGCCTGAACGCTTTCATCAAAGGTTTGAGCTACGTTTGATATCGCAATCGAGAGATCTCCAAAATCAACTTGGGCTCTTGCTTCCGCTACACATTTCCCTTCAATAACGGGGACGATGCGGGCGTATTCATTCCCAACATCAATGACTAGGCCTGTAGTGCGATTGGATGCATACACGGCCAACACAGCATCAGGCACAATATTGAGTGCGGGAACGTTGAAGTTCTCGAACATCATCTGCACGGTCTTCTCCCGATCCGCGTCGCTGGTGAATGGGGATTCGGCGAGCAGGACGGGGTGTTCTTCCGGTGCGACCTTCAGCTCACTGTAGAAGGCGTGCCAGTAGATCTTCTGTAGTGCATCCCAGTTTGTCACGGAGCTGTTCTGGAGTGGGTTTACGAGGGGTTCGTTGTTTTGGATGGCTGCGTCGCCGACGGAGCTGGGTGTATAGGTAAGCTTAGGCAAACTGGAGCACAATGTTTTAGGTTTGTGGTTACCGTGGGCCGACGACAGTTCCTATTTATATATGTTAGAACTTAGGATATAAGATAAGTAGCATGGAATGCGAAGGTTTTGACCAACTCACGGAAGATAGAGCGAGGCGCATCATCACCGGCAAATCCAGCCCTGGTACGGAAGGAGCTGCGAGAAGATTAGTCCTGGACAGATTTTAGGAAGTGAAGTAGGGCAGCAGACCCAGCGTCAATGACAATTCCTTGGGTGTCGCCGCCTAATATCGCAATCAATTGGTCCGAGTTAGTAGGCCCGCAGTAGGTTAGAATTCAATTGAGGAGCCTACTGGACATTATTGCGGGGTAGATACGTGGGTTAGATTTGGTGCTATGAAAGTATGGGAATATTGATAGCCTCGGATCAAATATGTGGGATTGTCCCTGTTTATATAGACTCGGGTGGGGTGCAAACAACTCTGCGTTGGCTGTAGCTTGAGGATGCTGCCTTGTCTGACCAGTCAGATCATCACACTTTGATCATATTCGTATGAGATCGTCGCTTGTATACGTGGAGATTCACCCCGCTAGTGAATTTATTGGCTGCTAAACCAACAGTTTAATGGGTGCGGCTGAGGAATGTCGATCGTACAGATCCTGTGGGTCCATCTATCATGGTCGTGGAGGATATCTAAATTGTGAGATGGTTCTCTAGATATGACAACGCTTATACACATTGAACCAAACACCTCTTGGAATATCAATAACTCATGAATAATATCTCCACAAGTCCCTATCGGATAAGGCATTTCCCGTGTAAATGTGGTGGGATGGCTCATCATGATATTTTCCAGTTGAGCCCCGCAGCCCCGCAGAGGGTTTCTCGACGTATATCCGGACTCCATATGCATACTCTGTACAAATAGTGCACAGGCGGGTTGGCAGTATGTAGCTATAAATCTATAACTGGTCATGGGCAGGGAACAAGATACAAATCAGCGTTTTAATCGCATAACAGTGATGATTGCATTCTTTTCACTTGGCACTTGAGACTGTTAGTGTCATATAGATCTTATATAGAAATCGAACGAAAATAAAAATACAATAATCAAAGTACTATCAAGATCCTATTTCGCCAAGATCATGGATGCTCGGCGGATCCTCGGGACCTGTCTGTTAATCTGAAGCACCCCAGCTTCCATCTCTATTGCTCACCTGTGCTACTTTTGTCGGTGGTGTCGACTACACAATGCAGAAGAGCTGTAAGGGCTTCCAGGGGAATTCATTTCAGTGCTTCCCCAGTTCGATCAAATCCGATGGGAATATGGGATCAAAGTCAATGTCAGATGCGTAGTATGTATCTCGTACATGTCCCATGGTTACTCTGTCAGCTTTCGGGTTCTCTATTGCGCTCGGACCTTAGTTCTAGAGACCACCATTATATGCCCCGCATTTAATAGATTACTATACGGAGCTAGAAATCTGCCGGGAATGCTAATCCAGGTATACGACCCTAAAGCTGACATGGGGTCACCGGCATACTGGGAATGGGAATCTCAAGAAAAGGAGGGCAAGCATATTGTCCCTGCTGGATACAAAGTTCGTGTTGTTGGTGCCACAGTCATGTTTACCTAGGTATACGCTGAAGTGTCTCGATCACTCTCAAATCCAACTAACAGGTTTATAGAGATATCAAGATTTCGATCTTTTGGGGGCAGCGCATTAACACAATCTGTCACCGATATTATATACACAGAATTCTAAATAATTAAAAACTTTTTTAAAAAAAAATTGCAATGATTCAACTACCTGTAATTCTATTTCAATATTTAAATTTTAAAATGTTAAAACTTACCACACAATTTCATAAATGATGTGCATTGGTAAGGCGGAAATGAAAGGTCACTGACAGTCAGAAGAAACAAGTAGCAGGGGCCGAAAAGAGAAACAATAGAAAAATATGCAACACCATTAGTCTGGCATTAGCCACGTAAGGCCAGGTATAGGCGTCTCCCCGTTCTTTAGCGACCCTTTACGGGTCGACGGTTAAGGTTAAAGCCTTATTTAATCTTGATACCGGAGTAACCTAAGCCTATTTAGACTCCATTGATTGACATGGTTCACGATATAAACACAAACACCGAGTTGGATGACCACAGCTTTTCTCGAATTCCCACCCGTCACCTGGTTCTCACTTCCGCCCTATAGACACCCGGTTGGCCATTATCGAAGAAATGTCTGACAACAAAGGAGATAGGGGAGCCGCTGTCTCTGCCCCTCCCCCTCCCCCTCCTCCTCCTCCCGAAGATCCAAGCTCGAAAGTCGCCCCGTTTGTCAAGAAGCTGAGATCTGCTCCTCCCGGCTATTTCTTCCAACCTGAACGGCCACCACCTCATAGAGATCCATTTGCTGCGCCGACGGGCCCTTACTTCTTCTACGGCACACTGTCTGATCCCGCTATGCTCCGCGATGTCCTTGGCTTGGAAACCGAGCCACAACTTCGGCCCGCCACCATGATAAGCTACGACTGCAAGCTATGGGGCCAGTATCCAGCTCTTCTAGATGCCCCAGGAAAGGTGGTTCATGGGGCTGTCTACCATGTCGAAACAGAAGAGCATGCGGAGAGGCTCGCCAGCTATGAAACGGATAATTATCGGGCCGATCCATGTCACATCGACTATACCGACGGCAATGAGCCCGTCGAGGACTTGGGTTATTGTTTTGAATTTGTCGGGAATGTCAGAGACTCGAGTGACGGCAGCTTTGATCTGGGGACTTGGCTAAGAAGAGTGAAGAGGGTGGTTGAGGACTCATCAGATGTCAAGTAGTTGCAGGCAAGAAAGGCATGTATCTGGACTGCAAGTACTAAGAAATACAAGTCACGTTATCATGAGACAGTACTTTCTGTTAACTTCTTGAAATTCGCCCCTTTCGCGCCTCAATTCTGTTCGGCAGGCTACCTATGCTATTCTTCCTAGAGTACGATCTCAGAAAACTAAATTGACAAAAGCATCAATAGCCAAGTATACTGGTGTCAGGTAAAGTAGGCCTTAAATGCCGTATAAGCTTATAGCTTTCTTAATATTTTTCAAGGCAATTCGGCGCTTTATATATCCATTTCTCTCTTGTATTAGGAAGTACATGCTACTCAAAAAATAAAGTTATTATCAGGTCTATTTCTTAATCAAGAAGTTAGGGTTACTCCTTTTGTAACTGTTTCCCATCTTGATTCCATGGCATCACTGTTGTCTTGTACATCATTCCATATGCTTGATATTCCAGACTAGATCTTTTCGTAACTCATGATAAATGGGGCCGAAGCCCCTGCGTTGAATAGATTATTTTGGAACCAATTTCGAATTGCCTCAGCTGTTCCTTGCACATCAGGCTCAATATGGAAATCCTCCGGCATCGAAGAGGCCGCACCGTTTCTGCAATTTAGGGAGCATCGGCAACTAGTAAGAGGATGGCCTCGACGAATTTCAAACGGGCGCGGTGATCTAGGAACACATCTCGCAGAGTCTGGGGTCAATACTCCACCCCGTGGATGATATGTGCGCATGTCGAACACGTCAACTATGAGCGGAAGTGATATTTGTGAGGACTCCAGGGGCAGCGTTCGTCGCAATCACCGACAGCTCTCCGGTCCCCTACAGGATGGCTCCTCTGACAAGCCCACTGGTCGTCTGGAACAGACAGATTTCCAATCCCGAGGCATCTCTCGACGTAAAAGTCGTATACTGCTTGTCCTGACCCCTCCCCCACACGTAACGGCCCTTTCCGGAGACATGTCAAAGTGCTATTGCATAGACTGCAGGTCGATACATGCGACGGCGTCCAGCCAAAGTCCCCATACGTGTTACAGACGCTGGCGAGCCACAGATCGACCGCCCGATGTGCACATCCCAGACGGGGTATCATAGAATCCTCCTTTCCCAGCTGCCCTGCTTTGATTGCTAACTGGTATTCCACTCTGACCTTCAGCACATCGTTCTCGTCCAGGTCTGGTAAGATCCGAATCTTGATTTTCGACGATCCGTAGTTCATGGTACAAGAGTGCCAGCAGAAGGGTTCCCTGGCACCGGCACCAAATTGTGTGGCCAGAGCTGTCAGAGCCTTCTGTCGCACTCGCAGAAGCTCAACAAGATTCATTTTCCCACGAAAGGTCAACTTGATGCATGGACATAAGTCAACAACACCTGCGAAACTCCCCAGGTTACAGCCTCTGTCTTCAGGCTGATGTTTCCGTTCTCGCTGGGGAAAGGAAGTCGGCGTATGTAGCTGTAAGCATCTGGAACAAGCGAGCCAGCGTCTGTTTTGTAGAAGTTTGATGAGTTCCCACCGGGGAGTTGCTAAGTTGTACTCGTTGCGATAGTGTTTGAATAGCGGGGCAAAGTCATGACTGAAAGACAGGCATTCTGAGTTTAAAACGGCATAATCTAGTAGGAACAATTTCCTGCAAGTCAAGGCAAGGGTCGCTCGAGAAACCTCTGATAAATGGGATATGATGTGTAGGAGTAATTCCGTCGGCAGTTTAAGAAGATAGCAGCCTCCACTAATATGTGCCCTTCCTTGGCCCCGGGTTGATGGCCAATGTCCGGTTTCTAACGAGGCTACCCACTTTTCTGTTAGACGCTGAAGGCTGAATATCATATTAATCGAAAATGCTCGTCTCAGGCGTTGTCTCATTATAAAGGCGAGGCTCGTTTTGCTCCGACCTTGAGTTTGAGACATCTCCTGCTGGCCGCAGTCAACCATTTCCTGACTGGAGTTCATTGCTGTGTCAAGGGATCTGGACATGTCACACCTCTGCTATCGCTTGGCGTTGTAGAATTCGACGATAGTATGAAAGGTTATTTAGCAGGAAAGTTGAAAACCTCGGATCGAAAATAAAGAAAAGCAAAGGGCGGCGATACGTATAAGGGAAGCCTTTATATTCGTTGGGAAGTATCGGCAGATTCCATAAGGCGTTGTTGACTCGGGAGATGCCCAGCATGCTTGACGTATCTCCATGAGGTGGGCCGAAGTTTCACGACATCGTAAGGCACACAGCTCCACGGCGCTAAAGCCTTGGTATACGGTACTGATAATCTCTTTAGCTCAAGTTTTCGACATAGTCTACACATGTGTTGCATGTAGAAGAGGTATTCAAAGCTCAGCCGATGTGTCAACTCTACTTTATTCACCTAGGATTTATTTTGCGCAAGGCGCGGTATTTATTCTCGCAGAGGTCTGATACATCAAAGCTTGTTTCGTTGAATTGGCGCCCGAGCGAAGGCTAAGCCAGTTTATTAAGTACTAACTTGTCCCACATGTAGTGTAGAGCCCATCGTAAGGTGCCATTGGGACAAACTGTCCCATTTATGAATTAACTATGGCCTCAAAATGCAACCCTTTTCACACAAGTTCCGTATCTTCTCCACTTGTGCTTCAACCGAATAGCGCCGCTTGCAGTCACAGGACCAGCCCTAGCTCGGTGGGGCCGCTACATATCGGACAATCGTACAATCGTACACATGGACATACGATATTGGTCATTTCACAGCCCTACAGCTCATGAGGTCAATTCTGTGGGTCGACATGACATGGTACTAGTAGCACCAATGTTTAGAACTCAAGGTGCAATATTATTTACTTCGCCCAGATCATTTCTACCTAGTAATTCTAGTCGCGAGCGCTAGAGCGTCAACTGCACCAGCAGGGATGAATTCGCATCGTGACTTCCAGAAGCCCACGTCTGCAACTTTGTTTTAGGTAAGGAACAGGGAAGACGAATTCCCCACTCGAGGTATAGTACCAAGATATATGCCACTACAGGACGCGGCTGTTATGTGATATGCTCGTTCATCAATTGTCGGAACTCCTCCGAGTTACTCTTAATTAAGTGAGGTGTCACCTAATGAGGCCAAGTGAACAAGATATATGTTTACTCGTCCAAAGTATAGAGGTGATGCATTTATAGCCCTTCGGGGACTTGCTTGTCTGCTTGTACACTGATTGTTCTGCCCACCATTGGCAAGGGAATCATTCACCTGCATTTATCCTCTTCCACTAGAGCTTTCATATACCTCTTCCTAATCCTACACCCTATTTAACCGAGACTAAATATACTTATTCTCGAGTAATGGCTGGGCTTTGAGACCTCAAAACCCCTATACTCAATAAAGCATTAAGTAAAAGCAAAGAAATAGAGTAATCAATCATATCATGACACTATATTCATATATCCTTACCCATGACGTTATAACATGATGTAAATGTTGGTATCAAATGCTGAACCAGCGTGGACATCTAGATACTATATTATGCCAACTCATACACTTTCTGCAGGTGTGGTATATATCTAACTTTATAATGGCATGCATCATGCGCTCGGACGCATGTCACTAAGCTGTGTACAACCAATCGTCTTTACTTACGCTGTGTTTCCATGACAGCCAAGATATGACGTTGTAGCAGTGCTGTGAATCTTTAAAGAGCCATGTGCATTGCATTCATGATTTCTCCCTTTACGTCATTGTATTCTAGTGCAAGCCACAGAATAAACTAGATTTGGTGATATGAAGCATGAGGTGCTCATATTCTACAGTCCATGTTATATGCTGTAATTCACACTTGACTTTTCTTTAAAATTAGACATAGTCCTACACTTTCTTTCAGAAGAGTACTACTTGTGAACAAAAAAGGCGGTCTAACACTGCAAATAAAAACAAAGACACTATGCTTTGGACCGGACCTAACCGAGTGATTCACTGTCAGTGAATTGGAAATACCTTTCGCGTGAGGCATTCTTCTGCCCTGTTTCACCTTCGCATCTCTATTCACACAACATGTTCCCTTTCAAACATCATCCTGCATTCATACCCATACGTATCACAAAAATGGAGTATTTTCTTAAGCAAGGTAAGTTGCCTATCCAGTGTTATAGGGCCAGCTCCTGTTCTGATCTCTGGATAGCGTCTCAAGAAAATGCGCTCAACCCACTGTGCGAATTACCGGAAGAACTAGTTGAAAATATTGTCACCTTTCTGAGTGCTGCGGATTCCACGAAAAGATATCTGTGCGACCTGCGACTGACCTGCACACATCTTTACAGAAAGTCGTTGCATTACTTTGGACGCGTGGTACTTCATACTGTGCGTACAGACCTTGGCTTCATAAGCTTGCAGCGACTTATGAGGCTGGCAGCGGACGACCGTTTGAAGGATCATGTACACCACCTCCTCATCAGAGGGGCTTTCAATAGCTGTATGGGAGCCGGTTTCCAATGGATGAGACATAGTACGGGTCCGCTCGATATGAAGCAATCACTAGGAGCCCGCTGGTTGCGTCACGTCCTACTCTCATTACCCAACTGCAGGTCATTTTCTATCAATCTCAACTACGGATGGAACGATTCATCGGCACATTCTCACCTGGGACCCAGTGACGGCATAAACATGATTACGAACATCATTGCGGAGACCGGCATTCCTGTGCGATCCTTCCACGTGTACGCCTACCCGAGCAGCAGCAGATTCGCCTTCAACGATGTGGATCCACGGTGTCTTCAGTTCGACACCCTCAAAAGCCAGACCTTCATCAACAGCTGGGCACACGTTGAGAAACTAAGGTTTCAGCACAATTTCATCCCCGGCAATATCGGCGAATGGGTGGCCCGGGTGATCACGCTTGCCCCGAAACTGAAGATGCTGGAGATTAGCTATGACTACACCCCCGAGGCACAGATAATCACAGCCCGTCTGGCCTCCAGGCCAGTCGTACTCTCCGAACTGCGAGAGCTCGTCCTTACTGAAGCGTCCGAGATGGACTGTGATGAGCTTCTGACACTTCTCGGCTATACATGCCGCACGCTGCAATGCCTGAAGCTAGAGCGTCTTCAACTGAAGAAAGGCGGCACCTGGATTCCCCTTCTAACTCTACTGGATCAGTTCCCTTTGCTCGAGGACCTTCACTTGTTTTGGTTGAGTACTGGTCAGAGAAGGGTTCTGCATTTTGTGTCGCTGACGAAATACATCCCCAAGACTCTGCAGGGAAAGTTCCAGCATGAGTGCAAGCAGTTCTGGGGTATGCCGAAAACTGTCTATGTCGCGTACCGTGGCGATAGCATGTCGGTGTTCCTGAATGCTCTATTGATGTCTGCCCAAAATGAATGAATATGTGTGTGCATTAAGAGGATTTGAATGTTGTGAAACAGTGTGGTGGTGAGGAAAGTTACAATAGGCCTACCCAGAGTATGCAAATTAAACTAGCATGATACTAGGTCAGAAAATTAGTATGGCCTCCGGACAAACATCTAGCCCCAACCGACGACACAACCTGCTGTGCAGTTGTATGTACAATCGGTGGCCACAGAACGTTTTCGCTTCGGAACGAATGAGTCATCTCAAAGAGAGTGCGGTAGGTATCATATGATGCTGGTGCCACATTATAACTACTTGATCGCTATATCAGTCCATTGAGAAGTTCATAGGAAGCTCTACCTTCAGGTCCACTGCAATTATCGGGATGATATAGGACCATTCCTGAGATCCTCTTTTATCTCCGAATTAACAGTCGCGCTTTTTCTTTAGCTTGACCGCGGGCCCGGATGATGAGAACGATCGCTTTTAGACTAGGTCCAGTATTCGCAAATGCAATTCGAAAAAGATTGTATCGTCAGTGACAGTGTTACATAAAAAGGCCAGATTGCATATCAGTGGCCTAGCAAAGGTCTGTCCTCATCACTAGGGCCGGAGATCGGTCTTGAAACTCGTAGGGCCCAACAGGGAATGTTTTATATATGGCCTGCAAGACACAGGAAGACGTATGTGCGTGTTGATTGATAACAGGTCCGGGGATTGATCATAGTCAAGTCCCAAAAGAACAATTTAATTGGATATTTTTAAACGAATATGGAAGAAGGATTTGCATTGCAGTCTTCAATCAAGACTCGCCGGAAATTAATGCTGTCATTGCTCAAAAATACAGGTGGGAAAGGGAAAAAAGAAATGCTTCAAATGCTCCCACGCGGATTTGAACCGCGGACCTCATGATTACTAGTCATGCGCTCTACCAACTGAGCCATAGGAGCTACTTGATGTTTGAAACACAATTATCGAGGCTTATATAATAAAGTCTATAATCTGTCGTAAACAAACCATCCGTTTACGTCTATCCATGTTCATGATGTGTAGGTGTCAGCCTTTACAAACCAAATCTCAATTGAAGAAAGCAAGGTCGTTCATTTTAGCTTTGTCTCTTCTCCTTTTACTTTTTCTGCTTTAGCTCTACATTACTTAGTAGATAAAATTATACTTTTTTCAAATATTATATTGATTGTATAGTGAGGTGGCTGATCTGAACATATATTTGTTCCCCGCTCCGCCAATTTTTATCCCTGTTATCTTCCCACGATACTCACAACCAAATCTTCTAAGTAAAAATATACTAAGCTAGAAACTTTCAGATGTCTCCCATGATGAAAAGTCACAGGGGCATGAGTTCCTCCCCAACGTTACTATTATCACGAATTTGGCCTCTAAATCCTACTGAGAAGAGTAGTTTCCACAAAGAATCGACTATACTCTACCATCTCAAAGGGTTACAGTCTTACAGATACCCCCTTTCATTTTCCTGTTTCCCCTTTCATTTTATTTTCTATTTCAGGCTCATTTCATCTGGCGAAAGAAAGAAAGAAAGCTTAGGAGGTGTCTGCCTGGTGAAGCTACAAAGGTTGTAGTTTGTGACTCGTCGCAAAGTACAATGTCAAGGTGATATTTTACATGTAATTTCAATTGGTTTGATTGAAGCTAGAAGTTAAACTGAGAAAGTCTTGAGCATTTTGGTAAGTACTTAGTCTAAATCTTAGCTTGAAGAACGTGAGGTGGCCACGCACTTTGGCTCTCCCATGGCAAAGCCGTCAATCGATGCGAGTATCGCTTATCCCCTTTATCGACAGTGAAAGCATATAATAGCCCAATAATATCTCTATATACCGGCCACTGGATGGATGCAAGGAAAAGGAAATTCCATGGCTCGGAGTAAAACAAAAGGGCTACATTAGTCCCATGATCAGAGACCATAAATTACCCCGGACCTTGTCCCATTGAGGAAACGTTTCGGTTGGCGTGCTGGACCCGCTGATATTCGGGGAGTCAAAAGCTACAGAGCTATATACACCACCATGGTATACAACCCTCGAATCCCCTTATTGCTTCCCTTCCACTGTTGGTGGCGAAGGGTAGAGTGTACTGTTCAATAATGTGTGGGGGATCAGTTTGGATAACCCCCTCTATAAAGGCTCTTATCCATGCCGTCTGCGACCTTAGCCGTGACATTCTGTGGCATTGTCCCAGCTGCAATCTCGACGTTTGTATTTAAACTGGGGAACAAGTTGTGAGGATAAAGATCAAGCATGTACTACTCTAGCACACGAGCACTACCGCTTTCTTTACCAAAGTACATAGTACTACGCTCGTTGCAGTGCTGCCGATGTAAAACCCTCTTCGTCGCAGATATTATGCATTTCTTCATTAGCATAAAATGAAGAAGAAAAGAAGCCAGCAAGTCTATACCGCCAAGCTAGGTTATCGCCCCAATTTTCCTGCCATCTGCCGATTCCAGAGTTTGCGGTCGAATCGTTGCTCTAATAGAGCCTGCGCATCACCCGCGTACACGAAAACTTTGCCACCGAATACCTTGGGGTCTTTATCATCTTTGAAGTAGATCTGGCAATCTGCAACTTTGTAGGCGTTCGTCTCATAAAAGCGACAGCTTCTGGGCTTCTTCTTCGGATTTCACGAGGTACGTAGATCCCGTCACCACATCCTCTTGTTTCCCATTGATCAGGGCGGGATAATCGCCCCATTTCGCAATGGCGAAACCATTTACCTCCGCTTTGCGGAGTTGCGGCTCCTTCGGCAGGTCGAGGATCCTTTTCAGCTGGGCCGTGGAGGTTAGAGTTCCATAGAAGTAATATACTGGAAACGTAGGCGGGAAGTCGACTGGCTCGTCGCGCTGTAGAAGGTAGTCTGGTGGCGCTGAAACTGGCTCCTCCTTGGCCGGGAATAGGCCTGGAATCTGGAGTGCTTTGGATTCCTCTGGTTTCTGGGACATTTCGCTGTGCACAGAGATTGTACGATGCGAAAGCTGGACAAAATGTCGATGTCAGAAGGCTTGGAAGAAACTGGGAGAGGCAGCAATAATGGTGCCTAAGGCGGTGAAGGGGATGCTTATTCTCTTTGTCTTTTTTGGATCTTCATTTGATGGTTTCATTGTTGTTTCTTGGGTTTTGCATAGAAGCCTTTCATGGAGACAGACAGATGTAGGATATTCGCATCCTGTCGATGTCCATGCTCCTCTTCTTCACTCGTCCCCTCTTCCAGTCTGCTTGTGGCTTTCTGCTCTTGTGACTTGTCAACATGGACATCAACCTAGGAGGCTGAACCTTAGGGTCTTCATTAGTTTTCCATAAATTGTAGATATTAGTTATTAAGGGCGCTATTCACATCTTATTTTTCAGCTAAAATAGAGGATATATTGATTAGCCCAATATATACAATCTCCCAGGTCACAGGTGCTAAGTGGTTGTTGAATTAACTATACTAGAAGTATTGCATATGCTCAGATAGCGGTGATAACTATAGCTTAGTTTGCTAGATTAATAATTATAAAATACTTAAACCTAGCCAAGATCATGTTGGTCCTGTATGTCTATTGATCCGTCAGCGAACACTGTTTGATAAAACCATCACAATGGCCTCCGAAGAGGAGCACAGCGATAAAATCGCCAAGTCACATATCGCTACGAATGTGGAAATAGAGCAGGGCTACCTAGCCGAGCTACCAAAAGATATCGACAAAAAGTTTGAATAGGACTATGAATCTGAACGATTACCATTCCTCGAGGATCTATACTACCTGAGTGCTCAACTGTCTTCTGCTCAAGACACCACATATTTCGAACCGTCGTACCTGAAACCGAGTGGAAGAAATGATCCATAGATTTAATAAGAGCGAGATGTAGTTGCTAGTATTCTTTAGTTAATAATTAGGATGATAGATGATAGTAAATAAACTGCGTCGTGTATCTTAGCCCCGGGTCAGGGTCTCCGTATCTCACTTGACGGCTGTCTGTGGTAAGGAAGCAAAGGAGAAAGGAGGAAAATCAAGAAGTATAGGAGTACTGTGGCACGGAGAAACTTGTCTTTGCTCTCATCTTGTTTGACTTTGATTGTCCTAATGATGATATGAGTCCTACTGTGTTTGTCTCTCATTCTTTCCCAGAACTGGGGATCTTTCCAGCATGTAGCTGGACCTGGTACTTGTGCTAGATTTGACCATTCTCTTCAATAGTATGGCCGTAACCGAAGCGCACGCCTTGGTGTTCGAGGTCACTTTGGAGCTTCGGCCACTGGGACGTTACCCTCCTAACTGTTGGCATCACCGACTTTTCCCAGGCCTTAGAGCCTCGGCCTGTGGTGGCTTCCATGACTTTGCCCCAAGCTCGATGCGACATAAAGGTCCGTGCATGTGGGCGCAGTGTGCGCAGCAAGCTACTCTCCAATCATTTACCGCCGAATCTAGTGCGACTTTTAATATGACCAACCAAATAAGTATTAATACGAGGATTGTTCCAAGCCAAAAACATCTAGATATGAGCATAGAAATGGGGGACAACCGAAATAGGAAATCCGAAAGACAAACTTCCCTGTTGCAAGGATAGGATATTGGTGTGCTTATTTCCACACGCTAGCCACAGTATGCAAGTCTTTAAAAAGATTATGTTACATAAGTTGATATCACTCGAGATTTTATTCAACCTGGAGGATTTTGAGAGTTTGCAGTGATAGAAGTCCTACAACTAATCAAGAACAAGTTAAACGGTACTAGTTAACAAGACCCTGAAGAATGGTTGCTAAATCATCTGCTTCGTCCCTCACAGATAAGAACATAACGAGTCCCTCGCACCTGTATCCTAGCATGCTTCAAGGCCATTTCGATAGCTACTCTGTATCAGTCATTGCAGCTCCACACTGACACTGCATATTTCTCAGCTCTGAAATGCACAAAGAATCGTCGAACGGATATATGCCTGGATAGTGGACACTCACGCAGATGTAGTACGTATGACTGGTTCCCCAGCTACAGGAGCAATCGCTAGTTTGTACATGCCCACACTTGGCGGCATAGCAGGCCCACATTATGCTAGACCATTTATCAGTACCGTTTTCCTAGTGTTCTGCTTTGGAGAGATGATTGACCTTGTCGTTAGGTAGGGTGATAGAAAGTAACAGCACACTCTGTATAAAGCACACGATAACGACTTCTGACGTTTGTTTCGTGAGGCAATGGATGAAGTCCAGTGATATTCTTGTTCTGGGGTTGAGCTGTTGCCGGTGGAATTACCAGATCGTGGCATATATAGCCTCGACCCAATGCGGCTCTGCAGCAAGGCAGACACTGGAATCCTTTTTCGTGCCAAGGACACCGCCACGTTTCCTATCTCGAATCTTTGCTGATGATCATTATGAGGATCGCCGTATTCCGAACCATCATGTGATGAGGGGTAAACCTAGTCATTGGTGACTGCGATGCTTAAAACACCGCAGGACAAAACGGAAATAACTCCAACACACTGGCCAACCATGACTGCTAACGCCAATGCCAACAATGCGAGAGGCCCCTATATAGCCCAAATACATTCCAAGTTGCAATCACGGCCATACCTAGGCCAGCTGTGTAATATCCTCCAACAAGAAGACAACGGTGTCACTCGTTTCGCCCTCGTCACTTTGAGCAGGGGAGCCACTCCACAGATTCACGAATCCACCGAGCTCAAACAAGCCAAGAAGATTATCGAGCAGAAGCACAAGGAGCCGGTCGCTCGATTTCGCGTATGCGTCGTCGAGAATATTTCTCCCGCGTTCATTGAGTTACTAGGATCGGCATGGGAGCTGAGCGAGGAGTTTTTTGTCGATCATGCAGTGGGATGTCGAGGGGACTTGTCGCGTGTTCCATTCAACTTGGCATCCATTCGCGAACGAGCTCCGTTTTTATGTGTCGATGGGGTTTTGTCATACAGTGCGGCGGATGTAGAGGCTGCCTATGGGGATGAGGCTAAACCGATACCGAAATACCTCTACCGAGTGCGAAAACATTATTTCCGGCGGGATTTTCGGATTCGTTCGGACGGGAAGGGGTTCCAACTCGATACACGGATCTCGTACTATGTCAAAAAGCTACGCGACAACGATTGGATCGGTCAGTGAGTGGTTTTGATATTGCCTGGCCCATCGTCATGTTCTGGTTCCATGAAACATGCGCTCATATAACGTTTAACCAGCCGTGTGTCTGATCGACCCCCCCATCATCTCCTCCAAAGCATCAGACCTTCAAGGAGTGATCCGATTTCCGCCAGCCTCGTTATGGCAGAATTCGTTGCACTCGGCGCCCCGAGATATCAGATGCGAGGATGGGTTATATGAGGTCATGACCCAATTTCTCCGAGGGGAAGGAGCGGGCTATTATGAGCGGTGCCTTGTAACCCCATTTACCCCAGCCGCGTTCTTGTTCCTCTACACAGCATTAACATGGCAAGAAATGTGCAATAGACTGCGAGTCACTATCAAACGGCTTAGCTTTGCGGAGATCCGAGCTCATCCAAGCATGGAATTGGGTGAACGACTGCATGAAATGCGCGAAAATCTGTTTTACATGAAGCAGTCGCTCACCCAAGCTTTACAGGCACTGCGTCGCCATGGGGAATATGATGGCGGCCATGTGCCTTTGAAACAGGAAGACAGTAGGAGGAAAAGCCTCAGGGAGGAAACTACCGTTCAATTTCGAGATATGTCCCGAAGTTTCCAGGTTCTATTAGAGGATGTTATTCAGCTGGAAAACATGGTCTTGCACTCCTTTGACGTCCTGATGTCCTCGATCGTTGTCCAGGAGACACAGATGTCCCACAAAAACAGTGAACTGGGCATCCAGCACAGTAAGCTTGGGATCGAACAGAGCAAAATGGGCCTGGAACAGGCAACTTCAGTGAAAATACTGACGCAGCTAGCGTTTCTGTACATTCCTCTCACCTTTGTGAGTGGTGTATTTGGAATGAACCTCCAGGAACTGAATGGGAGTGGGCAGCACATTTGGGTCTTTTTCGTGGCGTGTGTGATCGCTGCGATGTTGACATTTACTGTATTGGTTATTTTTCGCACCCGTGTCAGATCTTCTAAAGGAGTACAACCGCTGGATGTCTGATTTTGTCTTGGAACAACTGAACAGAATTGTATACTTCTAGTGGTTACTTCTAGTGAAACTATATTAATAATACTGGAGAAAACAAGGCCCAGTTTAACTCTACTATTTTTTACTAATTCTAGTAGTAGCTGAATATACAACATACGGTCTACTGTACTACTATAAATAATTATATTCCTTTTCAAAGAAAGTATTATTGGAGTAATAATAGACAATAGGATATACTTTAGACATCTCAGCTATTTGGGAGGGAGTTTGTGGTCTTCTGTGAGACTTCCTGAGGTGTAGCCAAACTGACAATGACTGAAACTGGTATGAGGCCCTAAAGTATGATGTCAAACCGTATGCATCCCATGGACCTTAGACTCCGCTACTCAAGGCTCTACTGGCCATTATCGATTTCTATAAAATACCGGTCAATTCTCGCTATCTTTGGGGCAGGCCCAGTTGAACTCCTGGCGGCTTATTCCCCAACTGGTGGGGAAACATAGTATACCAGAACACCGCCGACGCTGACAGCGTGCCGTCGAAGCCAATGTCAGAGATCGGCTACTTCGGCCCAGCTAACAGAACATGGAGTTGATGGAACTTCATATATTCATAATGTTCTATATATACTCAGCCGCAACACCAGGCCCTCCATCCCATGCTATATATACATCTCATGCAACTGTACACTGTCCACGCCGGCAACTGGCCGTTGGCGAACCCAGCTTTCGCTCTAAGCGAGCTTCTGTACATCCGGGGTATAATGTAATGTAACCCTGCCCTCTCCATCTTCATCTCCACCTCTATCTCTTAGTTTATATATAGCATCCATTAAGTTCCACCAGTCCATCCCCAATCCATCACCGCGTGTAACCCCCAGCCCGAAAGACGGCCTATCCCGCCCTTAAGCGGCGGTGCACTTGCCGTTCTTGCAGGCGAGCTCATCGGAGCATTCATCGTGACTAGAGCAAGAGGCACCTGTAATTTCCCCAGGAAAACATAGTTTAGTTAAATGGTTACCGCAACGGCTTAGATACGTGAACCCCGACATACCCGCACAGTGGCCCTCCCAGGAGCAAGATTCCGCATTGTTATCCACCGCGCAGACACCGCTGATGCAAGCAAGCTCATCGGAGCAATCGTCGTTGCTTGAGCAAGAAGCACCTGCAAAAAAGAAAGAGAAGAAAGGAAAAGTTTAGCCCCCGAAAAAATCCAGAATAGGAAAATACATGGCATAGCCCGTGTTCAATCTCTTACCCTTGCAGTGACCCTCCCAAGTACAGCTCTCTGCGTCTCCGTCGGACGCACACTTGCCGCTCTTGCAGGCCAACTCATCGGAGCAGTCGTCGTTCGTGGAACAGCTGGCACCTTTATTTTGGGAAACGTGGTTTAGTGGTTCATTCTTCTTCTTTGTCTAGTTGTCCTTCTTCTCCAGAGGAGGAAGAGTCGGGTGGGGAGTTGTTGTCCTCACCAGCGCAGTGGCCTGGCCACGAGCAGGACCCGCCTGTGGGCTCGGGCACACTAGTTGTCGTCAGAGTGGTGGGCGGGTTGCCGCCGCCGCCGCCGAGGTTGAGGTTCTTGGCCAGGGCGCCAACCAGGCTGTCGCCCATAGAGCGGAGAGTGTCGAAGTTGGTGATGTAGTTCTCGTTCAGGGCGCTGCTGGGGAGAACGGCGTTGTCGCCGGTGAAGACGATGTCTGGGTTGGTGGTTAGTGGTGTGTCGCTAGTGAGATAATGAGAGATTGACGGAGAGGTACGTACAGGTGACATCGGCAGCGGTGTGGCCCTTGTTGCCGTTCAAGTCCTCCTCGGGGAAGCAGGTCCTGGCCATGATCCAGGAGGCTTCACCAGTGACCTGAGGGTTGTCTCCGTTGGAGTCGCCGAAGATACCGTAGAACATCTTACCGTTGCTAGCGGTGGCATGGTGTTAGCAGGCAATCAAGGGCATCCTGGGCAATTGGCCTACCAGATCACGGCAGAGACAGCATTGCCCTTGAGCTTGGACTTGTTCGCATCCAAGAACTTCTGGGGGATGACGATAAAGGGCACTTCGTAGGCGGACAACGCGCCCCAGTTTGTCGCGTCCTGGCCGTCAGGGTTGCCCTATGTTTGTTAGACTCTTTCGTGATGGAGAGAAAGCTCAGCGGAGTTGCAATCGTTGTTCTTTACCTTGCAGCCATGGTTAAGTCCATCACAGTCAACGTCCATGTCAGCCACGAAGGAGAAGGAGGCACCCTGGCTGGTGCGTTAGCTACTATATACTCATGAAGGTGCTGGACGTTACTTGCCTCGGCAAAGTCCGCCCAGTCGCTGTGAATGGTGGACTTGGTAGAGCCCTGGCCGATAGGGTAGGTAGCTGCAGAGGGAACCTTGCTGGCCTTAGCAGCAGCAGCCTGGATAGCAGCAACAGGAATGGAGCTCGATGCCTGGAAGAACTTGGCCGGGGGGCCTCCGTTTGGCTTGTTGTAGTCAGCTCCGTTGACCTTCTGGCCCATGGCCGTGCCACAGACGGCCAGGGAGAGGGCGAGGCGGCTAGCGAAGTTCTTGATAGGCATGGTGAAGATGTCCGTACTCAACAGGAAAGCAAGACTGTGGTTGTAGACGTAAGATGCTTTTTGGCATGGGCGCCATGGTGGATTTATAGTAGAATGGATGTGTCGGAAATGGCTTATACTCTATGGAACGGCCCTTTGTCCGATAACTCAAAGTTCGTTTCGTGTGGCACGGTCTAATTTCCCGGCTGTTTCGAGACCGTCCATGGGCGGATGTAGTAGTCTCTGACGACAGTTGATTCGTCGGATCTTGAGCCACTGCTACGCGAAGGTAGGACTATAGAACGCCTCCATTTACTGAGTAGTATGTCTCACCTGGCGGTCCTGTCATGCTTCGAGAATGAACCATGCGGAGCACTAGTTGCAGAAGGATCATATGAAAGTGCTTGAGTTGTCCTTCCCCGATGCATACTAAAAGCCCATAGTTGTCGGTAGGGTTCCGCCGGGCAGGGTCCACAGTTGGTCTCCCAAAATTGGTTCCATGGGCAGTGATGTCCAGATCCGCCGGATATGATCTCCGCCACATCGAGATTGACATCCTTTGGCAGGGGTACTGTTGGGTCTAAATTGTTGTGCAACACGATTGTCGCTGAACAGAGGGGAAGGACTTATTCCCCATGCAGCGCCTACTTTACCCCATGCTCCAGAACCCTGAGAATCTACTAGCAACGTCCTCATGCAGGTGTAGCCGTAGCGTTGCGTTAGACTGGTATAGGAACTCCCCGAAGGTTCCTGAATAGGTAGGTGCCTGGAAATACTGGACTTTACCCAGGGGCCTCGGCCCCGACGCTAAGGCTAACGGCGCCATATGAAGGGCCAATTGGTAACATGTGGGGTTTCAGGTGGAGGGTCGATGCACTACGGCGCGAAGCGAGAGCGATTGCCGAATCCAGTTAATGATCTTATCAACTGATTCTCCGAGGTCCACATGAAAAAAGAAAAAGAGTCCGATAGCAACAGCACGTATTGGACTCGTGGTGCTGGGGGATAAACATGGCATTTGGTCTGCATAATGCAGGTACGCGCAAAATGTGCTTATCTCGATGTGTAACCATTGGCTCGTGGTGTCATGTGATAGTGTGTTACCCTAGACGCGGCAGCAACAGCGGCAACTCATTTTCTGCAGAGGCTGGACGCTTGCATTGTTAGCTAATTAATTGGACCCAGCCCCGGCCCGGACCAAGAACATGCCATAGTTCAGTACGATACGAGGTTACATTGCATACCGCCCCAACTGGGCCAGTCTTGGCATGCATGAGAATAACTGCCTATTACCTTTTTGGACTCTCCACACGTATCCAGTTGACAATCCGCCGAGTGTGTAAACGACGATCTGAATACGGAGTACACTCTGAATATGCTGGCAAATGAAGTTCATAGGAGATCCTCGGCACGCAGATCTCCATATCCCTACTAGGGGGCGGCGAACAATGGAGTTTCGCCGAAATGCATATAAAAATTGCCACACCACCCAGAGAGATGATGGCCGGAGATTCCTCGTAGACTACCACAGACCTCACACCATCTCACAATGCAGTTGTACAAGCTCTTCGCCGTCCTGGCAGCCCTGCAGCCGGCTCTTGCCAAGAGCCTTATTGACTTCTCTGCGGCTCGCAGCGATAACCCCTCTGTCCTGGGCATCCGCAACCTCGAATCGGTGCGCGGTACTAAACCCAAGGATAACACCAATGACCTCTACATCAAGTTGGATAAGGACCCAAAGGGCACTCCTGCGCTGCACTTCCACCGCAAGAAGGACAACATCCGGGCCGAGTACCACGCCTTACAGAATCAGATTAAGGCCGACCAGACCTATTACATTGGCTACAAGTTTTCCCTGGGAGCCATTCAGCAGAGTCTGATGATCTGGCAATTGTACGTTAATTCCTTCCTTTTCACTGTCAGCCAAAAGCCAGAGTTCAATACTGACCTGCAACAGCAAGGAATACTCTGCCAATAACGACAAGGCCGGCGGTGCTAACATCCCTCTCTCTTTGGAATTCAAGAGCGGTAAACTGAATCTCCAGTACCAAGCGTCCAGCTCTGCGAAGCGTGAGTCTCAGTGGTCCAAGGAATTGAAAACCGACACCGTCTACTCCATCGGACTCGTGATCAACACCGCCCGTCCCGGGTGGGTTGAGCTCTACTTCGATGGCGAGCAGCAGACCTTCGGCTCCGGCAACAAGAGGCTGAAGGCCAACACATTCCCCGGCAAGGCGGAGCCCAAGTTCGGCGCTTACCGTGGCGAGGAAGTGCAAATCGACACCTATGTCTACAACGTCCAGATCGGAACTTCCCTTGATGATATCAAGGAGGCTGCTGGACTGGGCTCGTCTCCTAAGCCCACTGCTACTTCTAACCCCACCCCTTCGCCTTCCTGCTCCTGGGTGGGTCACTGCGAGGGTACGTCTCTTTCCCGCGGGTACTTTGCCATACACTAACTCAAGCATGAATAGGTGCTTCCTGCACCAACGAGAATGACTGCTCCGACGAGCTCGTCTGCAATAACGGAAAGTGCACCTCTGGTTCAGCTCCGTCTTGCTCTTGGGAGGGTCACTGTGCTGGTATGTTTCTGTCTTATTACCTACATCGCTTCACTTAACTAACTGTACCTAGGCGCGAAGTGCAGCTCTCATGATGACTGCTCCGATGCCCTTGCTTGCACCAATGGTGTCTGTGCCTAATCCGTGTATATCAGGATCTATTTGTTTGCCCCTCGTTGGGGTGAGTATTTCATGGTTTGTCATGGATAGAATACAGTATACTATCGAACCAATGTATGATATGAGCAAACTCAATCCAAATCTATTCTCACACGAGACCTTGTGATGCAGCACTGGTAGAATTTTCTAAGCTACATTATTCTTTTACAACACCACAAGCAAATACTGAGTACACAGATATCGCCCCACAGAGCGATCAATAGTTCCAGTGGAATGTGATACTATTGAATCCAATAGAGTAGCATGTTCTTCACACGACAAGAAAACAACTATAGAAAGCGGGAAGTAGGCCTTGCCGGGTTCAATCGCAAGCCTAAACACTGGCATGCGAGAACAGTGAGACAAGGGGCTGAGTCGAGACTCTCGATTGCCCAACATACACTCAATAGTTGTTGCGCACAGATAGCCCCATACCGTGTCTCGGCTCGGCAGCGGGCCGATGGACTGGGTTCGGCAGCTTGCCGACATATCGGCATTTCCGATGACACAAAACGCCTCGGTATAGTCCCGATATTATTGAGTTAATTATCGTGACAGGGGTTATGAAAATCATTTGGTGGGTTGTTTTTACTGTGGTAAGGTGCGTTAAGCTCGTGTGTGGAGCTTTTAGAGCCACTGTGGCAAAAGCATCGCCTCCTGTCTCAGGTCCTATTGTATTTTGATTTTGTATACAGCTCGCAAAATTCGAGAATGGAACCATATACGAACTTGTCCATCGGATCACCACGGTCTTTGCGCACTCTGTCGCAGTTGTCCCCAATTATTGCCCCGTTGGTCATAAAATTGCTACAGCCGGTTACTTTCAGGCTTGCTTAGAGTGAGGCTGTGCAAGGTTTTGATGCAAGGCTCTAGGCTGGTCTTTTCTTTAAATCTTTTTTTTTTTCATTTTCATTTCTACATCTTCATTTTTATTTTTATTTTTTATTATAAATTTATTGATTTTATACTTGTTTTGACAATTGTTATCCCGGTTCCTTTTCGTGGAAGAGAGAGACTAACTAATGTGCATCCAGTCGACGATTATGTATATCTCTGCTGCAGTTAGAGTTTTTCTGAATGCTTAGAGTTAATGTAGGAGCTGAAGGGAAAGTATGAAGTTAGGATGGTTAAATCACTGATATTATTGCTACACCTGTGTATAAAGAACTACTTCTATTGTGCGGAGATTGCACAATGGCCAAGGGAAGACCTTTAGGCCCTTATAATATAGAAATTGTGGAGGGTATTAGCACATCAAGTCTCAAATGTTTATGAAATGAACACATCCGGTAGACCACTCTATTCAACACATACAGGTAGCAATAAAGAGGATACGTCACCAGCCTAGAATGAAATACAGGACATGAGTGCTTCGAAGGTAACCTGTTCTTCCGAGTCGTGCTCAAGCTCATCCTTCGTAGCGTAGATCACAACGAGTTCCTGTTCAAGATTAGCCCCACGCCCGTGAAGAAAGCACCTTATTGCTGAAGAGCTCCACTTCGACACTACTCGGCCCGTCCTAGTCACAAACAGCGTATGCGAGAAAATAGTGCCCGGAGTTATATTGTACAACGTGATGCTTGCTCTATAGATGCACCGAGGCAGTTAGTCCCACGCAAGAGGGAGGGAAGAACTCACTCTATGCTTGATTTGGGCCACTTTGCCTCTGAAAGTAGTGTTATGAAAAGTAGAATTCACTCTGACGAAATTGTTCCCAGAGAGAAGGTGGTTGCGTTTGAAATGGAGGATGCAGGCGCTTGGGATGTTCTTCCTAATGTAATCATCAAGACCGCTTCCGATTATGCGGACAGGCACAAGAATAAAGTATGGCAGAACTATGCCACTGCAATAGCTACTGCGTGTACAAAGACAGTCCTGCATCAGTGGGGAGGTAGTCAAGGGGCGTAGTTGTAGCAGGGTTACGATGCTTGGCATAGAATACTGCATTAGTGAACGCAATCCACAACCAAGCTGCGAATGTCTACCGCTCCACTGACTCCACCCTCAAGATAATTCAAGCAATATTTATCAACGGTCTTTTGGATAACTAATAGCTCTCGACTAACGATTATATTAGGTTTAAAAGCTTAGAATCTGATAAAAAGTCCCGTTGGGTTGAGCTTAGAAGATCTTTAAGACCTAAAAATAAATATTTGAGCTCAGAAGTAGTAGAGAACTGAAGGAAAAGTATGGATTCAAAAGAGATTTCTTAATATTGTTTGCAAAGGTCTATGTATGTACAGATGCTTTTTTGAGACATAATATACTTTACAGCCTTGTAGCAGTTAAAAGGAAAGAAACACATCGACCAGACTGGTTAGCCTACTGGTTCACTGCCAAGCATCATTGGTCTAGTGGTAGAATTCATCGTTGCCATCGATGAGGCCCGTGTTCGATTCACGGATGATGCACTTGCTTTTTGTTCTCTTCTTTTTTTGCCTCGTCACTACCAACGAAGTGAGAGATCCAACATGGACCAGTGCACGTGCAAGCCTACTGCAATGCTGTATTCCTCTACGAGCACGTTCAATAGCATACCCCAGATTCCTTAGCTATATGCAGAGTTTAGCCCCAACCAAACACACCAAACTACCAAACATTCCCCCTAGTCTGCTCCCTATCCAACTTCTTCACATTAATATTCCTCCACACCCAAACACACCCAATACAAAGCGGCACAAAACACACGCCCGCAATAACCATCTTCCTCTGGACATCCGCATAGGCACCCACAATCGCCTCCCTCTCCGGCGAGCCATCCGCATACGACATCTGCATCACCATATCACTAAAGATAGTACGACTCATATGCTTACTGTCCTGAGGAAGTCTCTTGTACAGTTCGCCGGGGAGGATATTATTCCACATGCCGCCCGCGATGGCAGACCCGACGGCCGCACCGATGGACCCGAACAAGCCCCAGATTGCCATAACCACGGCGATCTCCTGGTGCGTTACGGGCGCCATGATGGCGAGCTGGCCGCAGACGGTGAATATGCAGGTGCCCAGGCCGACGAGGATCTGGGTCATGGTTAGGATGCCGACGTGGGTGTTGGGTTGGCGGAAGGGGATTAGTAGTGCCGTGCCGAGGAGGAGGATGGGGATGCCGGTGAAGACGGTCCATTTGAATTCACCAGTGTAGCGGATTAGACTGTATTTGTTAGGTGTTCCCTCTGTGTTGAAGGGGGTGGGTTAGGGACTTACAGGCCGAAAATTGGGCTGAAGATGTAGGAGGTTAGCGAGAAGGCGTTGAGGACGTAGTTGGCGGTTGTTATGTCGAGTCTGTGGACGACTTGGAGATACGAGCTGAAGTAGCTGTTCCAGGCGCTGGGCTATTTGTTAGCAAGGTATCCAGCAGGTTGCTACGAATGGTAGGGTGGCAGACTTACAAGCACGAGATGAACATGACACAATACAGAAGACAGGATCCAATGATAGTCGGTTCCTTGAGGTATTTCCAAGGGAGAAATTGGACAGGGGAAAGGTATCGCTCCCATGCGTAGAATGCCGGGATGCAAACCACCCCAAGCACTTCCATCGCAATAATATATCCACTGGCCCATCCCTTGGGGGCATACGAGGCAAGACTGAAGGGGAGAAGGATCAAGGAAAACACCGCCGTTATCAAGACGATTCCAATCACTAGGGTTCTTAAGTTAGTCTCAGCAGTCAGACACACAAGGCCAAAAGAAACACGCACCATCAAACTCGATGAAATAGTGGACAAGGGATTGCCACCAGGTCCTGTCAGAGACTGTCTTCTCGAGAGCACCAACCTTGTGGGCTCTCCGCTGCATGTACAGCATAACACCCACAACAGGGATGGAGGTACCAGTTATCATGATCGCGAAGGCACCAAATGCCCAGCGAAAGTTGAGGTTGATATAGAATAGATTCGCGATCCGAGGCCCAGCAAATGTGCTCGCGATACTCGGGGTTCCGTTGATACCGAGCATAATCATTCGGTTTTTGAGGGTAGTCATATCCGCCAGCATGATATCAACCACATACATCATCCCAATATGTCCCACCCAATACAGTGTGTGTGCCGCGACGTAGGTCTCGATGTTTTTGCAGGTGGCTTTCATTATCAGACCTATTACGACGATCAGAAGCATAAATAAGAAGCCCTCAACACGGCCCCAGATGTCAATAATCTTGGCTAGAGTGAGCTTCGAGGAGCCGCCGAGAATGGTAGACATGATGCTGACAACGGTGAGGAGCCCATGTTTGTGAAAAGACGACGTGATATATGGGTTGAGCGAGGTTTGGACGGAAACTAAAAGCAAGTCTACGAAAGAGACAAGGTAAAGACTGCGTGATAGTAAGTACTTGGCCGCACTGGGCGCATAGGAATGGGAATCGATATCAAATGGCGGGGAGATTCACAGGACAAACATGAGCCACATCGTATTCTTAGACCATAATGAAGTGATGGCTCTCACCCGCTGAACACCACCTTGATACAATGTGGGATCCTTGTCTGAGATACTCGTATCATCCCTGGCGGGTTCTTGAACGATGCGATCGACCGCTTCATTTTTTTCAGGATCGTCCCCGGGACTGTTCACAGGTCCGATCTGGTCCGGGATGACGGTCTTCGGCATACCGTGCGAGTGAAGGTTGCTCATGGCTGGCGAATCCAGGAACACCCGTAAATGCAGGATAAGGCGGTTGACGTGGTCTGGGTAAAGAGGGGATGAGCAGCCGAATATGTAAGGGATTTACAGCGCACTGCATTCTCGGTTCAGCAGCCAAGACTGCCACAGCAAGAAGCGCTTGCAAGTAAGCCCCCCTATCAGATGATCAGATAAGATATGCGAGCTTTGGTTGCCCAATAATGTATGTACAGTGGATTTAGCGCAATGTTAGTATTGAACTAAAAGGCAACAAGCGGGATTGGCGCCAAGGGGCCGAAAACGGCACATCCAGAAAGGTTTTCAAGAATGTGCCCTCAGATACTTGAATGGCTTTTGCATCTGTGGGCCAATTCTTATAGCATTCAAAGTGGATATCTTGAATATAATGTCTGCAGGAAAGAATAGAACTCTCAAGCGTTTCCGATTGGAGGATGATCCCAAAGAATGAATGTTTAAGTATCCATAGAGAGTGAATCCACTTGAGTCATGCAACACGGCCCCCAGACGCTAGTATAGTACGGAGTAGTGAACCATTCTTCTGCGGGTCGAGTTCGTCCAGTACCCCGATATAGGCGCTTCACTGATCCTCCTGCTGGAGTATTCTTGTACTTTCTGGGCCTGCCCTATAATTAGCGAAGCATGGTCCCTGCTGAACCCCCAGAGTCGCGGGGGTGAATTAGAAGTTGAGGGCCCGCTCTAGGCATTAGGTTTCAAGATCAAACCTTGCGATGGGAAGGCTGATGTAGAATGACCATCGCCAGGTGACATGCTGCGTGAGGGCGCCTCCAGTGAAGGGTCCAATAGAGGAACCTACCGAGAACACTATGAAGATGAAGGCTGTCACTTGCGCTCGTTCCCGCAGGGGAACGAGGTCGCAGACGACAATATCGATCAGCATATTGACGTCTCCAAGTCCCACCTCTTGAACTGTACGCCCAGCAATGAGCATTGCGGTTGAATTAGCACCGTCGCTAATGCCACTACCCAAGGCAAACAGGGCGATGGCTGAGATGAGCGGCCATCATCGACCGAAGACGTCGGCGAGTTGTCCGTAAAGGGGCTGGAACGCGGTACTGAAATAAGCAGAACTGACAAGTGGACCTGGGGAAGGATGGAAGTGGAGCGGAGACTAATCTCGACAGAAAGAGAGCATTCACAACCCAGATATAAGTCCCTCCCATGTTCAAATCGAGTGAGATTGTGGGCAGGGTAGTCGATGTGACGGTGGATTCAATGGCGGTGAGGAGAGAGGTGACTGACAGACCAGCCAAGACCAGCCAAAATCGCCAACCACACGAATCCATGATCGCTGCTAGGTTGGGGAAGACTTGAGGTGATTTTGTTCTTTTAGCTTGTTGTTGTTCGTCGATTTGCTTTCCACAGAAGTGGTGGGTAGACAGGAGCTGATATTAACCCTAACAGATGTTGAAGATGGGAGACATGTCAGTCAGCAAGGCGTCTTGAGTCAACCTTGGCTCGCTGAAGCGATGTAACACCTGCTTGTATCGACCCTTGCATATAGCTCACCCGCTAGCTGCTAAATCTGGGTATGATACCGAAGTGGTTCGTTGGAAATGGGTCCTGTACATACATGGCCCTCGCCGGGAATCATATCATAGCGTTAGACTGTTAGTTCAAAAACACTGAATTCTGACACACAACCCCTGCTAACCAATCAGGGCTCATAGTGCCTCAGCTCAGAGCTGCGACTGGGTCAGTAATTAGTATGGTTGGCTCAGGGACGTGGGACAACATATCAGCTTTTTTGATATTGTAATCAGAAAATAAACAGTTTAGTTACTCATACCCTGAGCTTGTTCACAGCCACGTCCCATCTGATAGGCCAGCGAGCCTTCTGGATCCATGAGCTATACTACAGGAAGCTATACATCTACTGGTCTGGGGTGTGCTTTGTTGGAAGTCACCAAGCATAGTCGGTCCTCTAGCGTCATGGAGTAGCGTACGCTAGAGCGCTAGTCTGACACTAACAGCAAACAAAGCAACGCAGAAACAGTAAGTAAGACGGGAGAAGAAAGAAAAAAAAAGGGAAGGTAATTGCCTTGTAGTGAATCATATTTCCCAAGGCCTTGCCCCGCTGCTGGTCTTTGTCTCCCATTAGAACCCACGCTGGAGTTGCACTTCCTGTACCATTCAATCCTGTGTAGCTCGACAGTGTTCGGTCGGCCGTTCCATGACTGTCTCACATCGGGTTAACATTAGGGTCGGTCTTATATAGATATTACTAAGCACAGAATAAACAGCATGATCATTATGCAACTAAAGCTAGACTCTATGTTCGCCGAAGTGACCACTCTTTCTTGATGAGACTAGAAAAGGATGTTTAGTCTAAGTAGCCACGACGATAAACCGTGTAGCCTAGATACGAACGTCGGCAGGAGCAGAAGTCGTCTTGCTGTCCTGTCCCATGGCTGTAAGTTCCTCCCAGCCTGCAGTCACGTGGGCCCGCGTCTGGTCAAGGATCTCATCCTCGCCTGCGATGAGACTCTGGAATTCGGGATCCGTGACGATTGCTTGCAAGGTCTCAGGGTCAGGCACGTAGACAGATATCGACACGTCATGGTCGTCGATGCTCCAGCCGGGACGGACAGCCCAGGGCATCTTGTCGGTGATGAGGTTTTTGCTGATACTTGGAGTGTAAATCTATCGAGATCGATGTGTCAACAAGTACCTCTTCCCATCTGCACGAAACTAAGTCGTTTTACTCACGTGGGTAACCTTGATGGCGCCATGTCTCTCCTGAATGCGGGCAGCCTTGGGTGCATGCTGTCTTGTTCCGTACTCGTGAAAGTCCTTCTCGGAGATACCGTCCTTCTTATAACGGAAGGAGGTGAGTCGGAGGACAAGCTGCTTTTGAGGAGCCATTGTGGATTGTAGTAGTGGGAGAGAGATGTGTAACCTGAGTTTGGAAATCGGGAATGTGAGAAGCGATATGAGATTACTACCATAGGAAACAGCAGACTTAATATGCTGATTGGCATCTCAGAGGGGGTGGCCGACAGACAAGACCTCACATGGTGCTTAGCAACGATATTCTGATTCAACGAGACAGGGGATGAACTCTTCTTTGTCTGGTTGCTGTAACGTTAGCCCATCCTGGGAGATGATGCATGCATAGCGTGGTAATCCTGGGTTAACAAGCCCGTTGCGGCCAACGATAAGAACGGACATGACTTGTTAATCTGCCATCCTGGTCGGTACTACTGTCTAGTGCATATTCTATAGGTACGAATCCACTTATTCTTTGTTCCTCTTTGCCGCACGAGGGCCTCGTCTTCGTAATCTACCCGCACGGCCCCACGCATCCCGGTAAGGCAATCCGTGTCTGGCTTAGGGCTTATATTTGGATATGAGATTGGAAAGCAGCCTTATTTTTCGATCATTAAAGCGGAGAAGCTTTTCTGCTGCAATGCGTCTTTTTGATATTCTACAGAACTTGGTACAGTAAATCGCCTTATTGAATATTTAGATAGTGAGAAGGACATTCTCTCGTTCTAAAATAACAAACCGTCGATTCTCTCCTATTCTACATAAGCAAAAGCTGCCTGGGTTGAGTACGATTTCTTCAATTCGTGGGACTCATTTAATGTGACTATCTACGTCAATGGCGCACTCAACACTGATCCAAATATACCTATGGAATTCTCCTTATGACTGAACTGTCAAGAGGAGAACTTCACAAGACTGCTGGGTGAGTCTGAAGAGGAGGGACATAGGTTACCTGAATAGACTGAGGTAGTGGTGGACCATGTTTGAACTAGGGATGTTGAGATTGCAATCTTTAAACAGGGTCTGCATACACTTAAGTGGAAGGGGGATTCGGCAGAACTGTATTTAGAGAAGAGTGTTCATATACTGAACGAAGGGTCACATAGTTGTCTCGGTCCGTCGGAGACTGCCCTAGTGGGGTGAGGCTGGAAGGTGGCTCATAATTTGTCGAGTTTGTACAGTTAAGATGCCACATATATTAGGAGGCATGCGTTATGTCTTAATTCTGGTCCCTAGGCTAGCAGTTCCAGCAGTACAGATAGTCAACCAAGTGAGTTAGCACACTTCAATTAATCTCGGGTGATCCCATACCGAACGGCGGCTTGGCTAAGAATATTCCACAAATGGGAGAGGAAATATAGATGAAGCATTCAGGAATCGAACCATTCGGTCTAGCTCCACCTCCACATAATTCCCCGCATGTTGGACAGCGTGGTGTACGGAGTGAGCTACCCCGTATACACGGCCGTTGGTGTGTGGATCCAGCACTCGAAACTGTTGTGCTTGCTATCTTTAAATTCGCCCAGAATACGCGCGCTCTCGACAATGATCGAATAACAGGTAAATGTATATTCTTCTTCTATAGCGCAATATCAAGCATAAATGTTCCTCCCCTCACGCAAGGCATTGGCCTTCCTGGCCTGCGTCGCAGGCCATTCCACGGCACTTCTAACAACATCTGAGAACTCTACCCACTTCAACCTCGCCAATGACCGCTTCGCCATCTCTTTGGCTAAATCCAGCGGTCATATCGTTGACGCGCAACTAGATAATCAGGATCTACTTGGGCCGGTAGACGGCAACACCGGAAAGGGTCCATACCTAGATTGTTCATGCATCCCGTCAGGCTTCTGGACACCAGGTAGCGGGGCTCAATTGGAGCTCATCACCGGCAATGATTCGACCGGTACAGAATATGCCGGAATCTATATGACCGATATATATGAGTCAACCAACCAGACACTCTCGCAGTGGTTCTTCCTTCGAGGCGAAGAGACGGGACTACACGCGTTTTCCCGAGTCACGTACTTCAACGAGACCACGCCTTTCCTGCGAAGCCTTGGAGAACTGCGCACACTTTTCAGGCCGAACACGGACCTTTGGACGCACTTCTCCACCAGCGACGGGAATTACGGACCACTGCCACTGGATAGCACTTATGATGGTGGTTCGGTAGTCCAGGATGCCACAACCTACATGGGAAATATTACCGATGATCCCTATGTCTCTCAATACTCTGATTACTTTACCAAATACAGCCTAGCAGAGAGCTGGCGCAACCACGACGTCCATGGCATGTTCAGCGACGGCTCAGCTAGTTTTGATGGCAGCACGTTCGGTGCTTGGCTGGTTCATAACACCGTCGAGACGTACTACGGAGGCCCACTGCATTCTGACCTCGTTGTCGACGGGATTGTGTACAATTACTTAGTCTCCGGCCACTATGGAGCACCTATGCCCAACCTCACGCATGGGTTTGACCGTACATGGGGACCTCAGTTCTATTACTTCAACCGTGGAGATGCGCAGACGACAATCGCCCAGCTGAGGGCCGATGCTGCGAAGTACGCTGATCCGGAATGGAACTCGGAGTTCTACAACAGTATCTCGAGTCATATTCCCAATTTCGCGCCGTCGTCTGGCAGGACAACCTTCAAGGGGAAGGTGTCGCTACCTGAAGGTGCCGAAAGACCCATCATTGTGCTATCCGAGGACGGACAGGACTTCCAGTTGAACGTCTTCGACACGAAGTCTCTGCAATATTGGGCGGAGATCGACGACTCCGGAAGTTTTCGCATTCCACGTGTAGTGGAAGGGACGTACAGGATCACCATATACGCAGACGAGATCTTCGGGTGGTTTATCCAAGACCACGTCGAAGTTTCAAAATCGCAGTCCAAAGAGCATACGTTCGTCTGGGAAGAGGAAAGCGCGGGCAAAGAGATCTGGCGTATTGGTGTGCCGGATAAGTCATCTGGAGAGTACCTCCACGGCCACGCACCGGATACCTCCAAACCGCTACAACCAGAACAATACCGCATATACTGGGGAAAATACGACTATCCGGCTGAGTTCCCCGAGGGAATCAACTTCCACGTCGGAGAGAGCGACCCATCTCAAGACCTCAATTACATTCACTGGGCATTTTTCCCCTCCCAAGGAAACCATCTCCGCACGGAACCATACTACAACAATGTCAACAACTGGACGGTGACGTTCGATCTATCCGCAGACCAACTGCGTGACACAAGCACGGCAACATTCACCGTGCAGATCGCAGGCGCGAAGACTGCGAACGGGAACTCGAAGTGGACGCCCGTTGAGGGGAAGTACAGTAACCTTCCATGGACGGTGAATGTAAATGGACGCTTTGAGTCCACATGGGTAATCCCGTACTGGCGGAGTGGATCATGCGGTGTGCGCAGTGGAGTATCCTGCCAGAATATAGAGCAGAAGTTCGAGTTTCCGGTGAAGAACCTCCAGCAAGGCAGGAATGAGTTCGTCTTGAGTTTACCCTTTAATGCGTCGAGTACGGAGACTGCGTTATTGCCAGATGCACTTTATGTGCAGTACGATGCGTTGAGGTTGGAGTTGGAGTGATGGAGGTGCAGGGCCACAATGTAAACCTATATTAAGGTATGTTAAGGAAGCAGCCAGCTGTCAGGAAGCTTATTCCCACCCAGCTGTAGTGTTGTTTATCGTTAAGAACTTGGTACTTTTTTACTCGTGATCTTGTGAGCCCTGTACTCGGCGGTAATATTCTGACAGTGTTATTCTGTTCACATTGTAAGCTTTGGCCATTATATTGGAATTAGTCAATTCTGCTAGCCTGAATAACTCTATTTCTCCTAAAACTGTCGCGTTGAACCATGAAAGAAAAGATATAGTGGCTTGAAACTCCATCCAAAAGTCGGTGTATCCAAAACATCTGTCATCAGGTGGCCAGCCACCATACTCCATTCCTTCCCACCTTGGAAGTAGTAAAAAGACCCCAGTCTCTCATTTGATCCAAAGTCATAACTGGTAGGATTGGGAGTAGTTTGATGGAAAGCACATGGGATGATACCATGTATATATTACATGATCAAATGGGTACTGAGGTGGAGTCCTTGATTTAGATGAGTGCAGCATGCGCGAGTAGCGAGGGGTAGAGATGAGACACAGCACACAATGGTTTGCTCATTCCATGTCCCCTGATTTGCCATAGCCTATACCCCCATATACATGGCGGACGAAGCTAGCGATATAACTAGGTCGGCGGCGCGCGAAAGCTACATGTGGGCAAGCAATTTTTTACGACCCGATTTGGAAGAAGTATCCACACCCCTTGCAGAACCTCGGGTGTAACGGTTCCCCCAGGAGATCTGGACACGTCACATCTTGGTGCCTTCGGGGTGGACACGTAGCTGAAGGATGCTCATCGAAGTGGGTAATTTACACACAGACAGTGAGCAGCATGACATTCCATCACTATATATCCCTCACACATAGTAAAATAGTTTAAGATTCGGGCCGCTAAGCGGTCCCACAACCGGCTTACTATTTGGTCTAGATCGCCACTAACCAATTCGAAGATTAGGATACGCTCAACTTAGTGCCTCGAGCTTACTATATATACCTGCTATTCCTTCCATACCCCTCGGTAAAGTTTGAGGTGCATTGGTACGATTATGGACGAAGGACAAGAGAGGCTGGGCTTCAAGCCAGCGCCGTCTCCATGGAATAATATACGGTCACAAGTGTTTTACTCCGTTGCTAGAGCCAACTGGTCATATGGCCTTCCGCAAGCTTCATACGGTGATCTGGAAGCATCTGCGCCATTCTCGGATCCTGAAGCCAGTGGCAAATTTGAAGGAGGCTTCTGTGTGTGCATGATAGTTCGGTACCTGGAGTCTCCTGTTGGTAAGCAATGCTCATATCTATACTATTGATAGGTGGAGAAAACTTAATTTTCCTTTTTGTTGTTATAGGACCGTATGACGAACTCCTGTGGGCCCCGGGAGTGTTCCAAGACCCTCGCCATGATAAGCCAGTAAAGAGATACAGAATTACCAGGATATATGTATCTTCACTAGACTCGGTTTACAACGGTGCGAATCCTATCTCCCGTATCGATCGTGTAGAAAATGCTAATTCAGAGCACAGGCCGAAAGAATTGGAATATACCAAAGACCGTGAGCACCCCCCCAATCTCTCCTAGACTGAAATTCATCAATTACCTTGGAACTCACCACGTACATCTGCTTCAGCTGGCCAATTTCGAATTCGTTCCGTCCGATTCCCACTATCCGCCATACCGCCAGATCAAGGTCTCACTACCCGACAGTCCAGACCAACCATTCGTTTCCTTGGATTTACAGCCAATCCCATTGATATCTAGACCCCTCTTTCCTATTTCCACGAGCTATATTCCGATGAATCTCGAGACTGTGATGCCACCAATACCCGAGTCTAATGACTGGCGGGAGAATGGATTGGTAGGCAGCGAGAATAATGAATGGAGATCTGTGCAGGTTGACATATCGGGTAAGGCTGGTGTGATTAGCGTGGGAGGAAAGCTTGGCGATGGGGAATCATTTCCAAAGCTGGATATGACTGGTTTGTGGTTCTGGGTAAATGATGCAAAAATGGCGTGCAAGAATGTCGGGGAGTAGGGACCTTGAATATCAGGGATGTGTATGTACTAGAGAGAGTAATGAATAATTGTTCCTATGGTCGCAAGTACCTTGCTAGACAGATAAAAGTGCAACGCTATGACAACCTTCAACCTTGGCGGGTCTGCTTGCCAAAGAGATGATTAGCCCTAGTACAATGGTCGACAAACATGAGAGATTCAAGTTAAATTTGGTATCTTTTTAGAGACAATACTATATACAGGAAAGGACAATGCTCTATTCGGTTTCTATTGGTACAGAGGATTGGCTAATCAGTGACATCTTCATGGAGACAAAAGTTGTCCATGGCCATCCGGAGTGAGAAAGTCATTTCACTATCCAGGAAATGATTACCCTGATGAATATTGCTTAGTGGTGGGCAAGAATCTTAGCAGCAGCCTGCTCGGCAGCAACCATGATGGTGGCCTGGATGTTACCCGTGGGGAGGTCAGGGTGCATACTGCCGTCAACAACGTACTACAACAGTTAGCAACACGCACACCTAGAGACACTATAATCCAACTTACCAGGTTGTCCATGCCATACACCTTAGTGTTGGTGTCGACAACGGATGTGCCGTTCTTGCGGCCGTCGTCGGTGCCCATCTTGGCTGTGCCGACGTAGTGGACACCCATGGATGGTGAAGCAAGGATCGCAGAGGTGTTAGTGTTGCCCTGCAGCTTGAAGCCGGTGGATGCGTCGGTGATGTCGTACAACAGCTGATCGATGAACAGCTTTGCGGCTGTCCAGTCATCGGCAGTCTGCATGTAGGGAGACTTTTCGAACACAGTGTTGCCCTTGTCGTCCAGGCCGAGGACTCCAGAAGAGGTCAGACCATGAGTCATATAGGCTGTGATGGCCAGAATACCCTCATCGGCAGGCGCGCAAGATCCCTGGTAGTACCGGGTATGTCCATTGACCTGGTTTGAGGTGAAGAAGATCATGCGGTGCTTGCCCTGGGTAAGAACTCCGCTGTTCTGGCGGTACAGACTGATGTCGGCAGTGTCGGAGCCATTAACAATGCTGTCGTAGTCAAGAAGGCCAAAATCAGCACCGGTGTCAACATTGATGCTGAAGATGGGATGATCCTTGAGTCCAACCCCGACAGGCAGGTCGATCCATTCCTCTTGCGGAGGAACAGTGACACCACTCTTCTTCGCGGTTTCGATCTGCTTCTTAGGGCCGATACCGGAGTTAAAGAGCAGTCGGGGGGTAGAGAGCGCTCCAGCCGCCAAAACCACACGACCATGGGGCGCAAGGGTAACCACTTCAGTTTTTCCAGTGACGGAGTTAAGGACTTCAACGCCAGTCACCTCACTGCCGGATCTCACGAGACGGTTGACCTTAGAGTGAAGGCGGAGGGTGAAGTTGTTGAGATCCTTGGCCAAAGGCAGATAGGTACGAACAGGACCAGCACGCTTCTGATCCACGATGTTCCAGGCCGGGTAACTGTAGATCTGGTGCTTCTCATTGGGAGCTGCAATCATGTCGACTGACTTCCAACCTAGGTTGTTGAAGAATCCGGAGAGCACTTTGTAAAGACCTTGATCGTAACGCTTGCCATCGGCAGAAGGCTGAATAGTTCCGGGGTTACGTTGGTACAGACGCTCGGACGCCGCCTTGACATCCTCCCATTTCCATCCCTGGGGCCACTTGTCGTCGAAATCGCGTTCCGGGGGGTGGACGAATACCATGTAATTGAGGGTGACACCACCACCCAATACGCAGGCGGCTTGCCCATCGGTGTCAGTACAGATGTACTGATTCCAGACGTCCAGGTTACCAATATCGGCCGACAGTCCAGGAAGATCGACGGGGGTCAAGGTACGGTTCCAGCTGAGCGTTTCGTTATTGCCGGTGCTGACAGTGGGACCGACACCACGTTCCAGTAAAAGGACATTCTTGCCTGCTTCGGCGAATCGCTCTGCTGTGATGATACCAGACGGACCACCACCAACAACGATATAGTCGTAGGTGTTGTTCTTCAAGGCGGAGACTGCGGAAAGCGAGGCGGCCAAAGCCCCTGTGCGAAGGAACCTCATGTTGAAAGATAGACACGGAGGTCAAATACCAAGTGATAAGAACTGCTTCCACGCTGAAGATACTATACAATGTATTATATATGACGCTGAGAGGTGTGGAACCACCGGTGTGGATCGGTAATCCTGGATTTTTATTACTCAAAGACTGCATTCGGGTAAGAGTTTTCCGATCCACAATGCTGATTGCGATGGATAGATTCCACTCGAGCCTTTCCATCTCCTTTCGTTTAGCCGGTGGGAATTCCCTCAGGTACTCGAGATTTTCTGCTGAATGAGGTTTAGAGGAATTCTTCAAGATCCACTTGACCACGGATATGGAAATGAAAGTGGAGCTGCTGTGCATTATCAATCAGCACATAAGCAGCTTGGCGATGTCGATTGTTTGCAGAATAACGGTAGAAGATTGTGGGTCCTGGTCTTGATAACCAAATCACGGCAGTTGAATCCCGGGATCTATCTCCGTGCATCCGTATCAGGTTAACGACGAGGATCATTAATGTTAAAAAGGTGAAACAGTTTTTCTCGCTTGGGTTCTTGTCTTCGCTTCGTTGTCTGTATACTCTGGTTCATATGCATAATCTCTGGAATCTAAGCTATATTTGCGGACATCATCCCCCGGATATACTTCCTTCGAGATATAATGTCCAAGCTTGCCACTTGAGCCCTGGAGTTAACTGAGGTCCGTGGTGGCGTTCCTTGGAACCCTATAATGTGACCTATCCACCACAAGGCCCACTGCCACGTTTTCACTCGCCCGGGCCCAGGTTTATATTTTATGTACGGGCGCCGTACGTCCTGCAGATCGAGACCCTGATCCGAGGAGATCACTCCTATCTAAGCATTCCCCTTGATCTGGTCGTCAAACTATCAAACCTATATCGGCTTGGAAGTATTACCACTATGTGCCTAGGTCTTCCGGCCTCACTGAGCAATTATAGTGCTTTATATGGGTTAGCCAAGTACGCCACTAGTACTCGGTTAAAATACATTTTGTAGTAAGGTTTTCGTGTGCAAGGGAAGATGACATCTACCTTTGTGCGCACCATAGCCACCAGACCCATCGTGAAGCTTGAAGGTGGGCCAGGTGTATATCCTGATCTCGGATCACATTTGTTCCTGGAGTAAACCGACAAGACACCCTGACTGGAGCCCTTTTCAGGTAGTATTGCTAGTGCATACTCATCAAGCCCTTTGTTGTCACCTTCGGCATCGCCTCCACTATTTGGTAGACGGTGTAGTCTAGCACTGCATACTAAATTCATATTGATGAATCGCACAACGACCAGGGCATTCTCCAAGGCTACCCAGAAACAGATGGTAGCGGAATAATGTATACCTTAAAATGGCTGTTCGTTGGCCATTGTGGCACTCATCAGCCACAGCACGGTAGCCCTCGATGTTGTCTCGTTCATACACCAAAAGCGTAAACAACACCCATCTAAGGTGCGAAGTCCGCTTACCACCTATCCTGACATATCTTCAAGGTACGGCTACTGGAAGGCTCAGGGCTGGAGATAATCTTGATTCTTGATGGCGTTGCTTGCACTATTTCTTCCTGTGGGGAAGACATACCTTAGGGTTTGAAGCGGGGATATAATCCAGTACTCTATTAAGCTACGGTCAATTTCTGTTTCTTGTGCTATTAACACAATGCATCAGTAGTCGCATACTTAATACGAGATTATCGCTAATCCTTACGATGGACTCCCTTTTCACACTGACTTGAGCAAGAGGTGCGAAACCTTCTTACCTGAGCGCAAATTCGCCTCTATATTAAAAATGACTAGCGAGTCAAATTGAGCTCCGGAATAACGACCAGTCATGTCGTCTGTCTTTCTTCCGTATGAAAGTCTGTATATACTCATAAATTGGTTGTACTATTGCTTTGCATGTGTTATTCTATCCATGTCTACGATAGTAATACTACCTTTGCGGCATATGTTTATTCTACATCTACCGTATGTCACTACGGTTGGCAGATAGTAACTTCAGCATTGGCAGGGTAATCCCATATGTAAAACACAGACTACCCAGTCTAGTGCTAGACACTGTAATATGCAATAGTAAAAGAGGTACCAACTAATCACTAATTACCATGGGGTTTAAATGAAAGCCGCTGTGTTAATCGCGACAGAAAAAGGCAAGAAATGCATGCCTATCAATGTCGCCATTGACCAACTTGCTATTTCCCTTCACCGAGCCTCCACGCATATGATGCTTCCGAAGACTTGAGGGTTTCAAGCCATCAACCATATCTCCATTGATAACCTTAGAGGACTCGTCCATCTCAGTATCCTGGTAACAATGACAAGTCTCCTTGGCCTGTCCCTGGGGCTCTCCACCCTCAGACATTGAGCATTCGCTGATACTATCCGTTACTAAATGGTCATCAGTTGCTTATCTAGTAAAGTCTAAGGGATGTGGCACATACACTCCTGGCTTTCAGTGTTTTGATGTCTGGTCATTCTAGCAACCATGTCTGCTGGGATAATACGATCATCTTGGAAGTGGTAACGTCGATCTTCTATATGGCCGTCGCGTCTATAAACGACGGTTGCAAGTCCTATGCCACGTTGAGGATCGACAGGCAGTTCGACCGTTCGCTGAGTTAAGTTAGTGGGTCTTCAAGAAGCATTTAAAGAGGGTAACAGTTTGCGCACTTCCTCATTACTGGGAGAAGCAAGCCTCTGAGGTGTAGACATTTCGACGAAAGGATAATAGATATAATGTAATCCCAAAAGATCAGCATAAAAAATGGCAAGTCTCTCAGCATACGCAACAGGACGCTTTTCTCCCTCCTTATATAGGCCGTAAAGTCTCTCTAGAGATGCAGGCCTGATAACCAGGCGGCAGGGGTGCCTTGTTTGACAGGGATTATATTCCGAGGCTTTACAACCTCACGCCCATCTGGAATTAATACTGGGTTTCGCTATCTAGTACGTCAAAGCGTACCTACTTCTATTGGATAGATATGGATCTAAATCTCCTTCTAAATTTTTTAGTCACCTTCTTACAATTAGCGAACTCTTTAAATGGCCACCATTTGCTGTCCACATTGTGATATCAAATAGAGTCAACGCACGTCATCACTTTGATGGTATGTACCCAATACATATTCCCTTTCGTGACTTGCCAATATAGGGTATTTCTCACACACAATTTTATGATAAACCTTCGTGAAATGGCCCAACAAAAGAGGGGCGTGACTAACGTAGCGCACCCCCTCCCCAGCTGGTACACTAATTTAGAAGTGTGATGCGAAAGCCCACGCACGCTAGACATGATAGTTCACGAGTCAGGCGAGGGGAATACCCCCTTTCTATCCATCAAACTAATCCCGACCCTTCCGCGTGGTCAAAATTGACGTGAGGCCGTGCGGCTTTCAGGAACTGTCTCATTTCTGATCTGGAGAACGCAGAATGTAAACATCTTCCTTCTACTCCCCACTGCCCAATGCCCACCGCATCCAGATAAAAGGTTTGAACTGCCTTTGGTATGAACCGTGTGACCTACCGAAAGACTTCTCTGTTCTCCAAGACTGTCAATTCCGGGGGCGTGGCAGAAGGTGCTGATCCACCGCGCCAGTCGCGCCAATTCTCTACACTAGTCAATGGGATCAACAGCTCGGTTCACGTTCCAATTTCCCCGGCCAGTCACATTGCATCACCTCGGGTCCGTGTCCTATGACTGGGCCTTGCATACGAGCTTCCGTTGCCCTTCCCAGTGGCTCCACGTTGTTTTCGTTCTCCTTGGATCGCCAATGTCAGCCTCGCCTAATTTTATCCCATTATGGTAGGAGTCTAAGGGTCAATACGTGGGCATGAGGTAGCAGAGGCTCAAAGTTTATTATAAAGTCATCCCCACTAGCCACCCCTTGTCTATATTTTGATTTGTGAAGTGTATGTGCTACTGGCACCGTTATGAAGCTGGGCGTATAGACCTGTCTTGGCAATCTATTCTCGGGCATTAGGTAGCGATCGTCATCCATAATGATGTTATCGTACGATCTTCTCTCTGATATGCTCCTCAAGCCAGCATTGATAGTCCAACATGAAGGCGAAAGAATGCCTGACTGTCCTTACTGATATGAGAGCGAAACGAAACCCCACAGGCCAAAGAAATTTAGTAGAGATTACCTCCTATAGGAGAAAACGACGGACAGACCAAGTGGTGAGGGAAGGGGGAAGAGGGGTTTGTTCCTCGAGACCTAGAGGAGCAACTAGAGCTATTTCCGGGCTTCCGCGGCCTGCTTGGAACCATGGATCGAGGTGGAGCCCATCTATCTTTCCCCTGTCATTTTTTCTCTCTGAGCGTTTTTCATAGGGCGGCTATGGCCGATAAATCCACGCTAACACCGATGACCCACAGACTCAACGTATCTGTAAGTTCTGTACTAATGGCGAGTCATGGCTCATCAAGCATGGGCAGAAAGGCACTTATAGTCTCCCAGTATCATCATTTAACGACCTATTGGATAGCCGTATCAATCTCATTCTCTCCAAGATGGTGGATTTTCGATATACCTTGACTCCAAATCTCTACTTGATATCCATTGATATTAGTCTAATTAGGAATGTACCAGACATATATCGGATAGACAGTGCGCTTGTATCAAACCGCCGGAACTTTCTCAATTAGGATATACAGGGTGATACATATATACATGGCTTCTTGTATCTCGTAATCTATATACAATGGGACAATCAGCCTCGTCATGATCTGAAAACTATGCAATCGCCTGAAGACTCTCCAGGTTGGCATCTCTCCAAATGATAGTTTGAAGCTGGAGGGCTCTCTGTCAGTCCCAAGGTAGGAATCTACCAAGTCGTGCTAGAAGGCTTGTCAGCATTTACCCTATTTCAAGATGCAGAGACGATATTAAGCCAGGGATTAATAGAGCTATCATTTGAGATATCAACAAGAGGATTCATTGAAACGGTTTTAGGAAAGGCAAGCATCTCCATTGGATACCTTACAAAGTGGACACACCATTTGCATGCAAGTGACAAGCATGATCTATATACATGTCATAATAGTTACACTGCAGATTCTAATATTCGAAGAGAAACTGTGTTCATGGATTTCACCACTATAAATATTTTAGTGATTTTAATGTGATACCGGCTGACAGTCAGAGTCTCCCACTCTAGAGTTGGTACCTAGGAATAGACAGCCTAAACTAGAACGCGAGTCTGCGATTGCTATCGCCGTGCCTTCTATTTCTGCAAGATGTTCAATAGCTATTGCATGTCCTATCATCTATGCAACAATAGTTGCCGCTTGTCGTTCACCTTAAATCCCGCTATATCAATTATGCAAACAATTCAAACGTATGATCAAATAATTACAATGGACCAATGTATAATATTACCAACTTTACGAGTACCAACGCACTTTATACTGACCAATAATATGTATTTACTAGGTCCCACCCTAGGTTTCAACCAATTCTATACTTTCGGACTATCGGCTAGTCCGGTTCCGAGATACTGACCGCCTTTAAGAGTCTCATAGAGAAAACACTAAGATTTCGGTAAGAAATCGCGAAATCAGTCCTAATGTCCGTTAGCGCGATTTAGTCTACCGTAAACAATACAACGATCTATTTTGGATGGAGACAAACAAGAGGTGGACTGAAAAGCTGCACGTATGCGTAATCCTAACCTGAGTACCTCTTCCTCACTTTCGAGGCAATATATGCTATTGCTGTTATTCTCTTACATAGTCCAGTGTAGACTTGCCTTGAAAAGGATAGCCAGAGTTGAATTCTCTCTCACGTGATCTTTGTAATTGTAAGCGAGCCGCGTGCCCCAAAAGTAGCACATCCGCAACTTTCCCAAGCCAGCCGCGCAAACACTGCCAAGCAGCAATCATGCCGCCAGCACGGAGACAAAAATCAAAAGACTCAAAAGCGCAGGAAGAAAGGATTCAATCAGCAATTGCAGATCTCCAAGATGGCAAACTCTCTTCCGCACGGCAGGCAGCTCTCAAATACGGCGTGCCCTCAACAACTTTACTCAACAGGATGAAGGGGGTTAAAAGCCGGTCTCAAACATGGGCAAATTGTCATAGACTGAGCTTGGAAGATGAGGAGTCGCTATCCAGATGGATAATATCAGTAACTGAACAACATGAAACTGCCCCCTCGCGGTCGCAGATCGAAGAAAAGGCCAATGCCATTCTCGCCAACCGCAGCAACACACCAAATGTGACCGTTGGAGAAAAATGGGTATACAACTACCTCCAAAGACACGAAGAATTGAGACCAATTTATCCTCGACGAATATATTCTCGCCGGATCTATACTGCAGTTGTCGGGAATGCTAGTGCAGAAACTGGATCACGCTCGAACAATCCCAATCGCGAAACAGGCCAGCCTGGCAATCAACGCAATACCCTTCCGCCACCTATCAGAAGCTCGACTCATCTGGATGTTGAAACATCTGACAGCTTCAATCGATTGGAAAAACTGCTTTCTACGTTCAAAGAACTGGCAATGAAAGAGACTGATGCAGGAAGCGCTTCGATGCAGACTACAATAAATAGTCTTATTAAGGGGTGCGAAATGATTTTGGAAAGTGGTTATACTCTTGTCAAACAGACCCAGGACCTACGTGCTGCTCTCGCAGAGATGAGGTAAGGGGGGGACGCTCCTAATGTTTGACACCCATGATACTGTGTCACTGGATTCAAAATCCACATCGTGTAGTTCCATTTATCTTATCTTGTTTTCTTTTCTTTCCCTGTACGGAGTATATATGAGCAAATTGTGTTGAGAGCAAGGTGTCTCATCTGCTCATCCATACTTACCCAGACTTTCTTTGCTGGGCCCGAAGATCGGAATGCCGTTGGAGATACGCGTAGCTGTTGCTAAGCTTGGCCACCCTAAATTGCATTGTATGGCCATGACTGGCCACGACAATAGTAAAGTCAGATGTGAACACGGGCTTCTCATTTGCGATATCATACCCTGGACGCTCGCATGGAAACATTGGAAGGAACAAGAATACTTGACGCAGGTCTTCATTCAATACTATCATCAGATAAACGGTGTGGAACTTGCTAGGCAGCGAATAAGAGCTAGAGTAAGAAACAATGCTCATGAGAAAAACACGAGAAAAGCAAGGATTTCATGGTGTTCAGGTGGATTCAAACCGCCATGCTTTCATGACAATTATTATCTAGCATTAAACACCCCGATGTGGATCTTGGCATCCGGCAAAAGGGATCAGTCACGGTATGAATAAAGGGTTTTGTCGTCAATGAAACAGAGGACGACCTGAACTTTTATTTGCAGTACGGGTTACCGTATCACTTGATTGAGCCTTGGGAAGCGCGCTAGTCTTGCGATTACAGGTCTACCTAGCCAAGGAATGGATGCTAGGAGGTATGGGTCCAGCACTCTTCACGGAAGCATACCTGGGATTTACATACCTCTTATTTCGTGAGTCAACCTAGGTTGGGATTTGTGTCAACCAGATTTACGTGTTGGGTTACCTTACGGAACCCCACAACGGAAATCTTATGTGACCTAAAAGGCAGTCCAAAGTGATGTGTTAAAAAGAACCCGAGGGCAGATCAGTGCGAATGTATTGACAGAGATCATGCCTACCCGATGTATCGGCGTTCAATGTTCTCCAGTTGTAGACCGGGCTTTCCTGGAAAGAACGACCCTTATATAGATTAGTATCGAGGATGGTAGGCAACTCTACGGGTCATCGCGGGCAGAGTACGGTGCACTGCAGAGGTCAGTATTACAGATATACACAAAGCTATTTCCCGATGGGGGTATCATAACCTATTGCGAAACTCCGTTATTCCCTTCTCAATTGGCCAAAACTCTCGATAGCCTAACTTCCTACTGTAGATAGTAAATTATCATGTGTAGATTGTAAATGACCAATTGTCTAGACCTGTAGTTAGAAAATCAGACCTATTGTGGTGGTGACAATTGAACCGTACGTTACACTAAGCGAGTATATTATTGTTGACAAAACCTCATATCTCTTGTATTGAAAGGAATGCGTTGACTAACTAGATCTGCGTGTATGTAGTGCTCTGCTCTATCAGGGTACCTTTTCAGCATGAACAACCGCAATACTGTAATAGTTATGACTTACTTTCCAAGCAAGTCAATCAGATAGTATTTTGAGCGATCCAGCTATTTGCACTTAAAGCGTCGTTATTGACATCAGGACGACCATTTGACGACGGCTCGCAGTAATTGTAGTGTCCTATAATGCCCACCAGCTCTCCAGATTCATCAACAACTGGACCTCCTTGGTCCTGGGAACATGAGCCCTGTTTCGTCTCTGGCGCCGCATCACAATTCATGTTGTGAGTCAGAAGATATAGGTCTGACCATGGCTTGTCGCAATCATCAAAGGAGATGAAAGTGGTCTGGAGCTGTTGCAGTGTGCGAGGATTTTTATTCGACAACTTGTCTGTCTTTCCCCAGCCGTAGAGGGTTACAGGGGCCCCTGTAAGTGTGGACTGCTTGGCAATCGCCACAGGCTCGATATCGGTAACCGAGGACGTGAGATGGAGGACGGCAAAATCGGAATCCCGGGTGTTGGTGTTATAGTTGGGATGTTTGATGACTTTGATGACCTGGTTCAATTTGCCCCCAGTAGCGTGCTCGAGACTACCCACTCGTATCTTTAGCGAAGATGCCGAAGATCCATCGACACAGCCAGCTGTAGTAAGAACAGTCTTTGGGCTGATCAAGGAGCCTGCACATAGATAAGTGTCACCGAACAAGGTACTCGAGATGAGGGCGACTGCAAATGGTGCACTATCCGGGGATGCGTCACTCCCTCCTATAATTGCATTCACAGGTAATGCAATAAAAGAAATGAAAAACAGTAATCTACCGACAGATCTCATGGGCTTCATGGTTGGAATTTCCTGATTGAAAACCGTTAGACGAGTGGGCGTTGGATTAAGTCGAGTATGAGACTTGGGATGGACGGCGATGTTCAAAGCCTAATCGCAAGGGGAGTAATGATGGAGGAACTTGATAAAAGGCAGCTGATCTACCTAGTGATTTGCCAAATAGCGAGATCAAAATAAATGTGAGATGGCCATCATCACTCAAGGTAAATGGCCGCCGATGAGGATTATATATTAGATCCTGGGCCGAATACAGGGGGGCATTGACCCCTTTGCTGTATTCAAGTATGTTTACATGGCGGGAGAGAGCCCACTTGCATATCCTCGTATGCAAAAAGGGATACCTGCTAGCTGGATTGAAGACACTATCGATGGATTGGCTGGGTGATTGATCTGACTGATCCGCTGATCTCCACAACAACCAAACCTTAAATCAAGAGTCGCTTCGGAACTTCTCGGTGTCGCATTGGAGGTCAGCTTCTCAGTCGATCGGAGGAATGGTGCACCCGCGCCACCATAGATCTCTATCCAAAATAGAATAGAATAGAATTTCTAACCGAATATAAAATATTACTACATAATAGTTAGTCCTTGATACGCTAGCCCCTATTCTGAATGTTATTTTGGCCTATTAGACCTTGATTCTTGAATTAATATCTATTTAGAACTTCCTCTCTAGTATCTTTCAACCTTCAAGGAATACGAAAAGAACATAAACAATTATAGCCAAAGATGCAGGTGAAGGCAAGAGAAACTTGACGCGTGGCCCTGGCGTGGGCAAGAAGAGCACATGTACCAAGTTCCATGGAGTTAGAGCGTTGGATTTAGATCTGCTGTATATCTCTCTTGCCTCTGGGGCCATCGCGCGTTTCATCCAAACTGGGCTATGGTCATATGGTAGCATAACTGCCGTGACGATGTTAATGTTCGACAACGCTAAGCTTGAATACGTACTATACAGTCCCTTGGCATCTAAAACAACCGTGAAGAGATTAGCCGAAAGTAAGAAAAGTCAAATACGTGGTAACAAGGGCAGAGCTACGGAACATCAAACGAAGCACTCAATGTACAGATGCTTGGCTTCGCACTCGCTTGCAAATTGAGGATACCCCATCACGTTTAGCACTTGAGCGTAGTGTCTAGGCCATTGCTAACTACCACGAACCTTTGCGTCACAGGACTCGACTATACTCTCTCAGCTATCCTGTCACCCTAAGGGTATTGGGTTGACCCACGATTAAGGGAAGAAGAGAGGCGACGGTCTTCATGGTTGTTTTTTATAGCAAGATAACGTTCAATGAGAAATAGTATATTTGTCTGACAACATAAGCGTGAAACAAACGTTGTATAAATATACGGCCATCATTGGACACTTGCACCATGCCAATCCATGATACCATACTCCAACGCACTTAAACAAGTGCTTGGTGGTGAGGAATTGGCTCTGAAATACATATATAACTGTTGATATAATTCAACAGTACCCCATCGCCGGAGATCAGCCACTTCGGGTTCGGGTCGGGTCGAGCGCGGGAGAAGCCTAAAATGTGTAGTACCGTGCGAATATTCCGTTGTTTCCCGTCTATATCGCCAATCTAAAGAAGGTGTATATCGAGCTAATACATTTGACTGCAGAACTATTTCGTACAGAAAACATGTGGTCATCCGTCAGCTATGCCAGTACCCCCCCATTATGAGGAGCCAATGCCCCACACTCGTTGATATGCCTGCAGACAACAAGCAAATAGGAATATACCTTATAACTTCAGCTAGGACGGTAGCTTGGCATCCATCAGTCATGACAGGCTATCCTAGCATGAGGGATCAATGTTTGATTCGTGTTGACTAACGATTGGCTTTGCAAAACTATCCATTTCGAATCTCAATCAGAGTAGTAATGAGGGGTTAGAGGCGGTGTGTCAGGATCAACGCACTAAGTCGAGATATATCTGTTGAGCTCGACTTGGTACGGTAGATCTTGAGATGAGGCATTTCAGTAATTGGCCGAGGAGTTGCGTCTGAACACAGCCATGACCTGGCCGAGCTGAACAGTGGAGCGAACGCTTGGAGATCGGGTCTATGAGTAGTCACAATCTAGCGCCGCTAATGCAGATCAGCATCGCCCAATGCGTTACTAATATAGCGCAAGATATTTGTACCCCACCCAGCTGGACAGCTCAAAATGCCTTTTCGAATTCTACCTCTGATATAAATCAGCAGACTTTCGCGCTTTTCAGCTCTCATCTCTCAACTCACTTTCCTTACCTTCAGTCGCAAGAACCATCTCTAGTATCATCATGGGTGATATCCTACCAGGTACATATGTGCTGGTGCACCAGGCCACACAACAGGCTCTTGATCTGAGTAGGAGCAGCGGTCAACTTATCGGCTAGTATGTCCCACCTCTTCTCCTGAACTTGTACACTGCTTACCTACATCTTAAAGCGAAAGGAACGGCAGCAAACAACAGACTTGGACGGTCGAATCAGGCGAAGAGCCTGACACGTACACTATTAGATCCGCCGGTGAAGTCGGCCAAGAAACTCAGTATATCGGTTCTCAAAGTTTGTCAATCTATCATTATACCCTGGTACTTATATTAGCTAACATTTGCTATAGTCCCTTTGCCCTTCCCGGTATATGAGTCTGATGCAGTTCGGAATACATTCTGGAAGGCTACACCTGTCGGGCCGGATACATATAAGTGCGTATAACTATCTTGTACCTCTAGACAGGAAGCTGATCTTATCTTTGTTGTGCAGATTCGAGAACGATTTAGACAAACGGGTACTCTCTCTATATGGTACAGAGAATGAGAAACCTATCACACTTGATTTTGATCCACAAAGGCCACAAGGATGGGTCCTCTACCCGGCAGAGAACTAGGCCTTACTACCATACGCTGTTATATACTTTGGTGGCGTATCTATGGCCTCCTTATGGTGTCCTTTGGCGCTTCTAGGTACTTCATACAGACCTGTTGTTAGGGTAGTTATCTATTCAAATATGGTACAAAACCTTTGTTTGGACGGTAATGGCCATCACGCACCTTTTGCTGCGCCTGTTGATTTCTCCATTGCATAGAAAAGCCCGCACGCGAAGGCACCAGGCCCAGGGTGTCGGCTACACTTAGAGCGTAGGGTGTCTCAAAGACCATCGGTCCAGAGATTCATAGAGCCATCACCAGAAGTCCTATGTTATGCCACCACACCCAATTGAACGTTTGCACCGCTTGAGAAAGCATATGTTCAAGTCTTCCGACACAGGTGGACGATGTCTAGCCTCGTAAAACTTTCCACGATAATATAACCGGTTGTCTGCAGGGGTATCCTCCACTCCGCGAATTCATGAATAGCACATGCAATCAGCCGAGGGAACAATTTTAGTGGTGTACCTTCCATGCCAGAAACTAGTCCGAGAACGTTGCGGCGCCATATTTCATCATTCTGTTCGTGAGGTCTAGCTCAATGTCCATTATTGGTAATTTTAAACTTCTCAGATATCAGTCATTTAGGAATTTTTAACTCTGTGGTGACGGCGAACCATGGGTCTGCTGCTACGGGACAAGCGGGCCAGCTGGCTAGACTAGGGCCGCAAGCTCGGCAAGCCGCACAATTGGTGTGGAAGCGTTCATGCATGACATTTTTGACATTTCGTGGACAAAGTATTCCGGAGATTATTGCAGTAATTTACGAGGCCTAGATGGTTTGGATGCCGTTGGTATACAGTAGGACCCTTGTGGAGCCCCAGAAAGTCAAAGCGTCACACATCGATCTTATAATGGTGGCCTGCCTTAAGGGGTAGATCTTCAGCTTGTATGGAGTAATTTGAAATATACTGCGACTGAGAAGTTCTCGCATGGAATACCTCTGAGAAACCAAGTCATGTTAACCATGTTGGTTTGGTAGAGATAGAACTGCCGAAACCGCAAACAATCTGTCACTTGGAACAACGTATCATCAGCCATGAATAAGTGGCTGAGACTTCCGCAGCTCGTGATACCACCTGATTGTTCTAGCGATTTAGTAGAGGTCTCCTACATAACAGTCTAACGGACCCTTGAACTAAGGTTCCGACTAAAAACGGTTGCATCTATATGGGGTTGTTGGACGCCAAGTGGCAAAACTAGGGTTGGTGATGACATCTACGAGTCCGCAATTTCCGCAAGCAGGCAAAGGTAACAAGGCACAGCTGTCAATTCCCCACAATTGTGCGGTTGATCATCCGGTGGAAGTCCTTCGGCCGAAGGAATCTGAGATCCATGTCCCAAGTTTCAGACGATCATTTCGGCGGTCTCCGTATCCAGTAGTGAGTGAGCTTGCTAGTTTGACTTCCGCCACCTGGATATGATACCTTCGGACCTACTCGGCCATGAGACTAAACTAACCTCATGCTTACCACTCCGCAAGAGATTCTTTTTATGATCTGGGGTTCCCCATCTCGATATACCGTATGATGTCTGTAAACTATTCAGGTCTAGCTGGATAGATAGCAGGTAATGATTATGGAAAGCAAAAGTGCCTCTCACAATCATTTGAGGCGATTCCTTCATTCCACCCAGTAGTCGGATAACCCTTGTCTTTTTACCTCTTTTTCTTACTGGATTGTAGCAGATCAATCCTGTTGGTCCTCCTCTCATAACACACAACTTTTACGACCTCAGATATTCTACCTGCACTGACTTGCTGTGCCGACCGTGATTGGGTAAGGAGTGTGCAAACGCATCCGATATGCCCACGAACAACGTCGACCAGACCATCCAACACTGGAATACAGCTCTACAGATCATATGTATCAGCGCCACTACCATTTGCGTTGCCCTCCGCGTTTACACCCGGATGACCGTGCTCAACGGCCTAGCTAAAGAAGATGGTAAGTTTCATCACACAATGTAATGCACAGATGACTGACCGAGACAGCGGCTTGCCTGGGTGCCTGGGTAGGTTTTGCACTGGCATTTTCCTAATCCCGTGCTAAACATTCGATTACAGTCCCTTGGCGTCGGCTACTCAGCCATCGCACTAGCTAGTACGTATGATGTCACGCCACAAGTTACATCGCTAATCGCCGGCAGTGGGCTTCTATGGAGGGGGTCTTCCGATCGACGACGTGTCGGACCACGATCAACGAATTTTCCGCAAGGTATGCCGGACCGCAGACCATAGATGAAAGAAAGCCATCGGCTGATGACCCCAGACCGTCTACGGAACTATGATTATCTACGGGCCCGCGGCCTACCTGACCAAATTATGCCTCCTGTGGATCATGACGCGGGTCTTCCGCCCCTTCCGAACGGCCGTGATCCTGATCTATATCTTTCTCGGTATAATGCTGGCCTACTATGTCCCGGCATTGATTGTCAAGATCTGTATCTGCAACCCCATCTCGAAGTTCTGGGCCCCGGCCACTCCCGGCAGTTGTCTGGACCAGTCCAAGATCACGCTGGCCGATGCGGTAATCAGCGTCGCCAGCGATCTGATTGTTCTGATCATCCCACTGGCATTGGTGTGGAAGGTACATCTACCGACGCGAAAGAAGTTGCGCGTCATAGCCCTCCTCGGTGCGGGCGGTCTCGCCTGCGCGTCCAGCATCGCCCGGCTGGTGTTGATCGTCACCACAGGAAAGTCCCAGGACATCACAACGACGTTTATGCGCATCAACATGCTCGGGTATGTGTGCCGTGTCAATGTTCGATCGAGCTTGCTAACAATGGTCGGCGTAGGAATGCTGAGATATCTCTAGGCATAATCTGTGCCTGTCTTCCGGCCCTCTCGGCTCTCTTCGCCCACCTGTCCCACCAGCACACCCGTGCCCATCCCTCGTACGAATACTCCCATGAGAGCTCGGACCATTCTCGGCGCCGGGCCTTTTGGCGAAAGACGTCAGATCAAGACGCGTTGGTCCAGCACGCCGAGACTAGTCCCCAAATGCGGGCCATCATCTACGGGCACGGTGAGAATTTTGGTAGTAGGGGGGATGTCATCGAAATTCTCCGAACTGTGGAAATATCCACTGTGGTGACTACTGTTTGATGCCCGCGGGTACGCTGAAGATATAATATTCACTCAAGCCACTGCAGGAGGCCATAGAAGGCTAGTCGTGAAGCCCAGCAGTGGCTGATTCAAGAGAGGAAAATCATATTCACATTCCTGCTTGGAACACAAATGTCCAGGAACTGCTAACACGGGACGCAAAGTTACCGGCAGTACGGTGGGTCGCGGGACTCTTAAGGCTGAGTCACTATGAACTCCGATCCCCGTCCAGACTGTGGGCGGAGTCCACATTTGAGCACCCTTGGGTCCTAGCATTGATGATGGATAGAACACCGCATTGAATATTACCGCTCATACACCCGTGAAAGTGGTATAGGCCCGTTGGTTGAGGAGCTGAATAGGAAGCCGCCTCATATACGACCAACATCATCGTTGACAGACCTGTCTATGCGCTTCGCGCACGTGGCTTCGACGAGGGCCAGGAGCCCTTCACGATCATCAAGGAGGTCGTGGGCTGTTCAACAACGCCACCAGGTGGAGTCAACCCAAGGGACCGTACGCCCTGGATTGTGGAGCGAATATAATAAGCCCAGGTACTCACCGAAGCGACCGCATGAAATCTACATAGAACGTCTATGTAGTTAATTTTGAATAAATATATACTAGTCGAGTTTAATAGATAGTTGCTATACCATCATATATAATAAACTAATTCTAGTAGACCTTTAGACTGTGCGAACCGCATGCAGCGCTTTACACCTAAAGAGCCGCGCTGTACGTGGATCAGCACCCTATGAACATTTCACTCACTGCCATTTCCTATTGCTCTGACCGCTTGACCATAACACTCCCTAAGCGAGATCCGCCATGGTGTGTGCGATCCAAATTTCGGCAGCTGAAGTCTCTCCACAGATCGTCTACTCAGCCCGTCCCAATGGATCACCCTCTCGACCAAGCACGAGCGGGTCCGTCGATCTCTTGGCTATTGACCTGATCGATCTAGTCGGGACCGTATACTGTGTAGTATCCCCGATTGACATTGCGTACGTAGTGTAGACGTGTAACTCCAGCTGTGCCTGAATCCACAAAAGTCCAGAGAAGAAGACCTAGCTCCCAATTTCGCTTCCTCGGCGGAGCATAAATTGAACCCATATTCCACCACCTCCATCCTCACAACCCTTCATTCAATCCCTCATTCAATCCATCGATCCAACAATCAAAATGGTCAACTTCAAGGTACTACCCCTGCACCCCCACCCATAAATAATCAAAGCAAAAGTACATACATACTAACTCAACCACCAAATCCAGCTCCCCACCCTCCTCCTCATCGCCAGCTCGGCTCTGAGCTATGCGAAAATCAGCTGGTACTCAGTGATTGCCTACACCGACGCGATCTGTGAAGCCGAAACCTTCACCAGCGCCACTGGCAGTTTCGATGTGTGTGTCGACATGGGCAAGTCAAAGCTGCGGTCCATTGCGTTCGAGCCCGAGGCAAGCGCCATCAAGTGTCCTACCGACTCTTCCGTCGTCCTCAGTGTGTATTCCAAGCAGGAGTGTACAGGCGATGTCATCAGTTATTACAATCTGGAAGGCTGCCTCCCTCTGAGTAAAAACCAGACCATGCTCGAAGTGGGATCATGGCACGCGCGGTGTGTTCCGAGCAAGACAGCTTGAGGCTGGTGTTCTAGGGATGATTAGACGTGCTTAGTTAGATCTCTGCAAGGCTGGATGGGTATCAATCGTGTAATAGGGGTTGCAATGTACATACGCTCACTAGGGAACAATAATGTCACCTTGTTTCTGAAGCCCTAATGCCAAGACACGCTAGTCCCACGCAGTTCATGTCAGCGAATATCCATGGAACTATTTTCCTTGTCTTTTTGGATACATTATACATGCAATGTTCATCGTAGATGGATTCATGGTCTACTGCGTTAGGCAGTCAACTAGTTACCGTGTTAGTTAGGTAACTAGTTACTGTGTTGTGGGTGAATCCGGTAATTCGGCTACGCAGTTGAAAAGTTCAAGGGCATTGTTCTCCACAGGCGCCATACCCGCTACTAGTAAGGAAAGATCGGACAGGATCTGCTTCAGCTGTGCCCGATCGGAGAATACATGATCGGCATGCATCTGGGGCGAGTGGGGCTGACTATTGCGTCCCGTTTGTCTTGGGGAGCCGACTATTGAACTATCAGTTGGCGCAGATCGTGTTTGCAGCTGCGCCAGTCCGCGTAGAATTAATTCAGTTGCATGAGTTCTCCTTTCCGCTACGTTCAAGACAAGGCATAAATAGACAGAACTGTGCCAGCAAACCCTTCCTACAAGAAAGCTCAGCACGCAAGATATCTGATCAGTACGAACACACCGAATCGAATCGACCAGATATCATTCGCCATGGTCCATTTCAAGGTAAGGCGTCTACCTGTCTATACACAGGTTCCCAACGAAACCACCATCCCAGTCTAACCATCCAATTCATGGCTTCACTCTAGGCTCCCATCCTCCTCCTCGCCGCCAACGCAGCCTACACGCTAGCAGCACGGAAACCAGAAATCCACATTTTCGAAGATAGCCAGTGTACAAAACCTCGCTCTAGTGCTCAGGCCACCCAGCTAGGCAAATGTTTCACTTTGACCCGTTATGACACCAACTCCGTGAAGCTTGATGCGGGAGTGCCGAAATGCCCCGATAACTCCGCGCCGGTCGCCACACTCTATGCCTCCCCCTGGTGTACAGGAGATTCTCAGAGCTTCCCTTCTAATATCACGGGATGCCAGACGACAAATACTACTGATTTCGTCTATGAGTCGTTGGAGTTTGAGTGCCCCAGGGTACCAGAAAAGAAGCCCATCTACCTGGAAACCTTCTGGGACAGCAGCTGCGACGTCCCCGGATCAAATACCACCGCCACTGGGGTGGACCAGTGCATGTCGATTGAGTCTGAGCACACGCGGGCGTATCGTCTAATGGGGCTGGACGAAAATGAGAACCTCTGCAAGAACCAGACCGCCAAATTGATGCTGTATACCGAGGGTAATTGCACGGGCAAAGCGTTGCCTCCGAATGAGTATCAGGGGGGTTGTAACTCAATCGATGACACCAACGTGACGGGATGGAAGATCCACTGTGCTTAATGTTTATGAATGTTTGGTGTTGGCACTGTATTGATATTGACCAGCTTTGTTGTTTATATTTGCATTCCCATGATGTTCCCGGGAATTTACGCCCTCAGGCTATGAAATAGATGTTTATACAAGACCCAGGCTCGAAGACAGGAAGCCATGATTTGTTGTTCCCTAGGGTTCGTAACTGTTAAATGCTCAGTATGTTTCTTATCCCCTCTAGCCAACGGCTAGTTAGTAGAATGCTCTTGGGTTGTCGGGGCGGCCCACTACCCGGAGTTGAAAGAGCTCTTGGAGCCCAGTCATATTGGCTCGGTGCTCCTTGAAGAGTTAACATTCATTCCCCATAAGGATCCCAAAGCTTGTCCGCAGTCAGGGTCTACAGGGAATAAAGTACGATAGCGAAATAGTGAACTTCGGACGGAGACTAGCGAACAACGTAGAACACGCCGTCCATGTTTGGTTTTCATGTGCAGATCGGCAGTAGATACAGGGACGATAGACACGATGCAGGGAACCAACCTGATCCTTGCTCCGACAGCATTTGAATTCATTTCTCTCATCTAGGCCAGTCGACAATGGATGAGCTGTATACGCGGGCCAGAACGGTCTGAAAACATCTCACAGCCTCTGGACCCGTGGGCGGGACGCTTGTACTCTGACGGCCACAAAGCAGGGTTATCAGAGTCGTGAAGCCGTCCACAAATGCGGTGAAAGCTCTGCAGCCACGGTGGCATCGGTTCGACTTCCTGCGGACCTTCTTGCCCTGATCTCATTCGATCTAGCCTACGTGCTAATGTGCCTAAAGACCTGCCTGCTTCCCTTTATCACTCTCATTTGGCCAATTGTCCCGTACCTTGTGATGTCATTCAATCTGTGATACACGGAACGGACTACGCGGTATTACCATTGTCAGGCGTAGGAATAGGTATCGGGCCTCCAGGAGAATTCTCCAGTCTCGCAGTCAAGACCTCGACCCCGGTTTCAGTAACCAACAAGGTGTGTTCTCCATGAATGTTAGCGTTGCGCTTAAAGTAATATTGCACAGGTGTACTCACCAAATTGAGCTGCCCGTTTGCCATCCACCGTCACGTTCGTCCAGTCATCGGGCCAATAAATTTCGCGAGGTTTCCCCAGTGTCAAAATGGGTTCGATGGTGAAAGCCATCCCGGGTTTGCACACTCCAGGCACCTTACTATTTGCATAATGAGGGATCCACGGCGGTGGGTGGAATTCGGTATTTATACCGTGGCCACCCCAGGTTGTGTGAATGCTACAGTTTCGGGACTTGGCATGCTTCTCAATAACCTTGCCAAAGTCTCGGAGGAGAGTGCCGGGCTTGACGAGCTCGATTGCCATATCTAAGCACTCTCGTGTTGTTTCAACCACCCGGACCGAGTCAGGGTCGGCCTTGGCTCGATCGCCCACATAATACGTTTCGTTCACATCCGCGTGATAGCCTCCGTGATACAACGAAATGTCGAGATTCAGGATATCGCCGTCGAGAAGAATCCGCTGATCCGGAATACCGTGACAAACCACCTCGTTCGGAGACGTGCACAGCGATTTAGGGAAATGGTTGTAGTTCAAGGGCGAAGGATACGCCTGTCTTTATTAGTGAGAGATACATAGAAGTACATATCATGAGGATGCGAATAAGACCTACATTCCGTTCCACGCAAGCCTTGTGACAGACCTCGTCAAGGTAATCGGTGGTAATGCCTGGCTTGATTGCTGCTGCGGTGATATCCAGCACCTCCCGCGCTAAGCGACACACCTTGCGCATAGCCTCCTGTCCTTTTGCGTCAAGAATTTCAATCTTCGATCGGTGCAAGCGCCGCTCCCCCTTCGGAATGCCGGTCTCAGACCAGTCAGGGCGTCTGATCGACTTAGGAAGGGTGCGCATTGGAGACAGTGGATAGACCGGTCGGACCGACCCGGTAAAGGAGTAGGTCGGGAACGGATTATAAAGTCCAGTACCTGGATGGGGTTCAGCGCCAACCTTCGGAGGGATGATTGTGCGGAGGATACCATTCTGTGTCTGGCCTTGGGCCGTTTTGTGGACGGTCTTGTGTTGGGCCTACGCCACGAGCTCAGTCAATGACGACATTCAGTGTCCCTCAGATGCGAAACACACCCAGTTCTTCTTGAAACAATCTTGGGAGCAGAAATAGCTGTCTTTCATGCCCAATTTCAGACAGGTCGGACACTGCAAGGCTGGCGCTTCATTTTCACAGTCGACTCCAAGACACTTTCTCTTAGACGGCAGTTCGGACGCGATGTCACCCATAGTGTCGGTTCGGAACGTTGGACTGTCGCAGAGCCAACCTCACGTCACCGAAGAAACTCGTAAATAGCAAAAGCGGCAGTTGTTCTTTGTGTGGGTTGCGAGACGCCGAATGTAACGGGGAGTGCACGTGATGGGGGGATCCTCCGATCCAGCCGGACTTTTAACTCGTTCAGCTCAGGGCCACTAGTAGCAGAAGCGGAGTAAAGACAATGCATTGATAGGTTGATCCTCGGATCTGTCCCGAAGATCCACTCAGTAGAGGAGGCTTGGCGTAGGTCCGGCCCGAAATCCTCTTCTGTACAATGTGTACGTACGTACTATGTAGTACATAATACAACATATCTATCTTGGCAGGGCCCCAGGCAAGAGCCACTCTATGTAGTTTCCTACCGTATTGTTTTTCTGCGGAAACTTTGAGACTTTCCTTTTTCCAGAACAGGACTAGCTCAGTATTGCTTTTTCCTTAGTAAATAATCCTAGAGCGTGGAGCAAGACAGTAATACGTATACTGAGCACTCCCTGAATATTAAGCCAATACACCGGAATAATTTAGGATTAATTTTTAAATAATCTATAATCACTTAGCTTAGCTATCTACTAAACCCACTATACTTTAAATAATAAAATAACTGAATATTATAACACCAAGCCTACCCCTTCAATTAATTGAGAATATAAAATATCACGATATTTTTAAATTTATAACTAAAATTTAGACTGGCATTTGGCCAGGTTAGGTTAGGTTAATGGGGTCAGTTATTTTAAGAAGCCTAACTGTATCCACTTTCACAATGTCAAATCCAGACCGGTATACTGTTGGTTGGATATGTGCATTGCAGACAGAATATGTGGCTACTGGAGCCTTTCTTGAAAAAGAGCATTGCCGACCAGAGGCACTTTCGGCAAATGATAATAATCATTATACCCTAAGAGAGATTGGGAGGCACCAAGCTGTTATCGCTGTTCTTCTCAAATAAAAGGAAGGGAAAAATTGAAGAGCCGATTTTGAGAAAGGTGTAGAAATCCGCGCAGACAAGTAATATTTCATCTTAACTGGTCATTGGTGATTTCAGGTTGAGAAGAAAGAGAAAAGAATCTAGCTTCTTGATCAAGGGTAGGTAAAAGATCAAGTACGGTGGGATTCAATACAAGATTAGATATCAGCCCAACAAGTTTTTGACACCAGCTTATCTTTTGTGAGAGGGCATCATAAAAAGAATTTCATTTTGTTTCACCACCGAGATAAAAGCTAGCTACAATTTTGCATTCTGCTGAAACCAAACACAACTTACTCATAGCATGGCATGTGGTAATGTAATTATTATTCTGCTCTTCGGGTTCCTACTTATGGTTGTACTCAGGAGGCGTGACAATATTGAACGATTTGTCTTGAGTGGTCAGCAAATCTCTTAATACAGACCAAACCGCAGTGTCGCCTTTTGTATCAAGATTGTCGAGAGTCTTGCGCTCGCCAGTGATTAGCTCAATAAACTCCGCCTGGGTGGCATAGATGGTGAGAGAAGCCGGGATAGACGAGGAAGTTCCGGGTCCAGAGTATGGGATGGCATGGCCGGTCAGGACAGCATTGCTCAGCCTCATATGCCAGCCCTCCGGAGATTTGTTTACTTTGCCGCCTTCGGGATATGTGATCATCAAGTTAATAGAAAAGGGCATGGAAGACCACGCCTTTGGCCCGTCCAAGCGAATGGCCATAAGATCCACCAGCTGGTCCAAGCTGAAGGCGAACAACGACTCGGGCGCCATGTTGTTGACAGCACCTCGAACTTCCCCAGTAAGCTCCTTGGCGCCGGTCAGATAGATATTGCGCCAGGTTCCATTTTCTGCTCCTTGACCTAGAGATTGATAAACCTCGGCCAATGCCTGTTTCGCATTTGAATTTTTCGGGTCATTAAAGACCGCGTGGTTGAGAAGGGTGGCCGCAAACCGCAGATCGTGTTTTGCCACGTACTCTAGAGCCTTCTCGATGACTTTTTCAGTGCTTCCGATGCATTCGACATACCGAGCTGCTTCCTCCTTGGGCGGGTGTTTCCACAGATTAGCCGGGTTGCCGTCAAACCAACCCATGTACTTGTCATAGATGGCTTTGACGTTGTGGCTGACAGACCCGTAGTAGCCCTTTAGGTCCCATACATCCCGCAGAGAGGGAGGTAACTTCACCACCTCAGCGATCTCGACGGGGGTCAAGCCATTGTTCAGGTGCCGCAGCGTCTCGTTGTGAAGGTATGCGTAGCAATCACGTTGTCTGCTTAAGTACTCGATGATAGTCTTCTTCCGATTTCCCTCCTCGTCCACGGTTTCCCATGTGGGCCAATGATGGCTGGAGAATACGACATCGGCCAAGGTACCAAACAGAGCGATCGACTCATCCAGATATCGTGACCAGAGACGAGCATCACGGACTGGAGCACCGCGCAGGGTTTGCAGATTGTGTAAGGTGTGCGTCGCATTCTCCGCCATGCACATGGCGTTGAGGGTTGGAAAAAAGAAGTTCATCTCTGAAGGTGCTTCCGTGCCGGGAGTCAATTGACAGGTAATGTCCATGCCGGCGATGGGCGGATTTAGTAGGCCATTCTGGGAGACATAGTGGGTCGGCGCTACTAAAGAGCTGGTTCCCTGCGACAAGGCCAATCCAAGCCCGGCCCCAATTTGACCTGTGGGTGAAATTGGCAGCGATTCGCCGTACATATATACGGACCGGCGAGCCATTGCGTTACCCGCATAGACATTCTCGCTCACGGCGTGCTCAAGAAAGCCGCTGGGGGCGTAGATACGGAAGTCAGTGTCGACCTTGTACGGCAGGATAGCCTCCGCTCCGCCAAAATGATCCGCGTGCGAATGGGTGTAGATCATGGCACGTACTTTCACTGGTACGCCATCCTTGACATTTTCGAGGTAAAGTTGGAAAGCTGCCTGTGCAGTTTCCACTGAGGTCAAGGGATCAATGACAATCACCTCATTCGTGCCTCCTATCTCAACGATCGTCATGTTCGAGAGGTCCAGCGCGCGAACTTGATAGATGACGCCTCCGCGACCACCGATTACCTGGAAAATGCCACCAATATAGCAGAGCCTTGACTGTCTCCACAAAGATTGATGGACAACGCCCTCCGGCGGCTGCTCTTCATACAGAAATTCATAGGCACTGTGATTCCAGATAGGATTAGGGTTACTCTTGTCCCGAGAGTAAATTATCCCACCGTTCTCAGGTGGTGCGATGTGGCCGCGTTGAGCATTAATCCAGTCATGCTCGTTCTCCGGGGAGGTGATAGAGCTCATGATGATCGGTTTTTAGGACACGAACCAATATTCGTATTGTGGTGTGTAGCAGAGGATTTCAGAAGTCTGATTATCTGGCAGGCGAGAGACGAGGAATTGCCGAGATACTTATGTTCCTCGCGATCCTGGTATTCTTCTACTACCTACGCAAGGCGATTGCAATCTCAGCTGAAAGGTGCGGGGAGAACCTATGTCACTTCTCTTTTGTCTCTGTAGCAAGATATGCAATGCTACCTTTCTGCAGTAGCTTGCATACCCCGTGAACCTGTATCCTATTGTAAAGAAGGCAATGAGGGGAACCCTGTAATTAATAATACCTCAATTTAATCAACCAAATTGGCCCACTGCTGAGAGCAGCTGAGCTCAATCCCTACATTTCGGAGACCCCAGTACCACATTAATCTCAATTCTCGCTTAGCTTTCATACTTCTCATCGAAAAGGGTGATAGAGATCTTTATTGTTGGTCCTGTAAGGTAGTTTTGTTCTTTTGTTCCGCACTCATATCCTGAGTAACTGAGCCTAGTGCTATTTCCTGACCTAGATTCAAACATGTAGCAATGCTTAGATACGAGGCAGCTGGCAGGATCGTAGGTAGGTGCAGGCTGTTAATGTATGGCCACGTCTCTCAGTCGTAGGCCTAACAATATCATAGGTAGGCTGCCGCATATCGTACGACTTGGATGTGGTCCCCACAACCCAAGTCCGCAAATCGCCGATGTTGGATATCGGGGCGAGATCCAAGTCCAACTGCAGATATCCATTGGATGTCCAACAGTATATTGTTACACCCGGGGCTTCGTCCAAGGACTCTGCGACCAGTTAGCTATCTTGGTTAGATACGACTTACCTCGATGACTAGAATCCACTAGTGATCGGCGACGATATGGTGACCGAGGGTCCGAAGATAACAATAATGTAGACAGTGCGATGTTATTAATCCAAGGTTGAAGGGCCAGGTCTATCGAATTTGGGAGGACAGATATAGAATTTTCGTCTACAACAGAAGTATGTCTAATATAGGATACCCGTATTAATACAAATTGGACCTATAAGAAAAAACTACCGTCTTATAATTAGTCTTCTTCAGGGCCCATGAATGGGCCTAAACTCCAGGCCCAAGGCCCAACCCACATGGGCCCTGGACCCTGACTACCGGGCCTAAGCCCAATCCCTAGGCACACGGGCCTCCAATGGATCTCTTCTAAAGTCTATTTTTATATAAAATTATAGTCTTAGTATTTATAAAGCTGCTAAATAAGTAAAATAAAATACTATTTTTTATTTCTATTTCAATATATATAGAAAGTGATTGTCACAGAATTGATAACGATTATGCAAGGTGACTGTACAGTATACCCTGCCCCAGGTGCATGGACATCTTGGAGGCCGGACGGTGCCTTCGATATCTATACCAGTCACCTTTTCAATAACGAATAGTGGTCTCTCTCATAGGATTCAGTACTCTATACAAAGAACTTTAGGAATCCTTAGCTATAAATTAATAACGGAAGTAGTAGAGGGAGAAATCAAGAATCAGTCTCTGTCGATAGACTATTTACTATTATTTTGCCTACGTATCCTTACCTAGTCGACAGGTCTTCTACCCTGACTAGTAGATAATCTTGACAGGTTCGGGGCCGGGTTTCCGGTTAAACCGTACCACTCTAGATATATATAGGTAGTGTAGTCCTAATTTATCTATCTCTAATAAACTTTTGATATCTATTATTTAATAGTGAGAACGATATATAAAGGTAGATATGCCACTGGGAATATAAGTAGACAAATCTTGCAGCCGGGGGAATATTTGTTTGGTGCAGTGCACTCTGTTCGGACCCCAAGGCACGGAAATGAGTGAATAAAACAACTGGGGGAAGGATGACATGCCTCAGTGCTTGATCCCTCTGAAGATAACGAAATAATATATTTATTTACTTGTCTATTAATGTATTCATTTATTGCATTATTCCATGGTGTATTTTGGGAAGGGAACGTGTGGGAGGATGTGCTATAAACTGGCAACGGCCCAATGCAGCAGGTAGTACAGAACAAAGTTAATCTTTCGGTCCGAGCCGTTGTAACAATCACATCTCAGTGTAGAGTATCACGTTGTCGTATTCTATGTCCTCAGGTACTAAGTTAGTTACGCGCCAGGTAAGACAAAGCTTGAACTATTTGTCTTGGGCTATAATATACAGAGACGTGCAAAACCAGCTTCACCATCCTGCACTCTTTGATTAACTCTGGGACCCACCTCACGACAGTTACCGTGCCGTATATTACCATATTTACGCCTTCCGGCATTACACGGACCATCCTTGCCGGAACGCTCCGAACCTTGAGCTGATATTTGAACTTGTCGTTCTTTGTGCTGACAAGGACCTATGACTCACTTTCTTCCCGCTGCCCTTTTCCTACTTATGTAATCTGGCATTGGCTTGCTTCTACCAATAAGCATATTAACCTATCCTTCGCTTCTCTGACCTATTCATCACTTGTCCTCCCATCCCCCCTTTCCCTGACCATGGGTCGCACCGCCCTATTTGTGATCGATATTCAGGCCGATCTAGCCCAGAATCCTCAAACTGAAATTCCTCATGCTGCTCGAATCCGAGATGTCGGGACCGTTATTCTTTCAAAGGCACGAACAGCTATAGACAATGAACTTAGTCGCGGCCTGGACGCTAGACTTAGTATAATCATCGTCCAACACCATGAGACCCCTGAAAATGGCTCTTTGGTGAAAGGCAGTAAGCCATGGGAGCTAGTTTTCAAACCGCGCAATGAAGCAGAGAGGGTTGTGGAGAAGACTACCAGTGAGTTAAAAAAAACTTGACCGATTACTTTAATACAAAAGGATCTCTTGTTTTACAATAGAAGATGGTGTTCGGGCCTCTTACTGTACTCATATAGGGAACACGTTCGAGTCCAACCAGCAACTCGCGGATCAGCTAAAAGCTGAAGGGATTGAAGAGATTGTGGCTTTTGGAATTCAGAGTGAATGTTGCGTTCAATCAACCTGTGAGGGGGCATTAGCTGCTGGCTTCAAAGTTAAGTTGCTGCAGGGAGCCCATTCGACTTATAACATAGGAAGTCAGAAGGCAGAGGAGATTGAGCGGGAGGTTGAAGAAAAGCTCCGCAAAGAAGGTGCGGAAATTACTCCTTGGGATACATGGCATCCTTGACACAGATCAAGGATAGCCGAAGCCGAAGTCTGTCCTAGTCATAGACAGTGCAGTTATGTATCAACACCAGATTCAAGTTTAGAGAGATCGGGGTGGGGCGCTGGGAGAGAGCGCGAGGATAATGTGTTTTCTTTGAGTTCTACGGTTACCATCGGCTCGACTGTCAGCCCGAACCGACTGTATTCAGCGGAGCACGTCTCTGAACTGCACCCAATTCGAGGCTAGCGTCTGGGACATGGTGAAGCTGGTTTTGCACATCTCTGTACACGTCAAGAGTCATAAGTTGGGAAGTTGGGCATGATACCGGAACTCTGAAGTTCTCTAAGAATTTGTATTCGACAAATGTACAGTGTAGGTGTATTACAACACCTCGATTGTCAGGCCGGCATTCCGGAAATGCCTTTCGGCGCTTTGTTTCCTCGCACCCACAGTTTCAACACACCACTCAAGGAAGAAATCAAAGCCTTGGTCGGGGTTGTCTTCGTAGGTTTGTCAATGCCTTTTAATAAAGGCTTTTAACTCCGCGAAGAGCTCTTTAATTGGATTCATGTCGGGTGAGTACAGGGATGAATATATAAGCTTAATTTCTGCTTGTGTGCATATTTATTCGATACTCTTAGAATAATAAAAGGAGATACTATCTATAATAAGACCAGATCTTGACTCTGGCTATTTCCTACAGTACTGAAGAAGTTGTTTAATAAGATCTTTAAAGATAGAGACGGCAGTTGAGGCTTGGAAGATATAGGATAAGATAACTCCATCATAAGTATAGGCTGGAAGAATCTGATACCGTTGATCACGATGGAATTTAGCTACTTAGAAGGGTCTGCTGCCAAGAGAAGACCAGCCGGTTGTTCTAAAGCCTATCCTTTTATTATATCCAGATTCATCTACAAAAACAAGATAACAGAAAAACAATTCAGTTATGGACTACCGTGGTGCCCGACTCCGCCTTCCATCTCAGGAATCTTCAGACGCTCTTCCAAACCCCAATCACCCGATCTCTCGAATGCAAATATAGTTACCGCTGCAGTTCAGTGATGTTCCAGTCCTGACCAGCAACTATCGAACGTAAATTAGCTCTTTGATACTATTAGTGTATCCATACTGATTGCAGAAAGCCATGTCCCTCATTGTGTTGGCGAGTCCTAATCGAGCTTCACAATTCTTAACCAACGACTATCCACTAGTATCCATCCTAACCTTGGTCTCCACCCTGTGGGACTCCATTTTCTCGCAAGGGGTTTTGCGGGCATCGGATTGATAGAGCTGGCTTGAAAGTCTCCTGAGGATGCTCTGAGCTCACCCACTTAATCTCATGACGACATCCATAGTCCCTCGAAGTCTATCAGCGCCCAGTCTAACAAAACTAAAGCATCACCTGCAACCTACCGGAACAAAATACACATGAAAGGATACCCATCCGGTAAGATTTGCGGATCAAGATAGATTTCGCTCATTCTAGCGGATCCAGATACGTTAACGTAATGTGGCCGATGAAATGATTGAGGCATAATACTCACGAGGGTTGAAAATTTGTGCAGATCTGATTATTTGGAACGGTTAAATGGCTCCATTCGCTTTGGTCATTCTCTCGGACGGCCTAAAATGAGACAGAAAGGTTGAGTATCAAGGAACTAAGGATATACATTGTAGGAGGGGCTTTTACCAGGCTGATTATTGGGTCATGGGGTGCTGCGTTGCAAGAGGCTATGAGGCCCATAGCCAAGGCGAGTGTAAGAGCTTCCATGTTAAAAGGGCTTAGATATTTTTTGTTAGGTAAGGGATGGGGATTACTTAGAGTGGACAATGCATGAACTGGGTAGCCCAACTTTATAGCTAGAAGGACAGGGTCATCCACTCAGGCGGTGGTGGAAGATCGGCATGATCGGCAAACATATTCTGTGAGGGGTGGATCATCTAATACGAGCTTGGTACTCCATACAGCGAGATTAGCTGCCGATATTCATTAGTTTATATGCCGAGTACTCCACCCCAGACAGTGTCCTAGGCTTATCCATACCCTCGATTAGAGACATCTATAAACACAACCCATATCCTCTAACTTTACCAACATCTACACAAAGGAGAACTGAAAGCCATCACATTTCACTGACCCTTTATATTTCTATCGGTACTGCAATCACGTCTCAATTTAGTGTTAGAATTCTTCACGGATATTGCGTCAAACATATCTCTCTGCTGTGACCAGTAGAGCCAGTTCTGTTTTGTATTTTGGTTAGGCTACGAATGATGCTGCCGGGGTGCATCCGATGGGCGTTGCCCGGAGACACTCAAGAGGCTTTGTAAATGCTACTATCTGAATTTAGTCAATCTTCAGTGTGTCTAATAGGGGTATGCTGGCACTGTACATACTCATATTAAGTCGACTATGTACGATGAATCTTGGCCTCCGTATAGTCTGTGGCCTAGTCATAGATCAGTTAGTCTCTAAAGGCGATACTAAAGTGTTATTTATTCATACAAGAGCATCAACGAAATAGTCCATCAGGGTATTTTTGTCTTCTAGCTATTGCCGTTGGCGAGGTTTGATTGAGTTATGAAAGAAGGTTTGGACGTGATCGAAATTAATCCACCGGAGCCTCTCTGAGCTTTGCTGAACCATTATATATCTTGGATATGGATCACTATCATAGACCGCACCGTCATGTATGTCTGAGAGGATTCGATGGAGTCTGTGGATCCTCTCTATTGAAAAAGTAGATAAATCAATCTGATGAAGATTCGGTACATATCCAAGCAGAATAGCATTGGGAGGTAGCCGATCTTTGAGAAACCCCGTCTAGTGTGGTGACTATTCCATTGGGTTGATTTGCTTTATCAGGCCGCATAGACCATGAGTCTTGAGTTGAACGTAGGTTTTGCTTTCGCAAGTAAAGATATCGGCTTCCCGGCCTATAGGGTCGGCATCAGATGCTTCAATACTGTGGTACCAGGGACATGTTAGGCCCGAGGTTAGGCAGACTACCTGGTTGTGCACCACTTCCAGAATATAGCCTCTCTCGCGCCAGCGTGGGCGGAAAGTACACGACGACTGGGGGGCTTTTAATGTGCTCAATATGCTCTATAGCCGATACATCGATTTCTATGATATTTGCGATAATCACACCAGGCCTTGAGTTACGTAAAGGCCATGAGACAAGAAGAGGTGGGCATATATGATGGGATTTGAGGCGCGCTTGCAAAACTATGTCTATTCTTGGATAATCCCGCGTAAATCTAGCCAACATTCTTATCCTAGCCTATTATGGCCTTATCTGTAGCCGCATACAACTGACTGTACACAGTATATACTCGTATTCTGGTCTAGGATAGCACTTCTCATCATTTTCCAAACTACGACTCTCTAGATTATTCCTGGGACATGCATTCTCAGTGACGGCCATGCTGAACAACATTTTGGAATATATTCAATTCTTTAAAAACACTTTTGAGTCTATTAGCCTCTGGTGTCTGGTTTGCTCTTCTTCTAAAGATAGAGTAAATTGCTTCGAATTTCATCCAACTCGATGAATGCGGTCCCATTCGAAAAGAACTTTATAACGATTGGTCTGCCGCGAGGGTGCTTGCGCCTGGAGTGGTCCGGGGGTCGGTTCTGGTACGCGTTAACTGCTCTTTAATAAGTACAGCATTGATCATAACGATTACTACTCATGTATGAAGGCTATAGCCGTGCCGGATGATCGGGAGTTTAAGGGAATCCTGCCATCTATCACGGCAAGCGGCGAGCTACCCGCAAGCTGGCTATAACACACTATTTCTGGAAACGCATTGCTTTGTGAAATACTGAGGTAGCTCGATGCTAGCGAACCTATACTATGCAGCAGAGACTGGTTGTCCAACAAAAAAAATAATTATTTACCTATTTTTTCTTGTGGATTATAAGGCAAAATAGAAGTTTCCATACTCAAGAGTAACCTTTCATGTATACATTCTGTCAACCAAAATGACCGGATATCGGAGATAGAAGCCATCGCTCCTGATGATCATGTTTCACCGATATGAGATACCACGTGTTGAGCCGATTCAGATGGAAATATTCAACCAACGAGAGATTTCAGATAGTTCAGGAATTCAGAGTCGCCCATAATGCCTACCAGGAGGAGGTATGTAAACCATCGGGTCATCCTTCGTGTAAGGCACGGTGTCATCTGACCGTTCCGGTAGACACAATTGGCCTACTATGGCTGGATCTAATTCACTGTCGGCCTCTCCTATTTCAAGGAACATTCGTTTTTTTAGAGATTTACTGGAATATACGTATTGCATTTTATCCTTTAGACCTCTTGAAAAGTCTGTCTGAAAGGGAAAAAAGGGTGCCTAATACGCTCGTAGATGTATCAATGATAGTCATTGAAAGTTCGAATGTCTCCAGTTGACAAAAAGCGATAATAGAATCTAGGCAATGTATACATAGGGCAACTACCGCTAGTTTTCTTTATATCTTTCGCATTGAACACGAGAAGGAATACAAACTCTTCGAGGCGGCACAGGTTCTAAGACGCGATCTCTCAACCCTGCTCAACACAGCGTCCGATGGGTGGGTGCCTACTGAAGAGTGGGAAGCAACGGAATTGGCTCATAGGGAGGTGTTTACCGGGATGTTGGAGGCTGTTACAACAAATCAAGAATTGGGTGAGGATGAGCCTGTGAAGGACGGGGAAACCCTACGATCAATCTGGCCGTTTGATATCCCCGCCTTGGAGTGACTTGTGGCTCTTCGGGGCGCAGCTATTCCTAGTTTTATGTATTCTAGTATCCGCATATGAACTTAGTAACCGTGTCTTGGGTCCCCGACTTTGGTAAGCCTCTATCACTGATATTGCGTTTTCAAACGTTTTACTGTGGTTGGATGACTAATTTGGGGAAGTAAACGTTGGTAGGATTAATATTTGGGTCGTGGTAGAATATGTATATTCTCTCTTGGATCAAGGACGCTACCCTTGGCCACGTAAAAGTATAGCAACCATCGTAGAAACCCTCAAAGATAGAAACATATATATACCAACTGGTCGACTATTCTTAATACACCAGGATGTTCCATAGAGCTTCATTTAAATAGCAGGGCTGATGCTATAAAACCGCTTGCCTACATAAGAATTATCCTACACTACGAATAGAAGTGAGTTTCCGTCATTATTGGACGGATTAACCGTTTCCCTCTGATGAAGCCTTAAGTCTATGTGTCGCCTTTAGTATGTGGTTGACAGACGCAGACCATGTAGGTGATATATAGGGCAACTGGGCGTTGGAATGTTTTGTCACGGGATCATGTTGCGGCAGCCTTAGCAACGTGATGCCCATAACCTCACCAGTTTCAGCCACCTTGGTTCAGTGCTTGAGAAGCAGGGAAAGCATAATGATGCATCAGCAATACACCGATACCCTATGCGCTGTATTTACCAAACAGTGAATAATTCCAGAATGTTCACTATGAATATAGTAGGTACATTATAAGAGTGAGAAGATACCCGCAGAGTGATAAAGATATACCAAGGCCAAAGGTCTATATATTGATTGTCTCAAAGCCCAGGAGAAGGTTTGTAAATCTGGGAATCTTAATGCTTTTGTCGGTGTCAGCTACTTGCTTGGGAACCAGCGGATGTGGGTAGAAGCTGAAGCTATGCACGAGCAGCTACGGAGGGCTAGTTGATAGTTCTGGGAACAGAGAGTTCTTGCACTTACATCATTGCTCCTGGTGGTTAGCTGAAAGCCTCAATAGTCATAGGTATTCAAACTCTCACTCCAGCAAAGAAGCGGTCAGAGTGACCGGCACAGCTGAGTTCGAACATGAATGTGGGACTTAGCGTTTGGGACGATCTGGATTCTGGGACCTGAACTATGCCCACTCCTCTCGGTACAAACTATATAACTATATGGTCTACCAAAGCTAGAAAACAATCAGAAAGAGACGGAACGTTCTGGAATGTGGATCCCTCATGTACAGTAAAACCTCGTTATGAGCAATTCATTTTGCAAGGGTTTTGAATTAGGCATGAGGGCGAATTGCATATAATGAATTCTCTGCCTGGCCTAGTGAATATTATCACTCGAGGTTTAAAGGTTCTACATATATTGGATTATATATCGATTGATGCGTCTCTGTAGTCAAGGGACCAAGGGTACTCTCATAGTAATGTATACTGTTACTCCATAGCCAACTACTTAATAGTATGGTGGTGTTATTCCTACTACATACTTCATTACTTATATTAAACTAGTACATACGACCATAGGGTGTGGAGAACAGGGCTTCCCGTCCGCTCAGCCGTACTTAAGCCACACGCCGGGAGGTTAGTAGTTGGGTGGGTGACCACCAGCGAATCCCTCCTGTTGTATGTTTTTTTTTATTTTCTTTTGTGCTTCTTACCAAGCAAGCTAGACTGGTTGGCAAAACGCATTGACTTAGAAGGGTTAGATAGCATGAATCAAAGCCTATCTAGTTAGAGCTGATCGCCGCTATTCAAGTGTGCCTTGCCCGAACCCGGTACAATCGACCAAGTCTCGCAGTGAACAGCAAATGCCGGTTCGTCCTCATCCTCTCAGGATCAACGTATACCTTCATTGCCACAGAGCTTGTCCCTATATTGAAAACACGCAATATGGTATAGATGTTCTCGGACCCTCCGGACCCCGATGCGCCCCCAGAGAACGATTGCATCTATTTTCAGTTAGCCGCAGATACGTTCCCCCTGTCCATGCCATACGTACCCGTTCGTATTGGTACTTGCTCATGTAAAAGGGCGTTTCGCAGGAGGAGGTAGTGGATTTGACTTCCAGGTAAAAACGAGGTGACTTCCCCGCCCACATCTCGGAACTTAAGTAGCCTTTTGCTATGAGGAAGGAGGTCAGGATACCTTCGCTGTCGGTATACACAAGGTCGGCTGTCTCACGGCCACACCATGGTTGCAAGTCGATGTAGTCCTCGTGAAGTTGAATGTACTGGCGAATGGTGCTCTGCCAGCTTTCTCTGGAGAATCCTGGTAGATTTGGCCTGAGCCGGGATAGGACTTCGAATACCTGCGGATGAATGAGTCTATCTTCTTGTTTCCATGGTATGTCTGAGGCTTTCATGCTGATACTCACAAATAGTTCACCGGCAGCTCCTATTCGTTTGTCGCGCTCGAGCTTCTCTAGCGAACGAAGGTGGCCGGTATTGTCGCTTGGTTCGCGGAGATGCAGGTTCTGGAACTCACCGAGGAGTGATGTATCGATAGAGCCCCGAGTGGGAAAGATAAACTGGCGCGCAGCTGAGACAACCTTCTCCAGGATGGACCGATATTCTATATATACGGGCGCAGCATTATATGTGGACCTGGGGGTTCTCAGGAGAGAGGACGGTGACAAGCTCCGGAAATTAGACCTGGTCCTTGACAATGGCACACTTGCTTCTCCGATTTCGCCCGACACGACTGACGGCGTAGGAAAGGTTGCACTGGGTGTATTTGATTCTGTGCCGAATTGGTTTCCATAGCCAGATGCTGCATCGCCACTGACCTCTTCCGCCTGACGGTCGCCGTTGCTGGTTGTCAGGTCGATACCGTCCTCTTCAGCAACCTCTTCGGTCTCAATACTCACAACCCCTGCTCGATCAAGAGTAGCGGCGACATAAGGAAGTGGCACTTGTAACACTTTCTCCATCACGTCCAACGCTCTGTCAGGAAAAGGCGCGCATATTCTTGTGGTTGGCTCTGTCATGATCCATTCTAGAAGAGCTTTCGGTATTCGGTCCACAAAGCATAGACATTGTGCCTTTTCATCTCGTGGCACGTATATGGTCAGATCAGTATCGGTTTCATGCAAATGTAATTCACTTCTCGACACTTCCACCAAGATATCTTTCCCGTCCTGGCTTAGATGCAATTCAGAGCTAATCCCATCCGTGGCACGGACCTGATTGTTCTAAGAAGCTCATAGAAGGTATCCTCACTCTTCAGCATCCTGGGGCTATTGTAATGTGCAGCGATGCTATTGTTTTCTGCCATTAGCTTGTTTCTTCATATTCGATGAACTAACGTACCGCAGCAAGCCATACGCTCTAAGAGCTATGTTTCGATCTTTTGACACCAGAGATTGCTGGGCATCATTGCCCACCCTTGAAATATCTTTGACAGAAACGGATAAATAACGTCGCTCAAGCCCAACCCAGTTCAGAAAGGGCCCCAGTCGATGTATGTCATTGACACTAAAGTCAAGAAAGCGGGCCTTTCCAGCAAACCAGTCGTACAGGTGTTTACGATCCGCGATTGAGAATGCTTCGTCGCAGCTGCGGGGTAGGGTCTGGCCATTGACATCCCGTACGGGGAACACTTTCGCATCCCAGATCGACTGACTATCTGGTACTTCATCGTCTGTTTGGAGGTACTTATTTAGTAACCAAATAGTCTCCTTGACTTCCTCAATAGACGCAGACGTGCTTCCCTGGTCAACTAGTTTCGTAATCACCATATCAAGCGTCAAGGTTTGTACACCAGTTATGTCATCAAAGAACTCCCACAGACCTTCGTATTCGTCGTTCAAGGCTATCATCCCGTCGATGTTGGTGGCTTTTGACCATAGACATTCCGAAGGATTATACCAACCCCATGAGCCATCCTCGTTCTCGTGGTAGATAAGGTCATGTTTATAGAACGATTCCCTGCAAGCCCTGTCATCAGCCACATCTTTCTTGTATTATGTACATAATCACATCCATGATGTAAATATATGTACAGATTTTTAATCACCTGACTGCTAGCGGTGTCACTACAAGGTTCGGATCGGCTTCGGGTCGGATCCAGCGGAGATCCCGTACCTAACTAACTAGTAGTAGACTAGTAGTAGTAGTCTATTTTTCATATGCGCATCCGCCGCAAAATATGATGTGCATGCGGCATCTGGGCTTTTATAGGCACTAATATGCGTCATGATCCTGCACAAAATATGCAAAGAGTTTCAAAGTGGAGGAGTGAGTGACTCATCCTGCGCAAGTATGAGTCATATCTTCACCAAGAAAACTTGTGTTTGGCAATTGGGCTTAGAGTTAATTCGCTTCTCCGGTGAGCCTGGAGGTCTAGGATAAAGTTCCATGGCATTCTGCCAAAGGCACTTGCACTGTTCAAAAATTAACCACTGTGCTCGAACAAAAAGTGTGCGACTTGAAGATAATGGAGGGGGTTGGTATATTATGCAGGTATTATGCGTAGTTATGTGGTGGCTGACAACACGAGAGGTGAATCTCCAAACTCCACACTTGAACATGAGTCAGACGAAAAAAGGCTGTGCTAGACCAATCACGCCATGGTGTTCTCTGGCAATCCATCACAAGTGAGTCATCTCACCGAATGAGGTTCAAATTGACGCAGAATGTCTTTAGTCTCGGGGTCTTATTACACAGTAGAGCCTGTAGCCAGTCAGGTTCGCAATAATTCTGCTACTTATGGATACCTCTCTTTATGGTCTACAATGCCGACATCAAGCGCAAGAAGATCAGTCTTGAGCTAGTCATAGAGTACCGGAAACTCAGAACCAACCATGCTTGGCGTGCGAGAGGCCAGATAAAAGGATGGAGCTAAACACGGCGATACCCTTGTTGTTCTGCACTTCGAGTTATCTCTAGACCATTCGTCCAGCACTATGTCACCCAGATTGCAGCTAGAATAGATCCCCCTTGTGCGGTTGCCCACGTCTTCCATCCCCAGCCATATCCAAACAGTTGTCGGCAAGCGATCGGCCATCTCAGATGCCCTCGAGGAGTTTCGTGGTATACCATATGCTCATGTGCCGGGAAGATGGGAGCACTCACGCCTGAGAGATCGTTTACCGCGGGATATGTTTGACGCTACGGAGAACGGGTACGCGCTCATCCCTCACAAGCAACTACTCCCTCGGATATTTACAGAGTTGCTGCAAGACTCAAGGTTCTGACCACCCCATAATCCACGGTGTCCTGCGCAGGGTAAGCCCAATACGCGGACGTTTCAATCATACTTGCCGTACCCGGACGACCGGCAGGACGAGTTCGAGTGCTTGAACCTTTTCGTCGTGCGCCCAAGCAAGGAAGCACTAGCAAAGCACGATATCGATGCGGAGACGACTCGGCTGCCTGTTCTTATTTGGATTCATGGTGGTGGCTTCATTGATGGCGCAGGCACGGATCCAGCGTCCGGTACGTGTTCTAACATTGCGAGCGTACTTCGATAAGGTATCCACTAACCATGAGTCTCTAAGCAGATCCTTCCCGGCTCGTTCTTCGTTCCCTCTCCCACAAAACCCCTTTTATCGCCGTATTTATTAACTACCGTCTGGGTATATTTGGCTTCGGCGCTTCATCTGACATGATCGCGGCCCAAGGCAGCGACTCCCCTCTCAAGGGCGTGAACTTTGGTCTCTACGATCAGAAACTCGCGATCATCTGGGTCAAGCGCAACATTGCTGCGTTTGGAGGAGATGATGCCAAGATTACAATCATGGGTCAATCCGCCGGCGGAGTTTCATGTCACCTTCACCTTCTCGAGGCAGAATTAGGCACGAAGAGATCGCTATTCCGCAAGGCTGGTTTGATGTCTGGACCGGTTGGGGGTCTCGAATTGACATCGATGGGAAAGGCCGACCAGCGCTGGGCAGACCTCTGCCAACTGTGGTCAGTCCAAGCTGAGAACCCAGTCGATCGAGTCAACATGTTGAGAAGAATTCCTACCAAGGATCTGCTGAACAGCGTTGCAGACCTTCACTGGGTGCTTTTTACACTGACCATCGACGAATTGACCATTCGAAAAAGCGACTTGGGCTGTGGCGTTTCCGTCCATCTTGAGCATGGCGGTTTGGGCGACGAGAGCACGCCGTCCGACGAAAAGGTCCAGGTCCTAATGAGCGCGACAGCTGACGAGTTCAGAGGCTTTGCCCTGATGGCCAACTGGGATTACACTACATTCCACTCTCTTTGTACCGCAAGTTATCCCTCAGAAGCGGCGGCTCACGAGGTTCTTCAAGCATACGGCATTTCGCCTACCTCTTCGGATGAAGAACTCTTTGAGGGATTCTCCCAATTCATATCAGATGCCACGATGATGCATAAGATATATCGCGCAAACGAATCCTTCAAGGCTCATCGTGGGCAGCAAGCACTCCTCCGTGGTCAGGACGCCAATCGTGTGGGAATACAGTATCACCATTTCGAATTCGGCAATCCCTTCTCAGGGCCCATGCAAGGAATTGCGCATCACGGCGTTGACATGGTCTATGCCTTTGGCAATTTTCACGACGCGCTGAAGAAGGCTGACCAAGGGATTCTGGAAGGTTATGTTGAGCCCGACCAAGCTCATGCAGAGGCTAGTGTTGGTGAACCCTCTATGAACACCAAAACTACCGATTACCGCAAGTCCAACGTTGATCTCAGCCATGAGTTACAAGATAGGTTGATCCAATTCGTGGTTGAGGATTGCGAGGAGACCGAACAGCGTGCATATGCTGATGATATCGTGACGTTTTGTCACGACCGATCGGTCCGTGTAGAGAGTTGGTCTAGTGACGAGAAATGGATATCAAAGAGGAAGAAACTCGCGGCTTTAGATAAAGATCATGATTCTATGATCGCTGCCACGCGGAGACTTGTAGGGAGTGTTATTGGTATGGCCTTGTAGAGGCTTATACTTGTACTCAAGCAACTTGGACTCCATATAGAAATACATGCGTCATGCTCATTTTCCGGGTGGGCTGCACATGGCCCTTACACTCAAAACATTCCGTCAAATTCAAAATATATTTCTCTTCTCTCACTTCGAACCGTTTGTTTACAAATTTAGTGCTTCACTGATGTACTGTTGGCAACATGAACATGCAAGTCAACGAGGTTTGGGGCACTAAATCCATAATTTATATGTAATAATCCTATCCCTTGCGTCTCCCATAGCACATGACAGCTGAGCCTATTATCATCTTTGCTCTCCAAGCTTTTTCCTTTCCCTTTCTTCCTCATTCCCCTTTATGCCTATTTAGTTATGTCGAATGTCTTCCCACGCCGGAACCCTCCCCAGGTAGGGCGTTTCTACATGTTGGCCTAATGTCCATATCAAGCTGACTCTGTTAGACTCTCGAGCTAAACGGGCATAAGATTCTTGCAACCGAGGTTGAGCTATTAGATCCACGTCGAACGGTATATCGTTTGAAACTTAAACCAGGCTCATATCGGTATCCAATTCCAGAAGGAGCCACCTCTATTATCATTAAGCAACAAAAGGAGGACTGGGAGGAAGAGTTTAAGGATGAAGAGAGAGCCTACAACAAATTAGAGGCGCTTCAAGGAAAGGTGATCCCATACTTCTACGGCCAGGGCTACTTCGATGGGCTACCTGCGCTTATATTATCCGATATCAATGGGATTCCGCTGAGCGATTTGGCTCGCAATAATGACGAGGTTTCGGAGGATTTGTTGAAAGCTTATCTGGAGAAAGTTTTCAAACAGTTTTCCAGGTATGGAGCGTTATATCGAGACGAGAAACTGGATAACTTTTTATTGTGTGTTGACAAAGTCATGGCTGTTGATCTCGAGCGGGTTGAGTTTCCAGATCAGTTTCGTCCATGGCACCCTCTTGTCAACAAGGGGGGGCCGAGATCTTTGATGGAAGATTTCGAATACACGCGAAATCCCAGGCGTAAATCATCTCTGCTTGACTTTTGGATCTCTGGAAATGATACGAGTGCATCACAGCTGGCTAGTTGATTTTATACCGGCGATCTATCAAGGAAGTATTAGAAGGCTTGCTTCTGCAGTTGAATACATTTGGTTCATCGGAATTGTATCTTGTCACTTTACAAGCCCCCAAAACAATCATACAGGTATTACACCCGGCACTTCGTCCAGTACTACCAGTTAGATATCTTAATTAGATGTGGCCTATCACGACGACTAGAATCCACTAGTGATCGGTGACGGTGGCTTGACCGCGGAGTCCAAATGCGATACAAGTACGATTCGTAAATGAGAATCGAAGGTTAGAGGGCTTAAGCCTATTGAATACCGAGACTGCTCATCATAGTTATACTAATGCTGTACACTGTATCATGTTCAATAATCCACACCCCTGGATTAGGAACCGATTAGCCGTCGGCTTCGGCTCAACGTCACTTTTGCAACGTATCGATATTTTTTATTATTGTTGAAGCTATTCACACTACGCAAAAAATGTAATCGACCTACAATAAACTAGTAATGCTTAGTCATCTGATAACCAAAATCCCTGATGCCATCAATCAAGACATTACTATTCACAGCAAAGCGCTCTTAACCCTACCCAACGGTTCCTGCCAAGCCGCACCACCGATACTATGGCAGCGAGCCTGCCCCTGGAACTATTATCTGAAATCGCAAGCATCTTACATCAGGCAGGCGATTGCCTGGCCCCATATACAACTGTCTGCCGTCGATGGCAAGCAGCTTGCGAGCCATTCATCTACTCCAATTTAATCGTCTACAGCGATGAAACCCAGAAAGACGACCAGAGAGGGATTTCTCTGGTACATTTTCAAAGACTTATATCAGGAGCCGGCGCTATAAGACGAGCCTGGATACAGAATCTGCAGTACGATATTCTAGTACCATTCGAACTGTTAGACTGGACAACACGCAAAAGAGAGACAGACCAATACAGGATAGCTAACCCCGTCCGAGAGGCAAATAACCGGGCATTTCAGACAGCTATCATTAATCTATTTGGCATCCTTGGTCAATGGGATCGGAATAACCGTCTCTCCCTAGACCTAGGGCTGCGAGGCCGCCGAGTCGGTGAAAACCCCGCCCCGGAGCCAAACACTTCATATTTCGACATTGCTGGGGACTATCGACACGATTTTAAAACAGGGCGCACCGATGCAGTTCCACCGTACCGGGCGCGCTTCCACAATAATTATGCATCTGTTCTGGCTTATGCTTCCTGTGTTGACAAGCTTTCTTTTACCAATAGGCGGATTGCTTTCTTTAATGCTCGGGGAGAACATAGGCATCGGTACCATCAAATATGGGCCGGCACAGTGGCACAGATTGTTCAGCACTGTCCGACTGTCACGGAACTATATTTGAATCTGGATGAGTGGGTAAGGCCAGATCATTTGGAGTATATTAAAGCCCCGTCGTGATGGTACGTGTTTATATTCCCCCCCTTCGCCCACTTGCATTTTGCATTTAAGAATGCACCCCACTACGATCATCTCGCTTACAAATACTCAGCTGTATCCGAGCTTTTCAGAAACACTCCACACAGCTTAAGGGTATTGCATTACGCGAACCAAGCTGAAAAACCATGGAAAGACAGCATGCCTGCTTTAAACGTCCTATCTACAGGAATCGACACTCTTGCTATGAATCTTCGAGATCTAAGTATCTTTCTTCGAGAGCTAAAGTTAGAAAATACATCTCTATCCCCGGATTTCTTGTGGCCTCTCGATGAAACTGGCCATCCGTTGCCTTCTACCATACATTGGCCTAACCTAACAGTCCTAGAGCTCAATAATGCCCCGCCTCGTCTTCCTTCAGGTAATAGCTTCCCTCCCTTCTCCAAGGCTCTGCAATCTATATACACCATGAAGAATACTACAGGACCACAAAACCCCAATATTGACTAGATATATCAACTAAACCGCCAAACCAGGTCAATGGCTCGCCCTGCCCACAGCTGAATGGCAAGAGGAAATAGACGAAATAGAAGATTGGGAAGAAGAGATCTGTGATTACGAGAGTGGATGTGTCGATCGATCCATCAATGACGATGAACAGTTCCATCGCTTCTTCATTTCTCTAGGTTACGCGGCCCGGTATATGCCCCGTTTGAGATATATCCAATTTAGTCTCGACCATGGACCAACAACAACCTTCAGCTTCAGACGCGACTTGGACCCTATTACTGCTGAGTGGCTCTCTGAAGCGGACCCGGAGTATCGACCGGATGAACGGGTTGCGAAGGCCTGGGGGTTTCGGCTTGAAGATATAGAGATTACGGGGGCTTGGGATATGGAATCTGTTGTGAGGTTTGCTTATTGACCGCCAGAAGAGGTGTAATACTTGTCCTTTGTCGGTTGGATATACCCGAGTACATACATATGTATGAAGTGCTCTGTATTAATCTCCGGACATTCTGCGCTGCCTGTGATTTGACCTTCTATACTACCAGTACCTTTCACTGTTGTTACTCTATACTACTGTCGCTCTGGGGACTAACTCTTGCCATTGTTGTTCTATAAGCTTCTTCCCCTAAGACTGACCTTCACACATCATCCAGGTTTCTGCTTGATACAACCCATATAGCTATAAATGATACCTTCTTTCCGAGCCTCCCCCTTGTCTTCGCTTTGCTCTTTTGTTTAAATCTTTGTACTGCGATCTTCTTTTCCCTTTCCTTCTCATTCATTACTCTAACTATATACCATCACCAGCTAGACTCGAGTTCTCTTCATTCTCCAGTTATAGACCTACAGGTCTCACTCAAAACATACCAGAACCCCATAATCCACCAGATTAGACTTAGACCCAGATCCATAAACGACAAACCCCCCCCCCCCCCCCCCCCCCCCCCCCCACCCCCCCCCCCCCCCCCCCCCCCCCCCTGCATATAGTCTTCCAGCTCCAGGCACCTACAATTCACATTTCGTACAACCCAACTATTACCTAATTGTTCTACAAATATGTCCTAGTACAGGCCTCGCAGCACTGCAACTTGATCGAACAGGTACTCCATCTGAGTCTTTAGAGATGAAATAGAGGCGAGGTAAACTGAACTCAATATGGAGCTGATAATTTTGCTTCTCCGGTTCTTGTTTGGATTTTATTATTATAATATTTGGGAGGTTAATCCTGAGTACTCGGGGGGGTAACATCGGTCTTCCGGTTATGGGATACTCCGTCCTACATGAAGCCTCTTCGAGAGGAAATTTATATCTTGCAAAAAGAAAGTATTCAGTATAATTTTTATTCATGAGGGTATGGCATACTCGTTTCGTACGGGTACTGGGAAGGATGAACGGTATATCAAGTACTTAAGGTTATAAACTTGACCCACCCAACCCGTTTGATTTGCCGGAAGAATCGACTGGTTCGACCCACTTCAGCCTCTGGTGCGAAAGAAAAGCACGTCCCCTCGCAGTGGGTCCAGCCACGTTAGGAATCGACCACGACATGGAAAAAAAACAGTAGGGCAATACAGAAACGGAGGTACCAGCTAATACAACACACAAGTTCAGGTATCACGGCAATCAGATAGACGACCAGGACTGGTCTAAGAACCACAGCATTTATCAAAGTACATACAAAACAATATAAGCATACAGCTGGAGAAAGTAGGCCGTGGGATAAACGGCCACCAGGACGGATCCCGATATTATTCCCATCACATCGGATGCTCGCTGAAGCAAAGAAAGTGACACTGAATCGAATACCCGCTGAACACCTGCGAGAATGTAAAGTGAATGTAAAACACAAGGTCAACTATAGACGAGGGGGAAAGGAAGCTATAGGGAGGAAATCATTAAAGGGAGTCACGGCGCGGGGATTAATTAAGCTTCCACAAGCGTTTGTCGGGGGCCGTTACCAAGAAATTCGAGGCATCGTCGTGCCAGCGCAATTACCTCGCCCTCACCATCTTCCTGGTCCTCCTCGTCGGACTCAATATTCTTGTCGGAGATCGATTTGACCATCTGCACGACATCGTCGGATTTGGCAATATAGCTGATCAGTCTCTTGTCCTCGGACTCCAACAGCTGAAGGAGAGTCCAGATCGCAATGTGCTGGAAGGTAGGGTCTCCGCTGGCGAGGAACCGCTTCAGATAGCCGTGGATACCCCCGTTGGGATCCGCCCAATCTCGGACAAATATCGAATAGTCGCCGACTGTGTCAGATTAGCAAATGCGGGACGCATTCAGAACTGCTCATGACTTACCCTTGGAGGAAAGATTGCCCAAGGCCGCAGCGCTATTCCCTTGCACTTCAATACTTTCGGACTCCGTCAGAGGAATGAGAACGTCAAAAACGCCGAGATTCAAAAGGTGGGGTTTGAGCTCATCACTCAGGGCCAGAACAGCAATTGCGGCAGTCATCTCGGACTGGACGCTGAGGGGAACCTTCAGAACCAGGTCCTTGCATTTCTGAACCGCACCTGCTTGGAGGACAAGCTCCTTGTTACGGTCCGAACTGGCGGCGAGATTTCGGAGCGTGGAAATGGCGTGGCACTGTATCTCTTCATTATCCGTCGAGCCAAGCAAGTCCACCAACGGCTTCAAAAAGCCTGCATCAATAATGGGTGATTCGTTAAGCGGGTGAATAGAGATGTTGCGAATGCATGCGACGGCGGAGAGTATGAGAGGAAGGTAAGAGGACTGCAAGAGGCGCAAAAGCGGGGGGAGACCTTTGGCGCGAACGATTTCGAGTTGGTATTTCTCGTCCGACGCCAAATTGCGAAGAGCCAGCGCGGCCTGGCATTGGACTTTAGGAGTGGAGGAATCCATGAGATGGACCAGTGACTGAACCAACCGGGACTCGGTTTGAGCAAGTCTCTTTCGGTTTGACGCATCGACGGCGATATTGCTGAGAGCAGTTGTGCAATAGTATTGTACATCAACATCGGAGGAAGAAAGCAACTGAACCAAGACGGGAATCGCGCCAGCGTTGACCAGTTGTTGTCGGTTATCATCTATACACCCGTCAGAACAGGATAAGGACCAACCGCGTGTTTCCAGATGGTCTACCCACCAGAATGTGTCATGTTTAGCAAGGCCCCTGTCGCGTTCCGTTGTACACGCATATCCTTGGATTTCGCCAGACGAATCAACGGTCCCAGAGCACCCGACCGAGCGATCTTGGCCTTGTTGTCCTCATGCGTAGCTAGATTCGTAATGCAGCCAACTGCATTGCATTGGACTTCGACATTGGGCGACATCATCTGCCGTATTAGAGGGGCCAGCCCTCCAAGGGCGACAATCAGTACCTTATTATCCGCTATGTGGTGTCAGTGATAAGTCGTTGCCGTCACCGAAAATGAGACCAACCATTGACAGCGAGGTTTCCCAGCGCAGCGCTGGCCGCGCGTTGTACTTCAATATCAGAGCTTTGTAACAAGAAAAGGATGGGTTCGAGGGTATCCCGATCGACTTCGCGCACATCTGCGAGGAAGAAAGGTGGGGGTTAGCCGCGCGAAGATCATCGAAGCTCGAGGTTCACCCACCTCTCTCCGTGATTTCAGCAAAGGTCAAGCTGGCGCTTCGTTGAAGGTCGACATTATCGGAGTATACCAGTGTACTTAAAGCGCTAAGCGGTTCGCCTCTGAAGAAGTCGGTCTCGGCTCTCTACCGGGTCGGTTGAGTTAGGATCAAAATCACGCCAAGAAATCCACACAGGGATGAGGGTGAGCGAACATACATTTTCAAGGTAGCCTAACAAGTCGGAAACCGCTTCCCGCTCATTATCTGCTAAGATTGTCTCGTAAATTCCATCCCTCGAGCGACCGCCGATCGGCCCGAGACAGGCGGTGATATGACACCAGCGGTCAACTGTCGAGAGACAGGATAAACAAGCACTTGCGATCCCACTCATGCCTTAATACCACAGGCCCGCAAGACCAGACACCGGCCCCACAAGCGACAAGTCTAAAAACGAAAGGAAACGAAACCAACGTTGTCAGTCCGACCGGCGAAAGACAACCTTCCCTTCGTCCCAGGGTAGTGTCCTGTTCCCAGGGAGGACCTCGAACGATGGGTTCTCTGTTGGTCTCTGCCGAGAGACAGGGTCAAGGAAATGGAGTATTGTGGATTGCGATGGGAATCGATTGATGACGAGACAAAGAGACGGATGGGAGACTCTGCATATAGCCCGATGAGAGTTCAAGCCCGCGGGAGCACAAAGAATGGCGCGTGGGAGGCAGGACAGTTTTTGTCGATATTATTGTCGGTTCGAATTCGAGATTAGTGCAAAAAAGACCCCAGGGTCTTGCCCAGAAGGAAGGAGATCGAACAGTGAAGGAAGAGGGAGGGGAGGGGGGGAAGTTGGTGGTGGTGGTTGGGAAGAGGACCAGGAAGAGATGGCAGACGGTGAGGTTGAGTTTAGTTACTATTAGTGGGCCTTAGCTTGGAGCACGGGTGGTGAGTGACCATACGGGTCCCAAGTGAAGGTGTTGGCAAATGATAACGCGGGAAAGGAAGAGAGCTCATTTCCCTTTCTCACTTCCCGTCACCGACCATACACCACAACAACATTTGGATTTTCGGACCGAGAATCAATTCGATTCAAGAATGTCAATAGTGGAAATAATATTATATTGTTTTTTTTGTTCAATTCCAATTCTCGTTGCTCCTGGATTAGACTTCATTGTTATTAAAGTATATCCAATATAGATAAACCACTGTTTTGTGTACGGTACGGGTCAGGTGGACATACCTTCACCTGTTTCATTTTGTTTGTTGTGGTTGATCGTGTTTATCAAGTACAGTATAGTATGTACGGACTTTGTCTGTATGCTACCTTATATCTCCCGCTAGCCTGTCTCCCACTGCAGATTTCAATTTGATCGACCCACCATCTGGAAAACGCCCAAGCTAATTCTACAATATCGATCACTTGCTGGACGCCATAGCAATCTCATTATACAATCCTGGCAACCCTCCCCCACCAACAATGGATGAGCAAAGTATAACCCTCCCTGGTCTAATCATGGGGCTACCCGCTGATCCACCCAGCAAAACTTAAGGGTTCGACATGACACTCACGGTGGTGAGAGAATCATTCTCACGGTCACGGGGGAACTGTCTTCCTCCGTACTCGACAATAGTAATAGAAACCTCGAGACACTCGGTCAGACTTCTTCACTCAACTTCACTCAGTTCCTTGGCCATCACAGGTGAGAATGATTTGCATTTGGAGGCTGATACTGCCTATTGGTATCAGTAGTTGATATTATATATAAATGCAGGTGAATATCCCGACAAACCGTAAAGCTCACCCCGTTCGCCTATCTTACCAAGTATTGTCTGTACACCGGAGGCCACCCCTTGATGAGT